TTCCTTTAAATGAAATTATAGTTTTAGAACTGAATCTCAAAACTGCATAAATGAGTGAATTTCTCTGAAAAACTGTTGGTAAATTAATTACTCCTAATGCCACAGCAGTCTGCAGAACACAGAGAGAGAAATACTGTCGCGCAATTAATGCGCATCAATCAGCAAGAAGTGTGACGGCTTTCTGAACCGCTGGTGAGCTACGGTCATAAATTCGTCTGAATGCACGGAAGAATTTGTGCAGCCTTAATGCATTCCTGTTTGCAGACATTTGCTTACCCACATGGTTTTAGGTCTGCTTGTTTATAACCTCTGCAAAGTTTTGTTGGCGCTCAAACATCCACATTAAATTAATCCGCAAAACCTTTATAGTTATTCTTAAATGCAAGTTTGATGCTGCTCTCTCTAATTTCATCCAGACATTACTGAACCCTGTTTGGGGACTTAGCTGCCATAATCTGGAGTCCTTTTTCTGTTCCTGCACTTTTGTTTGATTTGTGATTTGGTTTATGAACCTGCAGAGGCTTTAATGGAAGAGCCACACACTCTCTGATCCCCATTATCTACCTTCTGCTGCACAGAGAGGCAGATAAGAGGAGGAGGAGGAGGAGGAGGAAGAGGAGAGGAAAGAGGCTAAAAACGAGGACCATGTCATAACCCTCATTATCGAATCCCATCAATGGGGGTAGAAACAGACTGAGGGGGAGGCGGGAAAGGGAGACGGTTTGTGTTTGTAAATCGAAAAGAGAGAAAATAGTGGGATGTTAATGACAAACTGAGATAGGGAAAGAACATAGAAGGAGTGATTTGCCAACAAAAAGAGTGTGAGGGTCACCCATGGAGCGAGAGATAATAGGAGAAACAGGCCAGGCCTCTGATGTCTATGTGTGTGTGTGTGTGGGGGGGGATGACGGGGCCCGGTCAGCCTTCATAAGCCATTGATTTACACAATCCCAGTCACCACCTAATATTTCATCCCTGCTACATTTGCAATCTCCCATCCGCTGAGGCCATGAGCCATTACCGATGGCCAAGATCACAGCATGGCGGCCCCCTCAGAGTAATGAGATAGAGAGAGGTGGAAAGTGAGAGACAGGGCAGGCAGGAAGGAGGCGGAGGAGGAGGGAGTAGAGGACAAAAAGAGGGATAATGGAAGAGAAGAGGAGGATGGGTATGAGGGTGGATGAAGGTTTCTCAATGTGCTATTATGGAGCATGAAAATGGAGAAAATCAGAGACTGGCAGAGAGAGAGAGAGAGAGAGAGTGATTGAGATGGGGGATGAGTGAGAATACAGGTAGAGAAAGACAGAGAGCGACAGATATGGAAGGGAGATTGCTTTCCTCTAATTATGTCCCTTTTCAGTGTCAGAGAGATGGATATAAAGCTAATTCCACCTGCCCTCCTTCTCATCCCCGTTTTTTTTTTTTTTTTTCTAAAAGCCTGGACTCGTTTTCTTTATCCCCTTTCACACAGAGCGTGTCAGAGGCTGTTTTCATGACACTGAAATGAACAGATGGCAATATCAGCCCATACAAAAAAAGACTTTTTGTAGTTGCTATCACCGTGACAACAACCCTCGACCACCCGCACAATGTACTATGATTCTGTTCTATCGCAGGCTGAGCTTCATCTCCCTCTGCCTCTATCTGTCCATTCATCCGACTCCCATCACCCTCACTCTCTCTTTGATACCTGTTTCTCACACGAGCTTAATCAGCGGTAGCTATTGAAACCTATGCTTTCAGCTGGTCAAATGGATCCTAAATCCAAATAACCCACAATGCTGCTAATGTATAAGTGTGCCACCTCTGTAATGCATCACATTAAGGCAACCAGAAAGGCTACTTATAGATGTATGATATCATATATGCAAATGCACACATGCAGAGACATTTAATTTACGGGCTCCAGTGTGGGGCAAAATCTAACCACCATACATCAGTAGCTCAGTAATTAGGCCATTCCTTATTAAAAAGCACATTATATTGTAACTTCATGCTACAGATAAAAGTCCTAATTATTCCATACTGATTATATTTGATTAAGTCTTTCTCTCCACACCCTTAGAAATCACACAATCTCATTGAAAGGGTAATTTCCTACTTCAAAAGCTAATTAAGCCAATCAGAGCACAAAGGACTGGCTGTAGCCATGACCCAGCATGTTCTACTTTAACGACCCAAAATTGCCAAAAAAGTTTAATTTCCATTTGCACTTTTTAGAGGGTGATACAAGCGGACTCTGCTAGTTGACCACATGTAAAGGGGAAACTTTAGTGGGAATCTATAAACAATCTGAATAAACGATTAACAAAGAGGTGTTTTGGTCATCTAGCTATAGCCTCTTGATGTACACATACACCTTCCACTGTATACATACAAATTTTTATGTAATTTTACACAAAAATACTCCCCTAATATTATAAAAACCATCATTTGGGCTTTTTTGGGCCAAAATGAATTCAGTTTACAGGGTTAGGATATGAGTAATTATGGACGATGTTAAATTAATTTAATGTGATTACAGTCAGCAGGCCTTATAGTAATTAACTCTAGTCTTATGTTACTAATGTCAGTGAGGCTGATGTTGCAGCAACAGTCCAGAGGAACCTAAGAGAAGAAAGGTGTAGTATCTACAAAAGTTGAGTTGTACAAGTAGAAACGTGAATATTGGAGAAATAGTCAACTCAAAACAAGAATTTCTTCAAAGAAATTGAAGACAAAGAAAGAAAAGGCTGAAGACACGTCTTATTTTGCTACAAGAATTAGACTTTTATAGTTTCTGGTATTTTTTAACCAGCTTTGAGTGAAGAAGTAGAAAAAAAGAAGGTTTTTCCTCTTGGGCTTCATTTTCAAAACCACAAGGGGTTGCTTGGTATGCATGTACTGTAGGTATGTGTCTGTATCTGTCTGTAAATGTGTACACAACTGTCTTGCTGTCTGAATGCATATATGCATGAATGTATGTCATACTGTATGTATGAACATATGCATTTACATATACATGTACATGTGTTTAGCCTTCGTGAATAATCATCTGTGTGTATGTTTGCATGTACAGTATGCATGTCTGTATGTATGAATGTAAGCATATATGTATGCATGATATATATATATATATATATATAGGTAGACTGGTATGAATCTATGTATGTATGCATGACAGTATCTTTGTATATGTATGTATGCATTTACTATATGTTTGCATGTTGGCATATATGTACGTTTGCATGTATGTATGTATTTCTTTGTACTGTATGTATGTATGTATGTATGTATGTGCCCATGCATGCACACAAGCATTGTTATGGTGTCTTCTTACAAGTCAAACTAAATTCAAGTGATTATTCTGTTCTGTATATACCTGTATTATTCAGATATGTTGGGTTAGCTGAAAGTAGATTTCTGTTTGATCAGCAACAGGTTCAAAGAATGTGTGAGACTGGTCACCAATGAAAAGCACTTTTACAGCAGCCCAATGCAGCACCGAGAACTGTATAAATGAACTGCAAAGTCCTAGCTAGGAAAAGCCCCTCTGAACGTGCCTTGAATGAGTGGCAGGGCGCTCTGAACACGACTCCGTCTTGCCATCGCGGCAGGAACAGTGGAACCTGAACGATGGGGTCTGATAGGCCCAGTGGGGAGGAGATTGCTCTGTCCCTGATTGGATGATTAGGGGCTGCGGGGGCTCAAATCAGCCGTTTTCAGGAAGAAAGTGGTTTGGTTAAGTGGATTGGCACTGAGCGTGCTCTCTGTGTGCTCTTTGTGCGTGTGTGTGTGTGTGTGTGCGTGTGTGTGTGCCCTGCTTGTATCTTGTGTCAATTTCTGGGTTTAAATGTGTGGATGAGAGCTTGTGTTTCTGCACGAGTGTGTCTGTTCAGAAGAGGTGAGTGTAGTTCAATAAGCAAGGTGCGTTTACAAAAGAAAGGCGACGAGACTAAAAAACTAAACAAAGGAGGGAGTGAGCTCTCAGCGGGCTCACTGCTTTAAATGGGGAAAAAAATATATAGGAAGGAGAGGAACCGTTTGTGTGTCTGTGTGTATGTATGTGTCCAACTAATTATGGGTTAGACTGAGGAAGGATAGATTTGTGAAGTAACACAGGGAGAGGAGAAATTCTCAAAAAAGCATTAAAATACAAAAGGAGCACAACCACAGAGTAGTACAGGTGTTGAACAAAGAATAGTAGTTATTTTAGTCAGCTGGGTACCCATGACAACTGGGAGATGTACTTTGTGTGTGAGTCTGCGCAGCCTGGCTCAATAATCTGTTCATACTGTCTTTTACTCTAAGTGCTGTCATTTCTCGCCGGTAGGACGTGGAGTAGGTCTTTAAGAATTATACGTATTTTCTGCTTTTTCATTGTTGTAAAAATCACTCTTCACTGTAGCCTCCTGTTTGGACCTTGTGCACCTTTGTTCTGTCGGAAACGGTCTCGGTGCAGCCGTCAATCAAACAAGACCATTTAAGTCATTTTTGCGCCACGTTTCTTTCTTGAATTTGATCCAGGGGAGACTCTTGATGTGTGAGATGAATGGGAATACATTCACACAAAAGATTGCACCCCATGTGGAGGGGAAAAAAAAAAAAGCTTGATATATATTTCTATACATAAGAGGCTTCAATTAAGTGCCAGGAATTGTTGCATTGTTCCTCAGATCTATCTGCCGTCCCATGAGCTGGTACTTCTCATAGTGAAGAAATATTCCATTGTATCGTTATGCTGTAGATAAGTCCTAATTATTCTGTTCTGATTATATTTGATTAAGTCATTCTTCTCACACTCTCAGAAATCACACAATCTCATTGAAGGAGTAATTTCCTTCTTAAAAAGCTAATTAAGCCAATCAGAGCACAAAGGACCGGCTCTCACCATGACCCAGCATGCATGACTATTAATTATCTAAAATTGCTTACAAAGTTTTAATTTTCTTGTCTTCTCTTTGTAGTGTGCTTCACAGTGAGGTGACAGAGTAATGCGTGTCATGAAGTCCAGCGTGAGTTTTGTTTGTACCTTGAAACTTTGAGGAGGTGGCAGTGCTGTAGTGATGAACTGCAGCTACTGTAGCTGTAAAAAAAAAGAAGATAAAAATGTTTGTTCATTTCAAAAAAATAAGATGAAACTGGATCCCTTTTTCCAGTTTCTGTATTTCTTCTTGCATTATCACATGAAAACAACACAATCAACTGAGATAAATGACTGTTTGCTTCAATATGATCAACTTATGGCAGAAAAGTTGTACAACTGTGCAAAATGTTACATTGACTTTGAAAGTAAAGTTATTTTTTTGTATGATGGAATTTGTTCTCTTTGCTTTGCACCACTGAATGTGGCAGGGTTACAAACTAGGGCTGGGCGATACGGCCTCAAATAAATATCACGATATATTGAGCAGTTCACCTTGATAACGATAAATGGACGATAACTACTCCACAAGCTGCTCATCCCCTCCCACATTAACTTCGTCTACTTCAGCCACGACTCCAGCCCCTACAACTTTTGAAGCGTTCTCCATCTCCTCACCTGTCTTCCACCCTTTGTTACAGACTGAATGGGGTGGAGTCTTTCCAAGTGCCTGCTCCTCGATTGGCTTCTGGGGCTACTACTGAGAAGCAAGGGGGAAAACAATTTACGTTCTGTGTAATAAATTTCCTAAGTTTGTCCACAGTTCCATAAGCTATACTGGTGGAGGCGGGACTTCTGACCTATACCACCAGAGGGTGCTGTTCTCGGAGTGGCTTCACCCAGCGAGGAGGCAGATGGCGTCCATTTTTATATACAGTCTATGTGCTCCCATGACAAACGAGATTTTAAATCAGAATTAAATTGCATCACTCTATCATACTGACTTAAAAGGTTTAATGTTTCATGAGCATGTCCACCAACGTAGGACAGCGTCTTAAAGGGACATGAGACCATAGCCTCCTTACACACATCCAAAACCAACTTTTCATTATCTAATTATTGACACTGAATATACCGACATGGGCAAAATGATGTTGGTTATTGTCGTAAATTTCAGTATTGATAAATTTTCGGTTTATCGCCCAGCCCTATCACAAACCAATTCACCAAGATGAAGGGGTTTAGCCAAGCTAGCGTATACACACTTCTTTTTTCAGACTCTGTTGTTCATGCCCACCTCAAGACCTCAAATGTTGCTTCACATTCAGTAGTTGTGCTGAACTGTTTCCACATTTTATGTAGGATAGCAAAGGCATGACCTGCCCACCTCCATCTCTAACTGACTTCTTGCTACCTGGGTAAGGATTTCAGGGTGAGCCTATTAGAGAGAGAGTCCAAACATGTTGCCTGCCCGTATTGTCGAATAAAAACACTGTGCAATAAAGCCTTTAACAAAAATGTTTGTTACACAAGTAAAACCACAACAAGCAAGTTGTGAATGATCATTTTTTGACTTTAATTTCCTTAAGAGTTTTTGCAGCATATGAGTAAATTTTATAAAACGTGCATCTCCCAATTTACCAATGACACTTCTTTTGCATTCATCAAGCCGTAAACAGGCTTGAAAACCAAGGTGTTTGTATGTGCATGCTCTCTGCATGGATTAGTTGAAATGCGTTTTTATCCTCTGAGGTTGTTTGTGCGTGTTTAATGTGTGTGCACATGTAGGATGTGTACCCTAAGGGTGTGGGTCTCCTCCTGATGAGGAGTTTCTTCACAGCAAACATTCAGAATTGTCTCCAGAGGGACATTGGACCCTTTCACTACCTACTGCTGTGATCCCACCAGCTAATGAGCCTGTCTGACAGACACACACATAAACAGCTTCTCAACACTGAAAAGAGACACATTTCAAAGTAATCACACGCGTCTCTAATCCCCTGAAGGATTCAGGAAACATACTTACAGGGGGGTAAAACTCACATGAGTCAGTCTATGTGTTCTGCATCATTGACACCATCAAACTTACACCAGCATGATCCATGTGTCTAATTATTCACGTGTTCAACAAACCGGTCAAAACGCTCAGGGAGAAGAATATGTCATTGACTCTGTTCAGCTGTGACAAGTACAAGAAAAATAACTATCATCCTTAGTCTGCTTTTGTTCTCGCTTTGGCGTGTGAGGAGCAGAGTTTAAAGTGTTGTAGTTATCAGCTAAAATGACTCTTTACAGGAGTGGGGTCACTTTGTGGTGAGGCTTTTGTCAAAACATTAGGAAAGTGTGAGCTCAGTTCTAATAAAACACTCACTAATGCATCAGTAGTTTATAATCATTGCGTTCCTTCTAGTCGGCTGATTAATATGATATATATCAGCAAGGCAACATAATGGGAATAATGTATTATACGCTGGTTTCCAAATTGATGGAGCTGCAATTCACACAGCCAACACACTGGCTGTTTAAAATAAGGCTCACTCATGTTTGGTCTGTGAATTATATCAGAAGAGTCAAAGGTTTTACTAAAAAGTACTCAGTCTAGATCAAGTGTTTTGAGGTATTGACAGTCACCATCTTTTCGAAGAATTAAAATGTTGATAAGTTTGTCATGGTGGTTCTTATAGTGGGCCACATGTTTCTCACAGAGGATGGATGAAGAGGAAGGAGCAGACTGCTAGTGAGCTACCTGCAGCAGCCCTTTCAGAGACGATCAGGCACTTTAAAAAACTGGATTTTCAATATGTATTGTGGACCAAAACACAATGTTACAGCTCATTCATTTGAACAGTTATACATCCTAACCATTCAATGATTCTGTTACGATCTTCTGGAAGTAGTATATTTCAAAATAAAAGCCCAAAATGATCATGCAGGAAATAAAGAAACCTGAACGAGGCAGAAAAATTCTCAAAATAAAAACACAATGATCATTTATGGGATGTTGTCTGCTTTAAAGAAGAGTCAAATCAAAATGAAGAATGACATGAAAGGTAATTGTGTGTAGTAGTAATGTTTATGAAGATATGTTGCTCTCACCTTGTTGTGCATTTTTCCAATTTAACAATATTGTCGTTGCTGTTACCTATAGCTATTTATGCCTATGAGGTGGATTGGCGTCTCAGTTGTTACTAAAACCCGGAGCTGCTCCACCTATAAAGACCTTCAGGACCAAACGCTGTCAGCAGCATTATGACAGCAGGTAATGTTACACACAGCTTTCTTCTAATAGCTATAATGGGGAGCCTACAGACAGCTCTAGACGTTTTCTATACAGACATACATTTCAGGTCATTTCATGAGTACAAAGCGGAGTCCGGATTAACGCCCACCAGCTGTGTCTGACTTGGAAAAGCGGTCAGGGTGAAGCGTTTGAGATTAATAAGGAGTTTTTGGAGCTGCAGATCATGCAAAGCAAACTTATGGGTATCTGGGACTGACGGGATGAAAGGTGACAATGAATTAGACAAGTCTCCTTTCAGTATCTTGTTTGCTAACAGTCTGTTACAGTTAGAGCTGCATCCACAGTTATTTTGACCTCTGGCCATCACAGTCACAGTGTGGCATTTCCTTTGTCTTCATTCATTTTACTCACATCAAACAAACCAACATTAAGAACAAACAATCAGCAGAGAAAGTGTCTACACCGGCTTTATTCAAGGCTTGTTAAGATGGTCTGGGAATCTGAATACCTTGTCTCCAACATACCTCCCTGTTGAGGTATTCTGGACACGTCCAATGGGAGAAGATCCCTGAACACACTCAGGGGATTTCATGTCCCATTTGCTGTGGAAATGCCTGTGGATGCCCCACAAGGAGTTGGAGGATGAGCCTGAAGAAAGGGATGTTAAACCTGCTGCAACAGCGCCTGGTTCTGGATCAGCTGCAGAAAATTGACAGATAGATTAAGAGAATTTATGTGTGAATGTAAGACTGCTACAGTGCATCAAAGTTAGATTGAAACTAAACAAACTGTATCACTCAGGACGACCTGTTTACAGACACTTTTCAAATTCAGAGTGTGGTATAGGTGGCATTAGGCATTCTGCTCGTCAACCACTGACTCTTCCCATATTGATTTCGATTATTATTGAAAGTAGAGTAAAGCTGAGGGTCATGATACAAACTGCTTAAGTTTTATACAGCTATAAACTTTGCATAGTGTGTCCTTTCGGTATTAATGCAAGTCTCTGTGCAAGTTTATAAGATGTTGATGTCTTCTTCTTTCAGGTCGTATGGTTCCCCCAGAGACAAAGTGGATGTCCTCCAGTGCCTCAACTTTTTCAATCAGAGAAAACTACAGACTTTGCTTATCCACTATCAAGTTATCCAGACCTCTCTTAATGTGCAAATACTGCTCCAGTAATCAGAGTAACCATAATTATTACATTATCACCAGAACATAGAAATAATTCTGTTTATGCCAATACAAAACAAGCCTTTACATAGAAGTGTGTCGTCTTCCACCGAGGCGATCCAGATTATACACAGTGTACACTGAAAAACCCCATTAAAGAGTGAATGAGACAAAAGCAGAGGTCATGTGTAGCACAGGAGGCCAATATTTCTAGAATACAGCTAGTTTTGGTCAGCGATTGTGTCTGTGATTCAAGGTAGTATAGGTCAACTAGTTCACAAAAATGATAATCAATCACATGACGCTGAAGTAAAGCATCAGCAGTTCTGATTGAACTTGTTTCATTCTAACATCATAGCTACAAAACTTCTGCGACAGATGTAACAGGGCAACATGTAGCTGATAAAAGTCTCACTGCCCGAGGCTCTGAAGAGTCCAAACTGCCCGAGGCTTAATGTCTGGGATTTAATTATTGATGATTTCATGAAACTCAAATGTGACAAGCTCAATGCAAATAACAAAAAGAAACATATAAATCAGTAAACGAACCTTCTCTGGGAGGTAGGAATCACTTCACTGCTCTGAAAAATCTCACATTTATTTTTATATGAATGTATAATAGTCCTGTTTTTTCCCTACAGAGAAAAATAGTTAATTTGTTCCCCAAACAAACACCACTCATTAAAACGAGTTAATAATAATCACAGTGTTGATTATCATTAGCTCGTTTTATAACAAAGATGAGACACATGATCCAAACTCTCGCTACACTGCTGAACTTTTAGATCCAAAGAGGTGCTTTACCTTGAACACTTATGAAAGATATAACTTCATAATTTACTTTTGGTAACAAGAAATAATTCAGAGTTGGGGATACATTTGGTATTTGATTAAAATCAAGAGCTTTCATTGGCAGACAAACAAAACTCCTGTATGTATCTACCAATCACTGCTGACACTTATTAAATATTGTCTTTAGATTTTACGACACTGGCCACAATAAACCACATCGACAAGGAAATATTAATTATTTCTAAGAAAAAAGCTGAAATTCAGTTTATTAAATTCTGCAAACCTTGTTCAACTGTCCACTTACTTTTGGACATTTATTGCAGTTGTGTCCTTATTTTACCGCCTTCAGCAGGATGAGCTTATAAACTCGACTAAAAACGAAGGTTTGTATGGATCTCAATCCCTCTGTGTCGTTTCTTGTGTCTTAAACACACCGTCTCCAGTCCAATTACTCCTCATCCTTCACATACAGGCCTTGATATTGTCTCTGCTTGTAAAAACACTGGCTGACGAGCTCAACATACTTCCAAAAAGAGTTATTTTCACAGCAGCTTTGACGTGCTAGAACATTGCAACATTAGCATGTGAAATGGAGCAAACAATGCCCCAGTATGACTCTCTCACCATGAGCTGTCGGCTGTAATAGACCAGTAATAGAGGATGGCACAGCCTGTTATACACTCACACTGAGACTTGGAGACAGACACCAGACTGATATCCTAAATCCTCCTGCTTTTATTTGGCTTTGCTCTCATTGTGTTTTTCTACCAAGCGCCTTCCTTATTTTTGCAGAACAGAACAATTCTTTGCATTTGGCAGCAGAGTGGGTGGAGGTGGAAGAGGGTGCAGGAGGAATGAAGACTGTATTCAGCTGATTAGTGGTCGGGTTTGAAGGAGAAAGAGACGGTTAAGCCAGTTAGATTCACCTCACTGTTGCCTCTGATGTCTGGGCGCAAAAAATCAAATACTTCTCTCTGAGACACTGAGACACTTTATGATACGTGTATTAAAAATGCAATTGTTTCACTTCCTGATGTGCACCAGGAAAGGTGATTGATCTGGAGAAAGTGGGTGTCCTGCAGCTTCTCTCTTTAGACTGGAATAAGATACTTTATTGAAAAACAAAATAATCAGATAAGATAGAAATAAGTGGTATATGCATGCAACTATACCAATATGGGCAAAATGACGTTGGTTATTGTCGTAAATTTCTGTATCACCCAGCCCTATGTTCAAATACACATAAAGTGAGGAAGTAAATTATTGACAATGGATCACTGTCTTTTAATGAGGCTGGGCTGACTGTCAGTATCAACCATGTTCAACTCAGAGCTTTTTACTATCATACTACTATGTTTCTACCTCTGTCAAAAATTAGGGGTGTCCCGATGTAACTTTTTTACTTCCGGTACGATAAAGATATTGATTTGATATTGGCACAAACTTGTGCATGACAAGTTTTGCACTCAGCTGCAATGTCTTTTTTTGGACTTGAACAAAAAAAAGAAAAATGCCACACATCACTACTACTTCTTGCTACTTTGTTAGTGCTAGGGCTGGGCGATATGACCTCAAATCAATATCACAATACATTAAGCAGTTCACCTCGATAACAGTAAATGGACGATAACTACTCCACAAGCTGCTCACCCCCTCCCTCATAAACTTTGTCTACTTCAGCCGCTACAACTTATGAACCGTCCTCCATCTCCTCACCTGTCTTTCCCTCTTTGTTACTGACTGGATGGGGCGGAGTCACATCTCTGTTATAGGACAGTGCCTTAAAGGGACATGAGACCATACCCTACCTACACACATCCAAAACCAACTTTTATTTATTTATTTTTTTGATACCCAATATATCCACATGGGTAAAATGACATCGGTTATTGTTGTAAATTTCGGTATCGGTAAAATTTCAGATTATCGCCCAGCCCTACGTGCAACTGTTATTGTTATAATTATTGAACATTTGTTATGAAAAATGTGAAGGCTATGGGATCAAGTGACATGTTAAAGCCACATGGTATGATGTCAAATAACTACACCACAGGATCATGTAAAGCTGTGATATAATGTAATAAATAGAAAGTTATTAGAAGGTGCTGGAAACAATACAGCAGTGATAATATATTCTATAAAATAGTACTAATAAAATTACTAATACTACCACTACTACTACGACTACCACCACTACTACTACTACTACTACTACTACTACTACTTCTAATACTACTACTACTACTAATAATAATAATAATAATAATCACGTTTTTATATAGCATCTTACAACATCTGGAAATATACACCACAATACAATAAAATGCAATACTGACATGGATATACAATCCAAAGATAGTGTTCACCTACAAAATGAAAGTAAGGTTCACAAGTTTAAGGGATCATATCAGTTTTTTTGTATGGAGTTTGATTTAAGTAATAGAAGCAATTACACCAGATATGTGGAAATTTAGTTCATATTTTTAATATCTGTCTAATAACTGTCCTTCTGTGCATTTGCAGGTTCATTGTGTGCATATGGCCTAAACCTTGTGGTGCCATCAACAGGTGAGAGAGTGAAATACTCTCAAGAAACTTTAGATTGACATCTATGGGTTTACAGCATAGTGCATGTGCAGAGTCTGAGAGGACCGCTGAGATCTTTCACTGGCCTCCTGTTCTTACCTGAGCAGGGATTATGAGGTTTTATGGCTGGTCTGCTCATGTTGTATTCATGGTTTTCATGATTGAGCACATAAGATGCTGGTGGCAAGAACCAAACACCTAAACAAAGAGGAAAAGAAAAAGAGAGAGGGATAAGAAAAAAGTACAGGGAGTAAATTATGAAGTAGCATTATTGTTAAAAACTGACAACTCAAGAGTGCCATCTAGTGTAGAAAAGTAGAAGCACTGACCGGATTAAGTCTTGGCCTATAGGACCTTGTTTTATTATATAAATGCAGGATATAGGGTACAATGTGGAAAAAAAAGAGCACACAGCACAGTGTTTTGTCCCTAAATATAAATTAAAAAGACTCAATGGAAATGTTCCCTGTAATATAAAGTCATCTGAAATTTCACTTTGCCATTTTTCCATCCCCACAGTGTTACTCCATTAGCTGAAATGTGCTCTGAAAGAACCTCCTCTCTGTACATCCATCACTGATCATTATGGCATCTTAGCGTAATTGCCCTCCCCCTGTTGTGTGCACACACTCGCCGGTCCTGAATGCCAGCAGTAATATCTCTGCTTCAGAGAGAGAGAGAGGGAGAGAGAGAGAGAGAGAGAGAGAGAGGGAGAGGGAGAGGGAGAGAGAGTGATGTGCATAACCAGCTCATTTCCACCGCCAATCAAATTACCCGACCTAGCCGCAATACATCACTGCCAAACTGTTTATTAAACAAAAAGCCATGATTAAATTATTAATGACAGAGATTAATTAAGACCCCATGCACTACACACACACACACACACAACAAACACACACACATATACACACAAAACATGGACACGCTTACACATAAATCCATAAACTGCGTACACACAGGCCAAATGCCATTACTCTTTTGCACACTTTTCAAGCGCACAAATGGCTGCACAAACACACAATAAGTTACAAATGTCCACAGCCGCTCCAAAGGAGAGGGAGAAGAAGGGGAATCATTTGTCGTCCAACTTTTATATGTGCGGCAGAAACAGATGAGGAGCACGCCGGCTGTGTAAACAGTAAACAGCATCAACCAGCAGTCAACAAACAAAGCCAACAAACAAACATTAATGAGCTCGTTGTCAGCAAACTTTTCTTGATGTTTCCATGAGGAGTTTGTTTATGGTGGTGCTTATGCTGCCGTAATGGTTTGTTAGGGGTAGCATCTGTTGCAGTTTGGGCCGCAGCATGCTTGTGAGAGTGGGATTTGGTGTAAAGGAGCAGGTTTGTGTGAGCCGAATACAAGCAAAAAGAGTGTTTTTCTGTGTGGCTGAGAACTTTGAGACAAACTTAGGTTGGCAGTGCCAGAATAGACTGGAAAAGTTACCCAACAGTTTATGGACTATGATAAATACTGTATAAAGGATGATTCAAATCAGTGAGAGTGAGGTTAGGAATAATCATAATAGGCTTTTTTTAACAGCAGAGGGTGCTATCTTATATCTTGTCTCTTGCTTTCTCGTCTTTTCTTGAATGTTATTATGCCCCTAATCCCAAATTCTGCATAGAGACCTGCAGACCAACAAAGCAAGATAGCAGGACCTGTCATATCAGACTTTCTTTTGGCAGCCTGCATGGTGTCTTTATAATCTTTTTAATAGTTTTTTTTTTTTTTTTTCAAATTAAAGAATAAAGGTCCTTACACACCATGAGTGTTTTTTTCGTGCAATTATTTCGGACTTCAATATTTTTTTTCGAACCCGTATCCTCTCAGTACAAGCGTTCATATCAGCGTCAAAACACAAATATTACAAAGATAATGACCTGAAGGACAACTTGTGTAGAGTCATAGCGTCGGATTTCTCATATGACGATGGTTTGTGTGCTTTAACAGTTTGCTAAACATCTTTGTTTTAACTTTCATCTGTGCTAAGTAACTTTAGCTCGTAAGCTAACCTGTTCAGATACAACATACCATATGTATTTTCACTGTCTCAAACTCAATCACATTGCTGTCACAGCACCATTAGGTCTTGGCTGTTACCTTACGTTTATGGATTATAGTTTAATGTTCTTATCTGGAACTGACCCCGACTCAGTACATGCTATCATGACAGACAGACATCTCAACACTAGTGTCTCATCAGAATAGTCCAATTCTTGAGTAAAACGCTCCTCTGCTCACTTCTGTCCTTCATGGAAGTGATGGCAGTTGTGATACATTACCAGTATGATCCCCAATTGGTCAAGTTTTTACTACGAAAAAGACAATCACGAGCATGGCTATGTAGTCTATGTATGAGGATGCAGCTGTTACTTCAATATGAAGCTTGAGACTAAGCAGAGGGTGAGAGACAGGGGATGTAGATCATCATCACACAACCAGGACCCACAGGAAGGTAGGAAAAGTCCAAATAAAACCAGAAGTGAGAGCATGCTTAGCTGAGGCGGCACTACAGCAACTGCTGCTCAGACGACCTCCTACACTCTTGACTTGATCATTCTCCGGATTTCAATATTAAAACTGACACTTTAAATGTATATTTAAGTGTCCAGAAAGTCCAGTCTGACATCAACTTGCTTAAAAGTTTTGTAAAAACTGTGTGATACTTGTGAGGAGCCTTGTGTGCCGTTTCTCCACCATGTGAACCATCTCCAGAAATAACAGGCTTGTCAAAATGCATAAAGTGAATTGCTCTGAAAAGGTTTGGCTTCGTGTCACACGCAATATAAACTCTGATGATGACCTGTCTTTTCTCCTGCTGCCTGCAGACTGCTATCAGAAGCTTGTCGGACTTTTTTGTTATTTGTTTCTGAACGGATGGGCCGCAGTGATCTGTATTAATGGTGGATATCTGCAAGAGATGCATAATGGAGGCTTTCCAGTGTGGCTACCACAGTCCCACTCCACACCACAGTCATTTTATGATAAGGGAGATCTACAGCTTGAGATTGGTCCCAGGACAGAGCAGCCGACACTGGCCATAAAAATACACAGGCTATAAAAGAATACTACTGAGTGTGCATGTGTGTGTGTGTGTGTGTGTGTGTGTGTGTGTGTGTGTGTGTGTGTGTGTGTGTGTGTGTGTGTGTGTGTGTGTGTGTGTGTGTGTGGAAAAGACAGGAAGAATGAATTTGCATGGTATGTGTGTGTGTGTATGTAAAAGAACAAGCCTGAAGAGGCCAAAACAATCAACAAGCATCAGCACTTTATGGTGGCGAATACTACATCACTGTGACAACAAAGGCAGTAAAGCGCTGTAGGCTGCTGTAAAACATTGTGTGATTCTGCAGTGAGATGATCGTTAGCACAGCTGGTTAATTGCCTGACCACTCCTCCTCTAACACACACATACACAAACCCGACACCCTCTAACCATGAGAAATGCAGACCCTCCTGTATATGCACAAAAAACTCCAGCACGCACATTCCCCCCCAAAGAAGCCGTAAAGTTGTATGATTGATGATGGAGGAGTCTGTTCGGTGTAATCAGTCAGGGAGGAAACGCTGTATTTAGATGCTGCTTGTTGTTTCTAGACAGATTTATCACAGTGTAATTAGTTTGCAACACTTCAACCCTGGTGGCATTTTACTACTTCATATTAAATTCCCACAGTTGCTGCACCTTTACTGTTAAATCCTGTACCGTAAGAAAACAAGAGGACCTTTAGCAGTCATGTTGTCACATTAAAGTTGAAAATTTTTCACAACGAGAAAAAATATTGGGTTTAATCAGTGGAAAACCAGTTACATCACACTTGGTTTACATTTTTAAACCACTCATTCATCTGCAACAAGTGTGTTGAGATCATTATTACAACCTGTCTGAGAGTGTTTTACAAGATAGCAGGAAACATGCAGACTTTTTTTAAACCAGGGTGTGTACTATTTTTGGTTATGAAAACCAAATTGGTGATCTGGAAACATCCACAAGTCCACAGGAAACATCATGTGATTTGCCATTAAGTGCAGAGAAGAATGATCGCAACAACAAGCTGATGAGAAAGTGACAATGGCAGCACCAGTGTGGATGTTTTTCATCATGATAGAGGAAACAGAGAAGACGTGATGAATATTTCACTCTTTGCAAGGGAGAAAATTCCTCATGTGTTGCTACAGGGAGTCCCCTCTCAAAAGATTTTGTAGCAATAAAGATTTATGGAAGTATGACGCATGGTCTGTCCTCTATAATGTGATTTTTATACACATTCACAGTCTGAACAACAATGTCAGTGACCAAGGTTTTACAAAATCTGACCTTGGCACAGTCAGTATGATTAGTTTGACAGCAAACGAGATGCCTTAAACATGAAAAACACATTGATGCATGCAAAAGAGATGATCCCTACAGACAACTGTTCATGTCATGCAGCTAAACTCTAAGACAGAAGAGCTGAGTGTGCAAATAAACAAAGGAAAGTACTTCCATATGTGCCAGTGTTATAGCCCGTGTGAGGTCAAATTTGTGCATTTACAAACTGAAGCAATGTGAATGTCTGACTCAAATTATCTGTCACAATACTTTCCTCACTATGCATGGTTTTCTCATATGAGAGAGAAGCAGTATAAACAACACCAATGTCCTGTGGTCTAAAAATCTGACACACGCTTGTGATGAGTGAAGGTGTGTGTAAAGGATCGGTTTAATTAAAATATAATGTTTCATAAATGAAATCCCTCTCCATCTTCTCAAGTTGCAGCTTGAAGGTTTAATTGAGTTCTTCAAAGTGAGCCAAACACAAATACTAGTCTAAAACATGTCAGTTAAATGTCTCTAAAAAGAGATGGTCAGTTTTTGACATTTTTGATCAACAATTGTCGATGAAACTTGATTTTCACCATTATTTTTCTTTTCTCTTTATGGTGATATAACTATTTCAATCTTAATCCGACATCTTTAGAGAACACATGATCTGATTCCTCGGATTATCCTGAACAAATGACGCAAATCACAAGGTGGTGCATCACTCAGGTGACATCTTTTTGTTCAAGTACACCAGGCGTAAAAAAAATAAGGGAAAACTGCCTTGGACCTTAGAGGGTGAGTGGTTGGGCACTGTTTGGAAAATGAAGACTATGAAAGCGGATGTTGATTGATGTTTTTGATGGTAAAAACTGAACAAATGGAGGAAACATCACAGTAGTTTCTTGCCCTCAAAGACACTGATCCTTCTCAGATGAGGGGGGTGAGCAAGGGAGCCTTTCAATCCAGAGTCTCATTGTTTCATATATTTGCAAAATATGATGATTGTTACACTTTATACTCAATAAATCAGTCTGATTAATAGCATTTTGAAGCAACTGGCATCACATCGGTATTGGCCCTGTGATAAAAACACATTTGCCTAATTCTCACTGACAGCAAATCAAGTCTAAAACAGTCTTTGGATAGTTCAGTGTTGCTTCTGACATGAATATCAGTAAGTCTGTATACTCAAAAGAATCACTTTATGTATTTTTCTCCTTTATCAGTTAATTTAGAAAAAAAAATTATCAGCTCAGACGTCAATAAATATTATTGGTTCTTGTGGCTTTGGCTGTTGAACCTTCATTATACCTCTACTTTCTTCAGCTGTCAACAGATTGCACTCTGATCGTAACTCTTCTCTGGCATATGGGATATGTGGCATTTTGATAATAACGCTGTAAATATGGGAAGTAAGGGAGCGGCTCCAATTTCCTGCATGGACTGCAGGAAATGACTGAGTTTTCCAGAAAGCAAAACCAAAAGCAATTAAGACGTTTGCAGTTCATCACTGAAATTGAATTTAGTGAAATACAACCCAATCATCATTGGCTGGCTGCTAGCCCTACACTAAATTATATATTTAAACATATTTTACTAATAACTGCAAAATGCAGAAGAAAGTGGATGGCATTATTTTAATTAGACTACAGCTTTGAATAACCTTATTATGCATGCCGTGATAATAAACAGCACACATGACAGGGACATAGGCCATAACTAATAACTAGTATGTTTAATATTATCCAATCAGGCAGAGTTCACAAGGAAGAAATAAAGAGATAAAACAACGTGTATGGGCAGGAGGGTCAGTGCCTGCAGAATGTTCCTGAGTGACAGAAAAACAGACATTTGTTAGGGCGTGAATTTGTGTTTATTTAATATGTTTGTGTGTGTTTGTGTGTGTTTGTGTGTGTGACTGCAGGGGTGAAAGATGGACAGAGACAGCCGGAGAGAAACCAATACAGACAGCAACACAGACAGATAAAAGCCCCATCGTCTGTCTTTTTTAGAATTGATGGTTGTTGTTGGGATTGGTTAGGGCTCCATTGCTAACGAGGCACATTCAGGTGATTGATGGAGCTTTAATTCTGAAAAGAAATTGAACTACAAGCCCAGAAAGCATTAGTTAAGCAGCATGACATCCTCCCCATCTGTCTGTGCCTCAAAAACCTCCTTTTCACCTCTTCTTTTCACCCAGTCGGCCACCTTGGTTTACATTTAGCCAAACATCTATCACTCTATTGTCTTTTTGTAATTGTTGAACCTGATTAAAACTGTGTTTAGGGGGTAGACAACTTTTACAAGGTTGCTTTTAACTTTAAATCAGATACACTTAAGTTCCAGTTAAGACCAAATACATGCTATTCAACAGACATTTCCACTAGGGCCTGACCGATATGGGTTTTTTGGGGCCGATGCCGATGCCGATTATTAGGGGGAAAAAAATCAGATTACCGATTAATCAGCCGATTTTTAAAATTTTTTATGTTAAGTTATAAAATACATATATACTATATACTATACTGGCTACCACTATGTAGGCTACCACTCTTAACACCGACAGGAAGACCGACTGATCAAACTCGGACCAGAAAAGCATCTTCAACTACCATCTACAGGATAAGTCTGAGAACTTTTCAAATGGTGGAACATTTTCAAAGTGAAACCAAATCTTATTCTTCGCATTTTATTTCTGAAGATATCAGCGAAAATCGGCAAGTTTGGGCCGATTACCGATTAGTCTCAAACGGGCTAAAATTGGCCGATTTAATCGGCTCGCCGAGAAATCAGTCAGGCCCTAATTTCCATCAGCCCTCACTTTTCATTTACCCTGAGAGTTATCCACAATCCCTTATCTTTCATTAAACCAAATAATAACAATATACGATAGCCCATATCTTATTTCAACTTCTAACAGAGTTGTATTCTATGCTTCAGATTTAAGCAAGTGGGAAATTTACACGTTTTTAATTAGGGGTGGGAGAAAAAAACGGTACAGCGTAGTACGTGTCTGGTGATATATCGTATCCTCTTTTTGACCAAGTATCGATTTTTCAGATTAATTGCTAATGTGAAGTCAAATTTATGATAATGGAAAAATAAAATCAACTGTTTGTCCAGAGGAGAACAAATATAGATATAAGGTTTACAAGATGTGCTACATGAAAATAAAATACTGCGCTAATAAGGCAATAAAAAATTGTATAAATCGCAATATATTGTATCGCAATACTCACTGTATTGCAATTTGTTAAAAATCGCAATATTAGTGTATCATGGCCCAAGTATCATGATTCCCATCCCTATTTTTAATAAGTTTTTTGTCGCTATAGCACCTCCCCGCTTACTCTTGCAATAGGAAAATATCACTACCAGCTGTGTACAAAAAAGGCTGAATATTAATCAAGTAGAAATTTCAGTCACTAGACAAGCACAATAATGTCATAAATTAAATCCTATTATTTTTCCTTTTTTCTTCTCCTTTTCTTCTCATCTTGTTTCCTTCTTTCCTCCCTCCTACCGCCTTCATCATCCATCACTACGCAGCCATCACTGTTTCATTCTTAAGTGTGTCTTTTACTCTCTCTCTTCCTCCGACGTTGAACTATTCCTCACATCACCCAGCCGATTTGATCCCTCCCACTCTGACACTGATTCATCCGTCCACAGCGCCACACCCTGCCAACTCAGCCCTATCATTTATCAGTTCTCCTTCCTTAGATCGCAGCTTTCACCCTCCCACCACTCATCCTCTCTACACTCACATCCTCCTCTCTGGTTCGAAGGCGTCCATAAACAAACAAATAAAGGTGTTACACCTCAGTCTTCAGATCACAATAACACAAAACTCAAAAGCACTCTCCACTAACACAACAATCTGTCTTTCTCTGCTTATGGACAATTCATCTTCTTTCCTTTTTGAGCCAGCATCACATTATTGATATGTATGTTTGAATGGGTTATGTTACTATGCAATGACTGGTTTAAACAGGCAGTCTGTATGCATGGAGACGCACTGAATTATACTACCTTGACTTCCATGTATGTGTTTATGTACCATCCTGGTGTTACTCTGTGATATGAGGCTATATACACTCTTAACCACATCATAATGCTCCATTGTGGTCTGTGTGTGTGTGTGCTGCAAGGAATGCATGGTCGGAGTGTGTGTTCACCGGTGTTACAAAACAACTCAATTCCCTGTTTCTAATGTAGAAACATGGAGGAAAAAAAACACAGAAAGTGGTTAAAGTTGAGCACAATTCATTTCAGAAATCTGAGTTTAAAGCTCCTCTGAGGAACTTCGACTTTGTGTCAGTTATGGCGCCCCCCCTGTGGACAGGACGCTCTTTATTTATTCTGTCCTCTGACGGTGAGTTGTGTTTAGTCTCTTTGCTAAAGAAATTAGGCAAAGTTAAAAAGATGTTTGGTGGCTAGTGTTGTAGCTAGGACCCTATATGTACTGTCAATGAAGTTAGGTGCTGTTCGGAGTATTATTTGTGGCTATGCAGTGGCATTTTGGTTGAAGTTTGTTTATGGCTCCTCAGACTGCTGTGTATTGCTATCCTGCAGTCGTTACTAAAGTTGGTATAACGAGAGAAGCAAGCGGTCAGCAACATTCATCTCTCGACGGGGTGTCTAACTCGATGTTACTGTGTGTTTGACCCTAATTTAATTTTACGCCGAAGTATCTCTTTAAACATGTTTATGAGAAAGGGTCCTTTTCTGGTGCTGAAGTACCCCCCCTTATGTAGAGGAGTGTTGCACAAAAATATGGACCCTGTGCACAGGCTTGTCCAATGCATCTCTATCCATTTTCAGTCTTTGTTGGCTCCCTATCCTCAGTCCCACTTTTCACCGCGGTCTGACACCCTCGCTTCTGTTCTCATCTGAGGTTGTTGTTGATGAGCCGAACAGAAGTTAAAGGTTGAATATCATTTATTCAGAGCCCCGCTGCAGCTTTAATATTATCTCTCATTTAGAATAAATGAACTTTAAATGGAAAGCCTTTGATTGTTATTGTTGTGTTATTGAATGCTGCATGCCTCAAGGTTAAAGTGCTTTCACTCAGGGGCCCATCGCAGGCGGACTCCAGTGTTTGTACATGCATCCCTGATTACTCTAGAGCATTATCCATCTTCTACTGTGGAGGTGGTGTTGTGTTCCTTTGATTGGTTGCCTATGGATTTATAGAGATATTATTAGCTATATTAGGGATCATCATAATAAAGTGAGAGTGATGAGCAGGAAAAAAAGGGCAGAATTTCACTTGAAAAACGAGAGGCGGCCGTCCTTTGTGGAAACTGCTTGGAAAACAAATCAAGCCTGAGTTCACAGTCGTATGCTCATTTGTGTGAACCCGCCTACACACATCTACACACACACCCACACGGTCTCAAAGAGTGAGTGAGAATGAGTCACAATAGGAAAGACCTTTGATATTCAGCTGTCATGATTCAAGAAACATCTGCAGACGAGAGCGATTTCAAATTTGGAAAAAAAAAAAAAAAGCACGTTTCTGCAGCCTGACGTGGCCTTTCTCGACGGTTCACTTTATTGTGCAAACTCTATGATGTTTCCCGCATGACAGAAATATATGCAATGAGGCGCGTACATGCATTTTAACCTTAAGCATGGGTTGAAGAATATAAATACAAGATGCAAAATGTTGTGTTTATAACATCAAAGTGTTTGCCGGCGAGCACCAGGTCACCTAACTTACAGCTACTCCCCTTTTTGTTCAACGACTGTCTGTTTTTTAAAGTATTTTAAACAAGTTTTTTGCAGAAAACCAACCCAGACAAGCTGACCCTCCTGAGGCTTTTCATGGTCTCTGTTGTTAAACAGTGCCACCCAGAGGCAGATGAAGTTATAGCAACAGAAAAGAAAAGAAACCCCACAGTGGTCCAGGATCTGTGCAGCTATTGATCACTATTATTATTCATGATCAACTGTCGGGTCATCACACACACACACACTACTGCAAACATCTTAACACACACACACACATTTATTATTCAGTCCAGTGGAGCCATTAATCAACATGTAGATCTATACTGCCACAGACACAATACATCATGAATGAGTTACTGTGTTGTACACACAAAGAAATGACACTAAACACAGGTCTACTTGTTTCATGTGTTTGTTTATCTGCATTATTGAAAAAGATCAAAACATTTTGAAGAAATTGAATTTTTATCTAATTTATTTTATTTCACTTTAAAACGTCTCTGTTTCTGCTCATTTCCAGCCCCATTAAGTTGCCATATCTATAGAGAGTAAAGCTATATATGTATAACACAGAGCTGATACCTATTGCAAGAGCTGACGTGGTGCAGGAAGACAACAGCGGACACAAGCGATACTGGGATAGGCACAGACCAGCACAAGTGAAAGGTAAGGAAAACCCTTGCCAATCTGTTCTTGGGATTTGTGATAATGATCTGAGCCTGTCAGTGGTATAATAAAGCACTTGCAGTGACCGGATAATTGTGCATCCTCGAACTATGTTTTAGCTCCTTTCACAGCTGCCATCTGCTCCACTCTCCCTCAGTGTTGGACCAATTTCAGAAACTGTTCTTCCAATCATTCAAGCACACACAAACACATGTAAAAATACCAAAGAGGCACCAGAGCACACTTAACTGAAAAAGAGTTGTTTTTAGAGCGAAAACGAACACAGTCAAAGCCTCGTTTGAAAAAGAGTTTGCGGCTAAATAGTTCCCAGTTTTCTTAGCTACCATCACACCCACAGTATCTTTTAATGATGGGCAGGCATAGGCTGGGCAATATGGCCTCAAATCAATATCACCATATATTGAGCAGTTCACCTCGATAATGATAAATGGACGATAACTACTCCACAAGCTGCTCACCTCGCCCCACATTAACTTCGTCAACTTCAGCCGCCGATCCAGCTGCTACAACTTTTGAACCGTCCTCCATCTCCTCACCTGTCTCTCCCTCTTTGTTACCAACGGGATGAGGTAGAGTCACGTCTTTGACATAGGACAGCGACTTAAAGGGACATGAGACATAGCTAGGGCTGGGTGATAAAATGATAACGATATATATAGAAAATTAATTTCCTCCGATATCAGTATTAAACATGGTCAATATCTTTTTCGATAGTCAGCATTCTGCCATGTTTAGGTAGACTATACGAATAGCCAATGAAAAGGGGAATTTCTGCAGGTCCGCTTCAGGCTGAACCAATTATGTGCTGAAATAGAACCAAGTAGCAAACATTTGCGTAGTAGTGGGTTGCAACTACATGCAACCATAGCACTTTAACACCGAAAACAGCTGACCATTCAGTCCACTTTCTATGACGCAACGCCTTACAACAAAACGTTGAAGAGACACAAAGACCACACAGATGAAGTAGCTTATTGTTTTGCAAAAGACATGCTACCAATAAACACTATTAAATTTCATTTTTTATATGGTGATATCGATATCGACTGATAGGAAAAAAATATATCGTGATAAACTTTTTCCCATATCCCCAGCCCTAGACATAGCCTACCTACACACATCCAAAACCAACTTTTATTTATTTGTTTTTTTGATACCGAATATACCGATATGGGCAAAATGACTTCGGTTATTGCTGTAAATTTCGGTATCAGTAAATTTTCAGTTTATCGCCCAGCCCTAGCCAGGCACACTGTAGTTGCGTGCGAGTTAGCTAAAGGCCTGCCTCTGATAGGTTAACCAAAAGTGAGGTTGAGTCAGCATTATCAACATGGTGACCACCGCCAAAAGACTTCAAAACGCCACATCAGAAACAGATGGGTGACGCCACCGACACTACTTTCAGTCATGTTTTAAATGCTATGACTCTTAATGTTCCTTTATTTCCTTAAGTTTTTTGATTTTCTCCTGTTTTATCTATCTTCTGTTATTGATTTTATTGTGTTATCTATTTTTTTTCACTTCCTCTCTGCTGTGTTTTGAGTTCTTCTTTGGTCCTGGTCCAATCACTTAATGAAGTAAAATCACTGCATCAAAGTAGAGACGTCAGTAATGGTATTGCTGCTACCTCCTGTTTTGACGGTGTATCATTTTACAGACAGACAGACACGGATGGCCCAGTCACCTCTCAGTGATGGTCTGTGATTGCCGTGTGCTCTCTCTCAGTCCCTCTACCTCTGTCAAATTCCTCTGCGGTGGTCCTCATTCACCCTCAATCAGCCCGCTTCCTCTGTTTCTCGGTTCGCACTGTCTCTGTTGTTTTATCTCTCGGTGCGTGAACGAGGAGAGCGGATGTGAAATATTTTCATAGTTATCATGTAGTAAAGGTTGTGGTCAGTAAGTGTGTGTGTGAGCCAAGCAGGAAGTCTGGGGAATAGTCAAGGGTCATTGAGATGCAATTGTTCATGGATGAGAAAGAGCTGTCAGTCATAAAGTTAAGAATAACAACTTTCAGAGGTTGTTTTCTATCTAAGTGAGGAGATGAATGAATAGAAAAAATGTCTAATTTTCTGTGATTTAAACTAATTTATATATTTACAAAGTGATTAAGATACAAAGGAGTGCAAATAGTCTTAGAGAGGTTTTCAGCACTTTGTGAAACACTTGAGAGGAAGCCGACTCGAGTTGGAAAGTTCACCCTGGTTAAATAAATAAAATAAATCACTCATGTGCTCACATGGTCACTGGTGAGAACTGGGATAAGAAAAACAACACTTTTTTTAATGTTTTCACAGGAGCACCACTCCTACTTTAGGTCTGCACATCACTATATCCTTTTCCTCTCAGCAGACACAGTGATTCACTCTGATCCTACAATAATATCATTAGCGGTTGCAAAACAAAACACGGTTATTTCACGATCCAACGCCAGTGAAAGTACCTCTGGGTCTCTAATCAACGGTAAAAACATTGCGGGGTAAATACAAACATAAATGCAAATTGATGCATGAATGTATTCACATACGGGATCTGAAGGCGCCTAAAGCAGGAGCGTGAAATAAAAACTAGATTACTTAGATGATGTGGTGACTGCTGAAGCTCAGATACAGAGAGAAACCACACGGCTGTGCGGGAGTTTTGGATGAATAAACCGAATATGTTCACCACCATCTATGTTTTTAATTCTATAAATCCCCTTCCTGTCTACGTGACTTTTGGTGCCACTCTCTGCCGTCCCCTCGCATGCACATGCACCCATATCGCCCCATCATCATGGATAGCCATGATCTGCTCTGATATCGATCACCAGATGTAATGATCAAGGGATGCAGATGATGGCGCTGCCCTCATTGATTACCAGTGACAGTTAAAAAGCATGGCATAATTCCCATTGATCGCCAGGGCCAGTGTGTAAAAGATGGTGTCATCTACATTGATTAGCAATAAGAATATGTGGTGAAGATGTGTCACGGGTTCAACGCAGAGGAGCCCTCTCACTCACATTTCAATTCATCAAACGCACGCTGAGCTGAAAAGCTGCAGAGTCTTCGCTTTACGAATAAGAAAGGAGCAGGAATGAAACATGCGGTAGAAATGAACTTGTCAACACTCGATTTCCAGCAAACACAAAAGGGTTTTCCCAGACGATATGAGCGAAATCTGGGCAAGTTTTCACAACATTCTCGCCGCTACACGAAATAAAAACACGATTTCTCCTCATTTCACCACAAACATCTGGAAACTGAACCTTGGCTGTCACTTAGGGGATTCATGGAGAGTTTGTGAGGGATAACACATATCGTTGCGCCGTGAAAATACAAATCTGAGCCTGAATAAACACATTACAGTTACTGGCTGCAATCAATGTTTCAAATGAGTTTCCCTTGACGAAACATTACATGTAATGTTCATTAATCACAATTTTATTTTATGTCTTTTTCATCTATCTTTATCATATAGTATATCTCAACATAAATATTTGTCTTTGATGTCTGTTTCGTGTCTGGTCAGTTGTTGTGAACTTCCCAGAATATTCCCCTCTGTGTTTCAAGGGTGCTGGGACCTGAGCGTTGAATGGACACAGAAACGCCACTCTATAGCCACAAATAATGCTCAGAACAGCACCTGACTTCATCAACAGTACATATAGGGTCCTAGCCATAGTACTAGCCACCAAACATAACTTTGCCTAATTTCTTTAGCAAAGAGACTAAACACAACTCACCCTCTCTCTTCCAACAGCCGCTAGTTTGTAGGGAGACCTCTGGACGAGTGCATCGACTGCAGCGGGGTGACGCAGCTCAAGGAAGAACATTTATGACCATTTCTTTTATCATTTCCTTGAAGTAATAATCACCATATTAATCATTTTGCTCTGCAGATGCGGTAGTTCTGCCTTTAACGTATTGGTCTGATTGCATTTCCATGAAGTAATGATCATAAATGTTCTTCCATAAGCTGCGTCACCCCGCAGCAGTTGATGAACTCTCCTGGATGTCTCCGTACAAACAAGCGGCTGCTGGAAGAGAGAGGGTGAGTTGTGTTTAGTCTCTTTGCTAAAGAAATCAGGCAAAGTTAAAAAGATGTTTGGTTGCTAGTACTGTGGCTGGGACCCTATATGTACTGTTGATGAAGTTAGGTGCTGTTCTGAGCATTATTTGTGGCTATAGAGTGGTGTTTTGGTTGAAAGCGTGGCTCTCTGTATTGCTATCTGCGGTCATTACTAAAGTTGGTATAACTAGAGAAGCAAGCAGTTGGCAACATTTATCTCTCAACAGGATGTGTAACTCGGTGTAACAGTGTGTTTGACTCTAACTTAATTTTACGTCGGAATATCCCTTTAATCCATGTCTTTTATTCTGTTTACATCCCATGATAAGAGCATGATTATTTGAACTGAGAACTTGCTTTACCTGCTTGTGAAAATGAACGTTCAGGCTGTATTTTCCCACCCGTAACATTGATGAGTGTTCGACCGCACATGCGTGCCCACAAATAGATGGATGAGCTGAAGCAGCCAGACTTCACCGTGAATTATAATCACTTTCAATCTGTGTGTCTGAGTTCCTGCTCTGCTCTGTCTCACCAAGTCATGTGTGAGTATATTTCATGAGTGTAAGTGATGGAGCAGTGAATAGTGTTTCCCAAAGGGCCGTATAAATGTGTGTGTGTATGTGTGTGTGTCATTGTACCTGCTTATTATTCTCTCAGTCCCCGGGTGTTTGACCCGTCTCTCTGTGCTGTCGAGGTTTCATGTGAGCTGGAATATAATTCTATTTCCTCTGCTGTTCAAATACAGCACACACACAAACACACACACATACATATACACACACATACCTTTAGGGAACAGCCATCAGGGCGAGTGGTCCATCAGTCACCCTCACATAAGGTATTCAACTGCACTATGTCAATGTCACATTGTCAGTGGCTCCATGTGTGTGTATGTGTGTGCACGAGAGAGAGTGAATACCTTGTGGTCTTGCAGACACAGAGGAAACAGGGGAGGTTACACACTAGTAATATAAATCTCGCCCCCAAAGAGAGGACGTTGGAGAAAAATGTCAAATTTAGCTACAAACAGAGGTAAGGTCTCAGGTTTCAATTTTATTACCGCTGCCTTGCTTTGGTATACTCCTCCCAACACCAGAGACCAAAACAAAAAAACACACTCACCTGACAAGATTAGCGCCATCTGAGGAAAACACTGAGACCTTCAAATGTTTAACCCTCACTTCAAGACAGAAGCTGCATTTGGACTGAATGAAACGAACGCAATTTTGAGATCACAACTGAGCATGAAACAGATCAGTCATCACCTAATTTCATGTTTTTTCACTATAACACTATCCCAGCATTTGTGTCATTTTTTCACTTTTCTTTATCCTGAATGAAGTAAAGCTTGAGATGCAGTTTATAAGCACTGAGAGTTTCATTATTTTGCATTTGAAAACTATTTTTCTAGTCTCTTAATTTAGAAAGAGAACACAGATGCAGTGTAATCCCTTTATGATCATGACTTAAAATACATGCTGCACTGCTACACCTGTGTGGTCTGGAACCAGGAGACAAGTCTGTCCGAAGAATTGTCCCCATTTTCACATTAAACACAGTCCTATCTCCTCCATGTAAAAAATGTGTATTATTAATGCTGCAGAATTCAGATTAAAGTGTTAAAACAAATGAAACATTTTAAATGGGGGAAGAGTGTACTACCTTAAATATGGCAATGCTGCCCCCTGTTGTAAAAAGTGTGAACAACAGCGTGGCGTGAGTGACAGACAGACACAGCCATGGACAGTTGCGGCTGGTGGAGTTTCCTCCAACTAAATCCAAAACAGACATATTCTATTTAAGGAGCAAAAACAGATATTCTAATTATGTGCTGCAGCAGGTGAACCACGAGCACTTTTATGCATCTGCTCAGTTGAGTGAACATCTTACAAGGACTCTTACTTGTTTCACTTCTTCTTATTTTAACATGAGAATGCCTTAAAGTGATTCAGAACATTCACAGCTGTATTTTTTTTTTAAAAAAGTAACACATTTCAACAATCTGAACTGAAACTCTGATCCTCTCATCAGACTCCTTTACTTTCTCAGTTACTCCAGAATCACTACTCTAACTTTATTAGTCCTCTAAGCTAAAATGGTGGACTTTAATGCTAGGTTTTTGACCTCATGTTGTAGCTCATAGATACCAAAATTGATGTATAAAACAAATTTAAAATGATCTTTTTTAGTCTGAACACAATTCTAATGAAATTTATGACAGACTAAATTCACTTTCAAGAGTGAAAAATGTTTTTTTTTTTTTTGTAAATAAATGTCTAACCCCTTCACCCATGTGCTTCTAACCTTCACAGACCCCATGAATTGATGCCCATCTCATAAATATTTGGTCACATGATCAATTCCTTTTACCATTTCCAAGAAACAGGGGGTGGCTCAACTTACCCCACTCTCCCCTACACACTGCACTAGTCTGCACACTTGCACATTTTTCTCTTACCTTAGTGGACTGAGCGTATCCTCTCACTATCCAACAGTCAGGGTATCGTGTTCTGATCCAACATCTCAAGAGCGGTAGCCTCCTGGATCAAAAGAGTCCACAGAGAGTTGATTCAGGTCCACAAAGAATCGAGAAGTCAGCCTCTCTGTTGGGTTTAGCTGTCCTGTGTCTTCTCTCAGCAGACTCCATGGACCAGGACCAGAAACTTCGCTGTAAGTCCACTCTTCTATGAGGTCCATACACCAGGAGAGTAGCACGATTTGTATTGGCCTCCGACTGACTCACCCACCTGTTTCCCGTAACTACCGAGACAACAGAGTTTTAAAAAACGGTAAAATACTGCTTTCTGCTTCAATCTGGTCTCGTTGGCAGCGATTTGACCGAAAGTAGCGGTTAGCAAGTCCTTTAAAATTTCAGAAATGGTATTAATGTCTCTATCTTGTTAAAAAAGTAACTGGTTAAAGTTCTTTTTGTGGTGACCCGGTATCACAGAACTGCTGCTTGGTCGGGTTCTTCCGGTCCAGAACCAGCTCCTATCGCTTGTATTGAGAGGAGGAAATGCGCCCCCTACTGACTATTTTTTAGAAAAACCTTAAAGGGATATTCCGGCGTAAAATTAAGTTAGGGTCAAACACAGCGAGTTAGACACCCCGTCATGAGATGAATGTTGCTCACCGCTTGCTTCTCTAGTTATACCTACTTTGCTAACGACCACACGATAGCAATTAACAGCAGACCCAGGAGCCATGCGCTCAACCAAAACACCACTCTATAGCCACAAATAATGCTCAGAACAGCACCTAACTTCATCAACAGTACATATAGGGTCTCAGCCATAGTACTAGCCACCAAACATCTTTTTAGCTTTGCATAATTTCTTTAGCAAAGAGACTAAACACAACTCACCTACTCTCTTCCAGCAGCCGCTTTTTTGTAGTGAGACCTCCAGGCGAGTCCATTGACCGCAGCAGGGTGACGCAACTTAAGGAAGAACATTTCTGATCATTACTTCATCATTTCCTTGAAGTAATAATCATCATATTAATCACTTGCAGAGCAGACGCAGCAGTTCTTCTGCCTTATCGTCTCGGTCTGATTGCATTTCCATGAAGCATTAATGTCTGCAAATGGCTCGGCTGTGGATGCAGGTTTCTTATTGTCATGATGGATGATATGCAGGCCTTCAGTCATGTGAGGGGTGTAGGAGAGATTCTGGAGAGCTGGTTCTTCATGTCTGAATTGTGGTCCATGTGCATGTCTCTTAGGACTTAGTAAAATTCAGCTTGCACATCTTCTCTTCCATCTTGTTCTGAATTGTTTGTGGTCTTATTTTGTCAAACGAATTTCATTTGTGAGACCTCAACAGAAAACCAAAGCGTCAATCACTGAGAAGGAGAAGTCGCTTTTTGGTCTAAGTGTGTTGTTTTCAATGACCAATTTTATCACTAAATTTGTGAGTCATGAGAAGGTCTTACGGTATGTGCAATTTATTTTTATCAACGCCCTTTACACAACCCTTCCTCTAAACACTGACTGACGTCTTCCTCTTCGCTTCCTGTTAAACTGTTGAAGTGAAGTGGGTGGAGCGTCACCTTTAAACAGGACTTAACCCTCAACCACACAGAGAGAAGTGCTTCCTCCCGTCTCTGGTGAGTCTACTTTTTGAGGTAAAGCGTTTATTAAAATCATGTAAAGATAATCTCTTATAGCTCAAATATGAACAGATGCATTTAGCGGATGAAGTTAGTTTCATCTTGAGTTTTGTTTTTAATCTTTCCTTCAGCTGTGAGTCTATATGAAAAAGCTCTGACTTGTACTTTTAATGATGGTGCATGTAACTGTCTAATCATGATAATAACTTCCTATGAACTGTTTTTTTTACTGTTTGATAAAATGGCAGAACCCAACACCAAAAAAGTTGAGATTGTGGACGCTGTGTAAAGTGTTGATTAAAAACAGGTTTTGGTGGTTTGTAATAAAAGTAAAGCCTTTATACAATAATATTTGATCAATATGCAGAACTTATAAACTATATCCCGACTAATGAGGTTAATTTACAACAGGTTAGTGACATGACTGCAAACAAAAATGACTTTCAGAGAGGCTGAGTCTCTCAAACGGAAAGAAGGGTGAGGTTCACCACTCTGTGGGAAAGAGTTCAACTGTTTCATAATAAGGTTCCTGGGTGTAAACATGTCAGAGAATAAGTGGGTTTCATCATGTACAGAACGTAATATCATGAAAAGATTCAGGGAATCTGGAGAAATCTCTGTCCAAAATGGACAAGTACCAAAACCAAGACTCGGTGGTCCTAATCTTCAGGCCCTCAGGCAGCACTGCATTAAAAACAGACAAGACTCTGTTGTGGAAATCACTGTGTAGACTTATAATCATTTCCAAAAACAGATTTTATCACTGAATCCACAAATACAGGTTCAAACTGAAACATGCAAAGAAGAAACCAGATATAAAGACGATCCAGAAACACCAGAGACTTCTCTGGACCTGAGCCTGTTTACTGTAAAATGGACTGAGGGGAAGAGGAAAACTGAATCAAAAACCGACATATTCTTTTTGATAATCATGGGCACCATATTGAAAATGGGACAAGATTTCACTTTCCAAACTCTAGACAGTGGTCTCCTGGGTTCACTGACGTTTACTAGAGTGTTAGTGATCGAAAAGCTGAGGACAATTGAGAAACACGACTCTGGGACTACTTTTGTAGCCCTTTAATGGCCGACACCACAAATTATTGCCAGAAAATTCAAACTTTTTTGGAGCTGAAATTTTTATTTTACTTACTACTGAAAACCCCAAAAAATCAAAATATCCTTAAAATTCAACAAATATATTTAATTATCTTGTTTGATACATTAGATGTTTTTGGAAACTGATAAACTACAAGAGAACATTTTTATCATTTATCGGACTGTATTCAGGTGTTTTTTTCAGTAATTTGTTGATTTTATTGATTTGGTAGAAGTATATACAAGTATGTATCAAATATGATACAAAAGGCATTAAAGGGTGAAAGAAAATTGCTTGCAGCAGCAAATTTAAAATGAGAATACATTTTTTTAGATATGTTGTCTATATTGTTGTCTGAACCTGTCTCTATAAATCTATACTGCATCCCATCCTTTTGAACCTGGGCTGTACTGGTGCAGATGCTGTTTATCATTATGTTGACTGATGGTTTTGGTGTCTGAAGACACAATTGATGCTTATTTGTCAAAATCAGACATCATATAAAACACCATCAACTCTCAGCTGCGTCTTTAACACTGCTACAGCTACGCTACATCTGAGCCGTTTAAAACCGCTGATTTAATCAGACTTGGAAAAAAAATAAGTAAAGCCAAAGAGATAATAAAAGTACAAAAAAGGAATATAAAAAGGTTAATTCCTCTGTGCTCTGAGTTTAACAAAGAGGAAATACTGACATGTCACAACACTGAACTGTTAACTTTATCCTTTTATGGTGTCGACAGAGACGTGTCTGCACTCAGGAAGCTCTGTGGGTGCTTTCTGTGTCACACCAAGCTTACAAAACACACACAGGGTGGGTAGATTTATCACACACCTACGCTTATATATTCTAGTTGAGCTATATACAAACACACACACATACACATATATAGTATTTGGTTGTGCTCACAGTAACTGTAACTTTTTACACCCAGCTCTTTGTGAACAACTCTGCACTGATGATAATGACACTGTGACTTTAGAAAGTATATTTCTGTCTCTCTGAGAAGCTCTTCATGTGTCTGAAGGCTGATACATGTTTTCAGTCAGACTCTCAGAGAGCTTCTGAAATCCCTGAGTTTCAGTCAGCTGTTTGTGTTTATCATTTTCAGGAAATGGATCCATGCTGGCTGTTTCTTTTCTTCCTGCTGATGGCCAGAGATGGTGAGTTAAAGAAACAGGAATATTCATCAAATGCTATTTAGTTTATATCCACAAATTCTGCAGAAGACAATGTTCGGTATAATCCCTATGACCAGCAGATACAGAGGAGGATTAAGTCTTTTTTCTGTGTTTCCTTTAATCTAACTTAAACACTCTGAGCGTGTGCAGGCAGCCCTTAAACCAAAGCATAATCAGAGTAAAAAAGGGCAATAATACAAAGTTTGACCTCAGGGAATAAAAACATCTCAAAGAAATTTTGTTTCTGTTTTAAACTCTAACGTTTTTTCTTTCTTTTCGTTGTTGTTTGTTTCCTAGGATCATGTAACCAAGAAGAAATTTGTTCAAAGTCAATGATCAACTCCTGCAGCGACTGCATACGCTCCGGACCTTTCTGTGTGTGGTGCAAAAAACTGGTAAAGAAAAAAAAGAGAGAAAAAAAACAACCGTCAACCAATCCTTTCTGGGTGATCTGAATCCAGACAGAGTGTAGACAGTGTAAACTACATTTATCCCAATGCAGAACAAACCAGGCCCAGTTTCACTTCTGCCGCTAAAAACCTTCTTCCTCTTCTCTATTTGCCCTCACATTGATCAGAAAAGACTGAATTAGAGCGGGGCTGAAACACAGAAAGAAGTTACCATCATGCTGAAAAACTGTTTGTTTCAGTTTCGGGATAAAACTTCTCCTAATAAGACTTTCTGTGCCCGAAACTACCTCATCAGCCAGTAAGGCAGCAGGGCTGTGTAAACTTATTTTTAACAGCTGAAGACATGAACACAGTGAGAACTGTTAATGGTTGTTTCAGAGCTGAAACACTTTTGCTGCTGGCCGTCAGAGGGATAAAGCCATGCCATGAAACCTCAAATTATTTTAGTGCTCTTGTAAGGTTTGAGTCAGCGTTAAAACAAATTAACGCAACTTTAAACAAAGATAGGAAAAAAGTAAGATGGCTCACTAAGAAGTTTTCTGTGTGCTGGATTGTCAGGTTGGGGTCTCAGTCAGTATAGAGTCATCAGGTAATAGCCTCAGTCATTATAGTGACGTGTGGGGTCCCCCAAGGGTCAGTTCTGGGTCCCCTACTATTCTCCCTCTGTATGTTACCCTTGGGGTCAAGTTTTAGAGAGTATGGTGTTCCTTTTCACTGTCTTGCTGATGATGTGCAGGTGTATTTGCCTGTTAAGGTCCCGACCAAAGACTCTCTGCAGGTCGTGCTCAACTGCATGAGTGATGTCATGGATGGATCTTGACTTTTTAAAATTAAATGGAAATGAAACAGAGGTCATCCTGTTCGATCGCCCTGACCTGGTTCAGGTCCTTGCCAGCTCCCTTGGCTCACTAGCACCTTATGTAGGATCCCATGCCAGGAATCTTAGTTTTGTTATTGATGGTGATTTTAAACTTGACAAACAGGTCAGCGCAGTTGTCAAATCTGGCTTTTTTAGCTAAGGCTTCTTGCCAAAGTTATATTGTATTTAAAAGTTATCCATGCTTTTATCACATCCCATTTAGATTATTGTAATTCCCTGTATGTTGGCATTCGCAAATCAGAGCTCAACCGCTTGCAGCTTGTTCAAAAGGCTGCAGCTTGTCTCCTAACTGGGTGCAAGAAATGGGAGCACATAACTCCGGTGCTTTCCTCTCTTCACTGGCTCCCTGTTGGGCACAGGATCGATTTTAAGATTCTTTTATTTGTTTTTAAGTCTCTGAATGGGCTGACCCTGGAATATCTGTCTGACCTTGTTAAACTGCGCCAGCCCTCCAGAGCCCCGAGGTCAGCTAATCAGGTGGTTTTAGACGTTCCTCGATCCTTTTTAAAATCTAGGGGAGATCGAGCATTTTCTGTCGTGGCTCCCACTTTGTGGAAGGCTTTTACCTCTGGCAGTGCGTACTGCGAATAGCCTTGCCACTTTTAAAACACTTCTGAATACTCTGGCTGGTTCCTGAACCAGGTCAGGGCGATCGAACAGGATGACCTCTGTTTCGTGGCTGACATTGACATTGACTGTTATACATCAAATGCTTCTTTCTTAACTCTAAATGACTTTTGAGTTTTTATTCCTTTACTTTTTTTCATCTTTATCATATTTTTTTGTTTAGAATTTCACCAAACCTGGCGAGCAAGAAGCTGTTCGGTGTGACACCAGAGCGACGTTACTAAAAAATGGCTGCGAGGATGAAGACATCATCTCTCCTGAAAACAGTATGACTAAAGATAAGGCAGAGCCACTGTCGGACTCGTTCACCCAGCAGAAACTGATCCAGTTGAGTCCTCAGAAGATCAGCCTGAGCCTGAGGCCGGGTCAGTGATTTTACTTAAAACTGGCTTTATTTTTATTATTTTAATGTTTTTGCTTCAAATTTCAGAATAACTAAATCAACAATGATTCAGAAATCAAACATAGGAAAAGGACTTTTTCTCCTAAAATTATACCAGTTAAATCACCAATAGTTCAGACCAGTGGCAGCTGATGGTCTTTCAAGGAGGGGAAGCTCATTTTTCTGGCCTACATCATAATTGTATTTGTTTATTAGTATGTAACAGAACAGAGTCGCCAAACACAACGGCAGTCGTTTTTAACAAAGACAAAAGTCGCTGAGGATCGGTAAAGTCTCTGGAGCAGTTAAGAACAACGGAATGAATAACTTGGAAAATGCTCTGGTAGATGTTTTATTCTTCAAGATCGCTGATTCGCTTGTTTAGCTGTCAATCAAAAAAGGATTTCGCCTCAGACAGCTCATCCAATCATGGATGCAGAAGCATGGAGTCCGGGAGAAAGTCGGGACCGCCCTCTCGCCATAGAACTCCAGTGAAGCTGGGCTTCCGATGGGCGGGACAAAGCCCAGCATTTATCCAATGAGCGTCTAGTTTCGCTGCTGGAACAACCCACTTTAAGCTTCCACATTGAAGTCAGCAGAAGCCCAGCGTCCGGCTGTTAAGCACTGAGGCGCTGCGAGGATGAATGAGAACGAAGTTATGCCGGTTACCTGTAATTATCAGCTTCTTATCACAGTGTCTGAACAAAAGATGAGGGCTTTCTAGTGCGTATTTAGTTAATGAAATGTACACACAGCAGTACGTATTTCACCACTTTTTCTTTTTTTTGGGGGGTGACATTTTAAGGGAAGCCGAGCTTCCCTTGCAGTCTTAGAGCAATCGCCACTGGTTCAGACAGCCATCACTTCTACTTCTTGTACTTTTGTGGTGTTAATGTCTGAATACTAATAATTCCCAAAGGATTAATTATCAATTATTAATCATTCAATTCTTCTCCAAGCAAATTCAAACTCATTTAAAGTTATTCAAACCCTTCTTATACTTAAAGATTTTCAATCATTTAAATTTTCTACACTTTTAAATTTGTTGATTATTCATGCATTATTCAATTCTTCAAACAAATTCCAATCACTCAAAACTTCGTGACACTTTAAAATTTCAACATTCAGCCATTTGTAATAGCAGTTTAGAGATAGCATTTTCAACCAAAGCAATCCCACTCGTAATTTCTTCAGAAATCTGGTATCCATCACACTCTGCCAAAGGAAGGGCCCAAAATTGGCTCTGAAGTTTACACCCTTTGAGGTCCACGGATGTCTCCAATGGGATGAGGAACCATAGAGACTATCCAAAGTTTAATGTTGGGGATAAAATCCGGGCTGAATCTGTCTCTCTGTCCAGGGTTAGAAAAACTCAGAGGTTGAATGAGGGGAAAGGGGTGAACACAGATTAAGTACAGGAAAAGGGAGAGTAAAAGAAGACCAACAAAAGACCTTCCAAAGTTTGATATCTGAATCTTTTGTGATCTGGTTTATTATCCAACAGCTGTGATTAACAGGAATGATTCCTCTTTATTTTTGTGTTTCCAGGGAGTCCCGAGACTTTCAGAGTTTCCTTTAAAAGAGTTCAGGGTTACCCTGTGGATCTGTACTACCTGATGGATTTATCCTATTCCATGAAAGACGACTTAAAAAACATCAAAGAGCTGGGAGCACAACTGTTCGCTGCTCTAAAAAAGTTCACTGAACATGCCCAAATAGGTAACATCAACATTAAAATAATCACAGTTTATGTTTAAGGCCTTTGAAATGCCTGTTAACTGTGAAAGTCAAACTGTCAATATCAACCTTGAGACAAACAGATGGCGTACTTTTCAGGGTTCGGAGCATTCGTGGATAAGACCGTCCTCCCGTACACCAACACCAACGAGGAGAAACTGCAGAAACCTTGTGATGAGGACTACCAGCAGTGTCAGGCGGCCTTTGGGTACAGACACGTCCTCAATCTGACGTCGAGCGAGAGGGAGTTCAAGAAGAAGGTGAACCAGCAGTTCATCTCTGGAAACCTGGACCCACCTGAAGGAAGTCTGGATGCCATGATGCAGGCTGCTGTTTGTGGGGTGAATTGAATAATTAATTGTGTTTTTAATCACATCATTTTATTTCTTGGTTTATTGATCCATTGCTTATACTTAATCAGGACAAAATCGGCTGGAGAAACAGCAGCACGCGGCTCATCGTTCTGACCACAGACGCTGGTTTCCACATGGCGGGCGATGGTAAACTGGCTGGTATCCTGACACCAAATGATGAGCAATGTCACATGACTGACAACCTTTACGTTCAGAGCAGCCACATGGTAAGTAAGGAGGCCCAGGGGGGTCAAACAGGTTTGCAATATGTAACAGAAATCTGGAATCGTTGATCAGATGTTTGTATCAATTAAACCTGTTTATCAAACTCAACGTTGTGTTTCAGGATTACCCCTCCGTCGGGCAGTTGGCCACGCAGCTGTCCAAAAACAATATCCAGCCCATATTTGCGGTAACAAAAGAAGTGGTGAAGGTGTATCAGGTAAGTTTACTTGAGTTTTGTATTGATTGATTGATTGATTGATTTTAGAAATCTTTTCTTCTCACTCTTTTTGTCCTCTCGTGGTTTTATCACAGGAACTGTCCAAAATGATTCCCACGTCAGAGGTCGGAGTTTTGTCAGCTGACTCTGGAAACGTAGTTCAGTTGATCGAACGAGCTTACAGAGTGAGGATTATTGTTACGTTTTGTCCTTTTTGTGCACATTAATATTCAATCTCTTCAACTGTTTGGCTCATTTTCACATTATTTGTCCGTCTTTGTCACAAACACAGCGTTTGTCCTCCAAAGTAACTCTGACTCATGGCAATCTGCCCAATGGTGTCAGAGTTTCCTACACTCCGTTATGTGCGAAACCGGGACCGTCAGGAGAAAACGAAGGTGTTTGTGATGATGTTCCTGTGGCACATGAGGTCAGTTTCAATCCAATCCAATCCACTTTATTTATACAGCACATTTTAAAAAACATTCAAGTTTGCCAAAGTAAATTAAAAAGAACAAACACTACAGAAAACTTCAGGAGGAAATAAATAAAAGCAGGTAATTTTTTTTTTTTAAATGAAATAAAATAAATGAAAAAAAAACACAAAAGCATGAAAGAAATAAAAGTGATAATAGGACCATAAAGAGGTTGCTCTGCGTCCTGATCCTTGACATCCCTCATTATGCACCAAACCCCGACATGCACAGAGGTACATGGCCCGTTCATCCCTGCTCTAAGTTTTGATGTATCGTCTCTTATCATCTCTGCAGATTGCCTTTAACGTCACAGTGACAGTAGACTCATGCATGACGGGTGAATCCTTCACGATCAGGCCTCTGGGTATCAAAGATACTCTGACAGTGAGTTTGTCCACAGAGTGTGATTGTAAGTGTCCAGAACAGCCCACCACAGACAACACAGTCTGCTCAGGTCAAGGACAAGTCACCTGTGGGATCTGCAGGTGAGATCCGTACAGCCAGCTGCTGATCTTCATCCTTTAGTTTCACTTTTTGAGCACGTAATACAAGTTTTTTTTTTAATGTTTGATTTAAAGGCATGGTTGACGATTGTAGAAGCAGCTGAAAAAAACTGAGCCGTTAAGGCAGATTAGAAAAAAGCGTCCCACCCCCACACACAAACTTCTCCCCTCTGTGCTCCACGATAACTCTCCCCCGAACTTGTATCACCCTCCCCATGACACACCCCCTCTGGCAGAGCAAGACGCCGGCCGGTAGAAGATCCTACGCTAACTTCAAATAGGATTCGCCATGTCGGCTTGGTAGTGACTAGCGGCAGTAAACGTCAGCTCTGCTAGCGAGTACCGTCTGCAGCTGCCTGGACAGCTACCATGTTGACATTGCAGCTACTGTAGGGAGCCAAATATGTTGCTGTGATACATATCATGAGTTTATTATGCAGTTCACTTTGTGTGCCTTGGGTGTCGCTGTCCTGTTACCTGGGTGCTCAGGGATAAAGGTAGTCATGTCACCGTTGTGGGCAGGTGTTTGACCCGGAATGGCAAAAGGTTTTTGACTGCGTGGTGCTAACTGCCGGCGTTTTACTTGTTTGTTCAGTGTTGGATATCTTTTGCAAATTTAATTTGATTATGTTCAACGCAATACGTTTTTTGTTTGTTGAATCCAAGGAACTGCGTACGGACTCTCAATGATCATCTCAACTCACGGTAAAACTCAGTAGCGCGGCGTGTCAACCAGGTTACTCCAGGTCAAGCATCTCAGTTGCTTCAAGTATCGGCTTAGCTCCTATGAGAGCGACTAATAAGAGTTATTTATGTGCCACGATAAGAGGAAAAAATTACCTCTTCAACAAAAACTCTTGGCGTCTGTTTTCAGGCCCCAATCCTGGCGGAGCTTTCTCCACCGCTTGAAGGATGACGCGATGTTTATTCGAGTTAGATTTCCTCGCTTTGTCACATTTCCTCTTCACTTTTGGTGGTGGGGCAAGCAGAAGTGGGTTTTTTTTTTGCGTCCTTCTCCTTCGCAGCTCCTGTTAAGGTGCTACGCTACTTTTAGCTGCTTAGAGCTCCAAGGAGGGCTGGTAGAGTGGGAGGGGACGAGTCGGAAACACGGGAGAGTGGTGTGTCAAATACAGCCAGGTGATTGGATGGAGAGGCGGAGCAGGAGATTTACCAATAGGAGCTGTCCAGGACGGATGGCTCCCATTGGTCAATGTTTTTGCGGCCCTGAATGTTTTTTTCCATTTTTTTACCTCTTCACTTCGCACTTTAAGACCATGATCGCCATAGAAACGTGGAACATAATAATTACCAATGCCTTTAATTATTGTTATGGTCATTTTTTCTTTTCTTTATTTTTCTTTTTTAGTCCTTTTTTCATCTGATTGATTGTTTGATTAAATGGCTGATGTATCGATTGATAAACAGATGGACTAACAGATGGATCTTTATCTGCTAATTCATGTTTAGCTGCAATGACGGTTACGTCGGGCAGTTCTGCAACTGTGCGGTCGGAGACAAAGACGAGCAGTCGCTGCGAATTCACTGCCATAAGCCAAACAGCACGGAGTGTGAGGGCCGGGGAGACTGTGTGTGTGGCCGCTGTCAGTGTCACACCACCGAAAGTGGAAGTAACTATTACGGGAAATACTGTCAGTGTGACGACGAGCACTGTGAAAAGTTCCAGAACAAACTGTGTGGAGGTAAATCTTGACTCACTTTCACCCCCATATTCACGCTGAACACACAGAGGCTAAGATAAATGCGAGTATGACCTCTTAACCTCTCCACCGTCACCATCTAGGAAACGGGAAATGCATCTGTGGAAAGTGTGAGTGTAACCCGGACTATGAAGGCTCGGCCTGTCAGTGTAAGAAATCTTCACTGAGCTGTCTGGCCGAGGACGGCTCAGAGTGTAACGGCAGAGGGAAATGTAAGTGTGACCGCTGCGAGTGCATCGAGGGATACCAGCGCCCGCGGTGCCTGACCTGCCTCAGTTGTCCCAAACCCTGCCGGACCAAACTGTAAGCACTTCTGCAAAAAACTGGGATAATGAAAAAAAAAAGAGAGGCATTTAGTGAACCCATGTTTTTAAACTGCTGACTGATTTTGACCAAACATTTCCTCTTTCTGTGAAATCCATTTTCAGGAACTGCATTGAGTGCCTTGGCTTTCAATCTGGCCCTTTCAAAAAGAACTGCACTTCCTCCTGCGGCAGCATCATTCACTGGAGCATGGTCGATCAGTTAAACTTCACGACCAAAGAGTGCGAGCAGAAGGACTCACAGGACTGCTGGGTGAAATTCAAACTAGAGCAGCTAACTGGGGTGGATAGATTCAGAGCACAGATCCTGGAAAAGAGAGGTAAAAAAAAAAAGACTGTCCTCTGGGGACAATAATGCAAACACATTTAAATTCTTCAGTGCGTTAAAGGGATATTCTGGCATAAAATTAGTTGAGGGTCAAACACACCATAACACAGAGTTAGACACCCCCGTCTAGAGATGAATGTTGCTGACTGCTTACTTTTCTAGTTATTCCAGCTTTAGTAATGAGAGCGATACACAGCGGTCCCAGAAGCCACGCGCTCGACCAAAACGCCACTCTATAGCCACAAATAATGCTCAGAACAGCACCTAACTTCATCAACAGGACATATAGAGTCCCAGCCATAGTACTAGCCACCAGTGCTTTTTGGTTGAGGTTTGTTTGTGGCTCCTCAGACCACTGTGTATTGCTATCTGCGGTTGTTACTAGTTACGGTGTGTTTGACCCTAAATTAATTTTACACTGGAATATCCCTTCAAATGTGTTTATTCATCTCTTCACAGACTGCCCGGCGCCGCCCAGCGTTGTTGCGATCATCGCAGGATCTCTGGCATCTGTTGCTCTGATAGGCATCCTGCTGCTGATGCTCATCAAAGTCCTGCTCTACTTCAAGGACCTGAAAGAGTACAAGAAATTTGAGAATGAAAAGAAGAAGTCCAAGTGGGCGGAGGTGAGCCAGTTTGTTTTACCGGTGTTTTTACAGAGATGTTTTTTTTTTTAGCAGGTTACCCTTCACGTTTTCATTAACCAAGCAGCTTTCAGATTGGACCGTTTGACAAGAAACACTTCTGTTACAGACACTTGGCTTACTTTGTTAAAGCGGTTTACCTGTCCAGCAGAAAGGTCACAGGGTCCGTAAGATCCCGAAGCGTCCCCAATCGTTTATGCTTCATTGATGTTGATCCGGCTCTTTAGCTCTTGTCCGGTCTATCTTCTTTTTAAGCGTCCGTTATTCCGTCAGAGTCTCCGGTATTTACTTCGTTTTCTTGCTTGTGTTGGCAGTCGTGGCCAAAGAAGGATTTAGACAATTTTCTGTACTTTCTGATTGGTTTCTACTGTCCCATATTGTAGCACGCTAACTTTGTTTGGGCTCGTGAAAGATACAGGGGAGCAGCGTCTGCCTTTCAGCCAATCAGGTTGGGGGAGGCGGAGAATGGCTTTGTTTACAGTCAGAAAGAGCAGCCGCTCAAAAATTTTAAATCGTTGAGAACACAGACATAACAAAACACAGCAATATCATTATATAACCAAATGTCATCAATGACTAATAGCTATTGACTGATATTAAAAGCTTTTTTGTGTATACACCACAAAAAAGGTGCTTCTTTCACGGAATCCTGCCTACCCGACCTTTAAATAACATCATGACTGAGAGTGTTTGTACATCTGTATTAACTGAAGAATTTCAAACTATGAAACATTTAAAAACTCAGTAAGAAATGAAAAATTGGAGTAATCATATATGGTTAAATTTCTCTACTGCCAGGCCGACAACCCTCTGTTTAAAGGGGCAACCACCACTGTGGCCAACCCCTTCTTCACTGGAGAATAACCAACAACCACCCCTTCTTCACTGGAGAATAACCAACAACCACCCCCACCTACACTGGAGAATAACCAGCAATCAACCCCACCTCCACTGAGGAAAAACAAACAACCAACCCCACCTTTACTGGAGAAAAACAAACAACCAATCCCACCTACACTGGAGAATAACCAATAACCAATCCCACCTTTACTGGAGAATAACCAACAACCAACCCACCTTCACTGGGGAATAACCAACAACCAACCCCACCTTTACTGGAGAATAACCAACAACCAACCCCACCTTTACTGGAGAATAACCAACAACCAACCCACCTTCACTGGAGAATAACCAACAACCAACCAACCTCCACTGGAGAAAAACAAACAACCAACCTCATCTTTAATGGAGAAAAACCAACAACCAACCCCACCTTCACTGTAGAATAACCAACAACCAACCCCACCTTTACTGGAGAGTAACCAACAATCAGCCCCACCTTCACTGGAGAATAACAAACAACCAACCCCAACTTCACTAGAGAGTAACCAACAATCAGCCCCACCTTCACTGGAGAATAACAAACAACCAACCCCACCTTCACTGGAGAATAACCAACAATCAGCCCCACCTCCACTGGAGAATAACCAACAATCAGCCCCACCTCCACTGTAGAATAACCAACAATCAGCCCCACCTCCACTGGAGAATAACCAACATCCAACCCCACCTTCACTGGAGAATAACCAACAACCAACCCCACCTCCACTGGAGAATAACCAACAACCAACCCACCTCCACTGGAATATCACTTCGACCCATTAGTGTTTCCGTAGCTTGTTTATATACATACATTTACACACATGTACAAATGAATATATACAGTGACAGCATGGTCTCTGTTGTAGAGCTTGCAAAGAATATTTTAAGATTATTTAACAGGCCTTAGCATAGTGTTGCCATATAATGAATTTTTATTTTCCATTGACATGTCAAATTTGTTGTGTCTGTATTTAAAGTATTCACATTTCTGTTGCAACCAAAGTTTAAAGTTAGAGGACGTATTACAACAGCATTGCTCTGTTGTAGAAGAGTCCTGCTGCTAAACTGGCCTGCTTGCAGTCGTGACTTGTCAACATTGAAAGCATTTGGAGCATCATGGCATAAAAAAAGCAGCTGAAATCCTTTTTCAGGAAAGAATGGGACAACGTTTCACTTTCTAACCTCCAGAAACTGGTCTCCTGGGAAAAAAAAGAGCTGAGGACACAGGATGACAAACACGACCCTGCAACTACTTTTTAGAAACGTTGCTCACATAAGATTTAAAATGAGCAGATTTTTTTTAAATCAAACATCACCTTTTTTTAGTTCAATGTTTTGCAGACATTAACAGTCTGTTTTATGAACATTTTCCAGAGCATTAGCACTCTTATGAGATTTGGGTTCAGACCAGGAGTGGTTTAACTGTGGAGGATGATTTTGACGTTTGCTCTATTTGCTTTTCTTGTATAAATCCAGATGAATAAAGAATTTAAATTTTTACTTTTTGCTCATTTTTATTTGACTTCTCTTGTCTACAACAGATTTCACTCAACAGAAACCTTCAAAGGAAAAACTTCAGTCTATTACGTGAGATATTGCACTCATGCACATATGTTCTCTTGATACAGCTAAAACATCAAGTCTACTCTGGTTGCTGGTGCAGGCGGCACTGTGTCCAGCAGCATCACTGTGTCGTCTCAAGCAGCATCTTTCAATCTTCTAGACTCCTTTGGCTTAATGAGTTTACCTGCCCATTAGTTAGTTAAAGGGATATTCCGGCGTAAAATTAAATTAGGGTCAAACACACAGTAACACCGAGTTAGACTCCCCCTTGAGAGATGAATGTTGCCGACCACCTGCTTCTCTAGCAACCACAGCGGTCTGAGGAGCCATAAACAAACCTCAACCAAAACGCCACTCTATAACCACAAATAATGCTCAGAACAACATCTAACTTCATCAACAGTACATATAGTATGTCTCTCGAGGAGGTGTCAAACTCGGTGTTATGGTGTGTTTGACCCTTAGTTAATTTTACGCTGGAATATCCCTTGAAGTAAATGAGAACTTTGCTGGTTGATGTCGAGTCAACAGAAAAAAACAACACTGTTAAAGGTTTCTGAAAAACAGGCTGCTTTATTTTTCTGATTTCATGAGTTAATGAGAAGAACTACAGAGGGGTTAGGGTCAAACCAACAGAAGCCACCCAGACAGAGTGTGAGTGTGTGTGTTTGTGTGAGAGTGTGTGTTTATGTCTGTGTGTGTTAGAGTGTGAAGCGTCTGCGAGCTGTCTAGATGAAGTGTTGACATGTAAGGCTAAATCGTCTGAGTTCAAAGGTCATCCAGGTGAGTCACTGTCGTTACATTTTCATTTTTTTTTTTCCCGGACTTCAGCTGGCTCAGATCTCAGCAGGTCAAAGGTCACATAGCAAGAGGAGGGATCAGGGTGAACAAAGATCTGGTTTACACAGATCCTATGAGATAGATCCAGTTGACACAGATCCTGTTAGATAGACCTGGTCCACACCTTGGACCTTGTGGTGAATCTGAGAAGGATCAGTGAGGACTCTGGACCTGCTGTCATCTGAGCCGGATCAGGGGACAGAACCAGGATCACACAGACAGACTCTGAGTCCAGAGACCAAACTATTTACTGATAAACTGATTATTACCATGCAGGCCTGGAACAGCAGTAAGACAACAGAAGGATCAGACTGAACTACTACAGCAGAAGGCCTGCAGGGGGCGCTACATCTGCTGAGTGGAGTTCCCGTTCCAGGTGTTGTTGTCGTCCTCGCTGTCCTCCTGAGTCCTCAGCCGGCAGATTTTACCGTCTTTCTTGAAGTCTTTGGGGCGTTTCTCCAGAGTTTCTCTGAGGAAGGGGACGGAAATCATCACACAATACACACAGACACACATATACACCCACAGACACACACATACACACAGAGCAAATATGCGATCAAAACTGAGGAAAAATAAAAAGCTCTGATTGCTGCTCTCTGTGTCTGGGCTTGTTTAGGGTGGACTGAGTGAAACTCTGTGTCGGTGTTGAAGTGAAACTCATGGCCTTATTCAAGTAGTGTTGCTTTGGTCGACGAAGTTAGATGTCAGAATAGTGCTGGACGATAATTCGATAACAATATATATCGATCGATAGACGTGTGGTGCGATAGAAAAAAAACGGGTCGATAAAAAGTTCGATAGAAAAACACAGTTTCCCTTTCTTTTTCATCATAGCCTATCATGTAGCTTTTACTACAGTCATTACTTCCTCCAAACCAATCACAAACGCAGACCCAGGTACGCTACGGCACCAAGCCCAGCCCCTCTCAAACCACAACAGACAGCACGTGTATTAGAAAAAATGATACACCAAGGAGAAGCGGAGGACATTGTCCGGAAAAAAGGTTTCAGTAGTTCACCAGCATGGCAATGTTTTGGTTTTTAGAAGTCTGACAAAAAGCGAACAGCGGTCGTTTGCAAAATTTGCAGAGAATTAGTAAAAACCAAGTCTGGTAACACAACCAACTTGTTTTACCATCTAAACCGATCGCACCCGCAGGAGTACGAGCTGTGTCGGCCGCGCCGCGGCTCCACGTTATCGTCGGAGGAATCCTCTGGAACCGCTGCCAGCACCAGCACAAAGCATGTGAAGCCGACCAAACTGGACTTCGTTTCTTGCCAAAAATACGACAAAGCGTCCAAGCGGCATAAGGACATCACCCATGCAGTAACATGCTCCATAGCGAGGGACATACTGCCAATAACTACCGCTGAAAAGCCTGGCTTCGACCAGCTTCTAGCCACTCTCGACCCGCGATATGAAGTGCCCGGCCGCAAGTATTTCTCAAACACAGCGCTTCAGGCATGAAAATGGGTCAGGGGTTGAAAAGGTGAGAAGGGTGCGGAGGAAATACGTTCAAATGAGCTCATATTTTACAAAGACGCGAGTATTTGGATCATGGCTACTAGCAGGGGGTGCATTCGGCAGGGGTGCATTCTACGACACAACACCGGCGTGGATAAGTCCTGCTTCTCGTGCTTAGTTTGTGTATTAAGTCAATCACATGATAATTAAAAAAAATAAATCTCCCGACCCCGGGAGAAATATTTCAGTGTTCAGACACCAGGCTGTGGGCAGTTTCCCACGCAGTTAAAACTGGTAGTATGCTATTCCCACCTAAAGCTATTCTGTTTATTTATATAGTTGTTTGTTTTGTTTATTTTCATCAAAAGACTATTTAAATATTTATTTATCAGATTTTCTGGTCACTTTAGTCTTTATGTTTGTCAGTATTTACTGACGTCACTCAGGCCACTTAAGTTGATTTCTTTTTTTTTTTAGTTCTTTTTTAAAAAACTTTCAGTTGTGGTAAAATAAAAAAGGTGGTTGAATAAAGGTTTGAATTTGAATTCAGTGCTTGTGTGTTCTTTATTAAAAGTAGGTCATTAAGCAATAGCATAAAACATCCAGGGCTGCAATTAAAATATATGTTAAATAATTATAATAATTATATCGATAATTATTGATATCGATCAATATGATTTATTTTTTATCGATATGCTTTTTTTCTATATCGTCCAGGCCTATGTCAGAAATGCTCGCCTATCTGCTGAGACCTGCTGTCTGAACCTCGGACAGGAAGATTTTGGAGTGTCCGTCTCTAAATTCTCTCTACATGCGTCTTGGGCCGCCATTAAGAAAGATCAGCTCTCACCTGTTCGTTTTGTCGGACGCTGGCGTGGGTTTTGTGTAGGAGTTGGGCTGATGGTGGGCGGGGCCTCTGGATGCTGTGCCTGGAGGGGGTGGGGATGTGAACAAGAAGGAGCTGAGGAATCTCCACACGGCGAGCAGAGGGTAAAGGAGCGTGCCCAGAACAGCCCAGATACCCCCACCAGAGGACTGAGCGACCGTGTTAGCGGGTCTGCTGGACTGCTGCAAGGGGCGGAGTCACAACAAGACATGTTACAGTGACATCTGAGACTGGGTACACAATAGCTAAGCCCAGCTAAGCTAATAATGTCCTGAATACAGTAATAAGACTTAGAGTCATCTTAAAGGGATATTTCAGCATAAAATGTAGGGTCAAACACACCATAACACTGAGTTAGACACCCCCTCGAGAGATGAATGTTGCCGACCGCTTGCTTCTCTAGTTATACCAACTTCAGTAATGACCGCACAATAGCAAAACACAGAGGTCTGAGGAGCCATAAACAAACATCAACCGAGTCGCTGCTCTATAGCCACAAATAATGCTCAGAACAGCACCTAACTTCATCAACAATACATATAGGGTCCCAGCCATAGTACTAGCCACCAAACATCTTTTTAGTTTTGCCTAATTTCTTTAGCAAAGAGACTAAAAACTACTCATCTACTCTCTTCCAGCAGCCGCTTGTTTGTAGCGAGACCTCAGGCAAGTCTATTACAGATTACAGCGGGGTGACGCAGCTCAAGAAAGAACATTTATGATCCCACAGCAGTCTGTAATGGACTCGCCTGAGATCTCCGTACAAACAAGCAGCTGCTGGGAGAGAGTAGATGAGTTGTGTTTAGTCTCTTTGCTAAAGAAATTAGGCAAAACTAAAAAGATGTTTGGTGGCTAGTGCTGTGGCTGGGACACTTTATGTACTGTTGATGAAGTTAGGTGCTGTTTTAGCATTAGCATTATTTGTGGCTATAGAGTGGCGTTTTGGTTGAGGGTTGGTGTGTGGCTCCTGAGACTGCTGTGTATTGCTATCGTGCGGTCGTTACTAAAGTTGGAATAACTAGAGAAGCAAGCGGTTGACAAAATTCATTTCTAGAGTGGGTGTCTAACTCGGTGTTATGGTGTGTTTGATCCTAAATTAAATTTACACCGGAATATCCCTTTAATATCTGATTATTGAAACAGGTCAAAGATCCTAGACTCTGGAGGTCTCACCGGTAGGAGCACTATGGAAGCACTGGGAGCCAGTTCCAGCTCCAGCAGGGTCTTTTCCAGATCTTCACCAGTGAATTCCCGGCGAGGAAACATGGTTGCCAGGGAAAAGTTACCGTAGCGACTCCCCACTTCCTGAAACAGAATAAGCACATTACATGGGAGAGGGTGATCCTGCTACCTGTGGACAGTGAAGTTCTGTGATTTTCATCTATTTGGATTATCAGTCCTCAGTTTTAGAGTGGTACCCCATGATTCAGAATCTTGTTTACTATCTTATAACATTATCAATTATCATTAATGTTGTTTATTTAATCACTCCAAACAAACACCAACCTGAGCAGCAAACTGTCGTGCCTCCTGCAGTCTGGTCTGCGATGGGAACTGGTTGGTGATGGAGGAGCCATCTGGGAGCCGGAACTGGATCCTGGCTACAGTGCTGATATTGAAAACACAGATTTACATCAGTGTTACAGACAGACAGATGGAACTGATAAAAGGACTGTAGATGAATGAGTGTATAGATGGATGAATGGGTGAATGTGTAAATGAAACAACGGACAGGTGAATGGATGAGTGACTTGAGCAGCGTACTTTCTCTCCCTGAGCAGCGTCTCCTTCCTGGCCTCCTGCTGTGCCTGCCTGGCCTGCTGAGCCGCCTCTTTCGCAGCTCTATCCTCCTCCTGGATTTGAGCGTAGCGAGCTGCTCGGTCAGCTCGGTCCTGCAGCACAGAGGGATCAGGTAAGTAACACACAGAACGTTCATTTAACATGTTTACCAGGATAACTACAGATGTGTACCACTATTCTGCTCAGGTGTTTAAAATAACTTTTCCTCAGTCAGGATCAGAAGTCTTCTCCCTTTTCTGATCAAATTTCTGCTGTTTCGAAAGATTATAAATGTAAAAGTTATAAGAAGTAAACTAAGACAGCTAAAGTACTGATGGGAATTGCTTTTTTTCTACATCCAGATCATTTTAGTCCGGCTCAAGACCTGATATTTCAGCTTTGAATCATCTCTGCAACACTGTTTATAAAAGAAGCTGCTTTCTATATAATGATTATTAACCAACTTCTCCTCATTGTATAAAATGTTCAGGAGGCAAAACGAACGGCATGACAGCGGCTTCATTCCTCCAGTGCAATCTTTAAAGCTTTAAGACAGCCTTACACCAAAGTCAGAATATTTTATACCTGATTTGTCTGCTGCTGTCGAAGTTTATTTTTATTTATTTGGTGCCACCAGAACATTTTATTCATTTTTTCCCTTGTTACAGCGAATACTCTCACGTTTCCTGCAGGTGGTAAACATCCTAAATGACTAAGGAAAAAATGTAGCAGTAAGAAATATGGATAAGCATACCTGGGCGATCTGCTGTTTCACCCGCTCTCTGGCGGCCTTCTCCTCTGCCTTCTCTCGGTTTCTCTCCTCCAGGAGTCTCCTTGTCTTCTCCTCTTCTTGTTTCTTCTTAAAGTCCTGCAGGTCTTTGCCCACCTTCCTCCGCTCATTTTCTTTCTTGATCTCATTCTGAATCACACACACACACACACACACACACTTAGTTTCATTATACCAGAGACATTTCTTATAGTTAACATATCAAAGACTGTTATTTTATTAAATATCAAGTCTCTACATTGACCATCAGTGGTTCTGGGTCAGACAAGCTCAGTTTGCAGAGGGTCAGAGCAGCTACTGAGATTTCTGTGAGAAACAGTGCCCCCTGCTGGCTCATATGGTAATTACAGGTAAGAATGTAACTGGCACAGTCCAGTTCTCACACCTGAGTGCAGCCACTGAGTTATACTCCACACTAAATGTGTCCTTACCTCTGCTTCTCCCATCTTCTTCTGCTCTCTTCTCTCTTCCAGTTTCTTTGTCAACCTGACCCACAAGAGTAAAGATTAAACTCCTGAATTATGACCAAGTAAAGACAGTTCACAGACAAATCTGTATACTACAGGTTATAGATTATTTATCCTTAAATATTAAGATCTACAGATAAGATATGACATAGCTTACAGACAATATAGTTTTTGTGTACATATTTTATATATCTATCTAGGCAGAACAAAAAACACAGTTTTACAGTCTATCGGAGTTTAAAGATCACTTTGGAGAGTTTAACTACATCTTGAAATTTTAAATTTAGTTGAGCATTTTTACTTTCTCTCAAAAGTAAATAACAAAAGAAATTCAAAAGACAGTATGGAACATTTCTAATGTGAAGGTGGGCTCTCACCTTTGCACCTTAGCTTCCAGGTTCTCTTCAGTCTGATGGTGTGACGACTGATATTCATCTGGGCTAGCAGACAGAGACGCTTTATCAAAGACAGAGAGAAGAAAGGAAAGAAAGAGAGAGAGAGAGAGAAAGAGAGGAGGCAGGATTACTGTCAGCATGATAGAAACACACACACACACACATGCTCATTCACAGGTAGTGCAGAGGAACATGAGGATCACAGTGCCTCAGGTTGTCTCTCACCTTTGGTGGGTTCCGAGGTGGTGGGCGCTGAAGGACCTGGATCTGAAGCTGAAACCACAGAAGCTCCTAGTTCTGCTCCTGTTTCTGGTTCTTGTTCTTGTTGTGGTAGTGGTTCTTGTGCTGGTCCTGGTCCAGAGGCTGTGCTGTTGCATGGGCCAGTCTCCTCAGGAGCACCTGTGTTTGGAGCGATCTGCTGAGCGTGCAACTGTGAGAAATAAATCAGGTAAAGTTAGGCATGCAGGATCACTGGAATACATTGGTAGTTCCAACCTGTGCTAATTAATAACCTTTGTGATTTGTGGCCTGAATTATTCTGACATATAGTTTGATCAAATGTTTCCCATCATTTACTTTGCCTCAATAATCCAGAACATGATCTGTTCATTGTCTGACAATAACCCAGTATAAATGACAGAGATTATAATCTGTGTTGTCCCCTGTACCTGCTTCACTTTTTCGATCCTCTGAATCAGCTCTTCAGGCGACACACTGCCGGCAACGACCACCAGAGGAATGCCATTCTCTCCGATGAAGTAGCTCGAGGGTATACACACAACAGGATCTTAGAGGAGGTTAAGTTCAAATGCACCATAGACATGTTGTGGTCTTGTGTGTACTCCATTAGTATGTTGTATTTTTATGTCACTAATTACACCCTTTGAAACATTATTCACTTGATCAACCTCAAGTTTGACTTATTTTTAGAATGGTTTAGAATCAATAAGCAAAAGAAACTAATGCAGGGATCTATTAGTGATCAATAACTGGAGATATCTGTGATCAATACTTTTTGAAAGGATACAGATCTGAGAGAACTGCACACAGGTCTCACTGTGGAAGATAAGGACAGAATTATAAACACACTGACGCATAAACCATGTCGATTTTCCTCTTCAGGTACGGATATAAACACTGATAATTGATCTTTTTAATAAGAATTACATAAATGAAGTTATTGATCATATAAATTAATTGATAAATTAGGATTTTGACCTTGTCTGTTTCTGTTTTACCTGTTAGCGTCCACTTTGATGGCCACACAGCAGCTGTTTGCTGCCTCTGAGACTCTGTCATCCTCCCAGCTGGACATCAGCTGAGTTGACTGCTCATCCTCACCTGGACACACACACACACACACACACACACACACACACACACACACACACACACACACATACAATTGATTGAAATGTGAGTGAATGGAAAAGCCTGTTCAGAGTCACCAGCAGCTGCGTAACAAGACCAATGATCCCAACTGCACTATTTAAGATATCCAGGTGTTAACACAAACACCCAACTATGCTGACTTTAAAAGGTATGATGCTTTAGTTTCTCATTATCAAAATGTATCACACTCAGGTGTTCCTAATATTAAGATAGGTTGGTGTTCATCTTGTGTATCTATATCATATTTAAAGTTATAAATCAAAGCGTCAAATTTACAGTTTTACAATTAAAAGTTTTATAATACAGTTTAAATTAGAAGTTAAATAACCCAGAATTTTATATCATAGAGTTTTATTATCTAGACTGTAGCACATAATCCAAAGCTTTACAATTTAGTTTATAATGTAGAGTTTTATAATCTAGATTCTAGATTACAAAACTTTACATACATTATTTTTACATACTACATTACATACTCTAGATTCTAGAATCTAGAGTATGTAATCTGGAGTTCAAAAATCTAGAGTTTTATCATCTGTAGTGCTAGTTAAAGACATGTTTAGCACATATTCATGTTAACAGTTTATAGTTACAGTAATATATAATGAATAGTCTTAGAAATATAATGTATAGTTACAGTAAAATTTGATGCAAGTATATTTATATTTACAAATGATCTGATGTCAACAAACAATGAGATTACATACTGTCAGATAACATTGATATTAGGCTCATTATAGTTCATCAGAATCTGTCTGTGTCTGTCTCTTCTGTCTTAAAAAGTCTTCTAAATCTGTCTCCATCTCTAAAATTCACTTGTCTCTAAGAATCTGTGACAGTTTCTCAATGTCTCTACATATTGCTAAAAGTCGCTTAATAATTCTAGATATCTCTCCTTTTCTCTGAATTTCACAGAATTTCTCTAAATATCTCTTCATGTCTGTTACTGTCTCTGTTTTTGTCTGAATGTTTCTTCATATCTGTGTCTCCAAATTTATCATTTTTTGTCTCTTGATGCAACTAACTGTCTCTAAATCTCTCTGGGTGTCTGTAAATGTCTCTCTTTGTATCTCTAAATATTTCTAGATGTCTCTAAATATGTGTAAATATCATTAAATATATCTTATCAACATGTAATGTTTCTAGATGTATGTAGATATCTCTATTTTAGCTGTAAATGTCTGTATTTCCACCCCTTTCCTCTTTAAATATCTCTAAATATTGCTTTATGTCTGTCAGTTCTCTTTTTAGACTTTTAATGTTTGTAAAGACTCAAACTTCATGAAAATAACCTCCAGATAATCACCATAGAAATTGGGCTTTAGGTGAACCCTTTAATCCTCTGCTGGCTGAAAACAGCTAACTCACAGCTAGCATGCTAACGCTGTCACAGTTGTCTGTAACGTTCGCTAACACACACACACAAGTACACGTACACACATGTACACACACACACATACACTTGCGCGTACCTGTGATCACGACCACGAACACCGAGCTGTGCTGTTTCGCGGAGTGGATGGCATCAGGAATAGAGCCTTGAAACCACAACATGACAGCTAACGAGCTAAGCTAACAGCCAGTCAGCTAGATATTGCACTTCCTGAACACATCAACGGTGGCGGATACTTCCGGGACGCGATATGGTAGGGGAAGGTCCCGCCTCTTTCGCCTTCTTATTGGCTGTGAAACGTCATCATGCGCTCAAACCGAACGCGGGCTGTCGGCTCTGTACATCAAACAGAACATGACAGAACATCATCGCAATTCTGAATCTCCTAACCCTATTCCTAATCCTAACCCTAACTCGACAGACGATGACGTTTCACAGTCATAAGGAATAACCAATTGGAGCCCAGCACTCCTTAGCCAATCAGAGGCGAAGGAGGGCAGGACCTTCCCCTACCGTCCTACGAAAAAAGATCCTGCTTCCGGGACAAACATAAGGGAGATCACATAGCAATCGACGTCAAAGTTATTCCTGTCCGTCTGGAATAAACAAGTGATTAGAATTAAAACACAAATAAATAAATAAATTAGAGCTTGAAAAGCAGACAGGTTATACACATATAGATGAATAAATAATGACTAGATAAATAGAGAGACTAATATGTGCGACGTTTCAGTTACCTCAGAAGTTGGATGTCGGAACTAGGAATGAGGTTACGCCAGAGTTGACGGCATTCCAATTGACTCGTCGCAAAACCAAGATGGACGCCTACTGTTAGCCGTTGTTAGCTGTTGTTTACAATTGTTAGCTGTCTGTACCTGTTACAGTTGTTGTTAGCAGTTGTCAGCTGTTGTTAGCCGTTCTCAGTTGTTGTTAGTTGTTGTTAGCTATACCAGTTGTAAACAACCCATAACACAGTATTTTACTCTTACAAACACCATAGCACCGTGTTTACAGTTAGACGTTGGGCAGCACAACATACACCGTTTATTTAATTTCACAAAAACAAAACAAATGTGCTAATGAATAATAAATTACGAGAGCTTTCACTGTTACTCTTTACTTTTGATGCACTGCGCCGCCATCTTGGATAATGACGTTGTGGTCAAGTCGAGGAAAACAATCAGTTTTATTTACTTTTTAATATTAGGGGAAGCTCATGGGGGGTATCAAAAGTGTGTGGAGTATTATCATATAGTCAGGGAGGTGATGTGAAGAGTTTAATCTGTTTACATGCAAGATGAGATGTTTGTAGCTTTTTGCAGCGTCACTCATCCAATTTGAAGACGTGTGTTTTTTTTTTTACCCGTTTGGCCTTCCATACCCAGAGTTCTGAGCGCTGCAGCGTCGCCTTCACTTTAACTTTCGGTTTTGATTCTGATCCAACACAACACCGCTGTTGGAGCTCCAGAAAACACATTGGCTGGTATCTTTACGAAAGGTAGTTGTCAGTGAGAACAAACTTTATACGATACGATACTAACTATATACTTTATTCTGACTATTTTGACCATTTCTGTTTACTTTTTTTTGACGAGTGACTATTTTTTCTCTCTCTCACAGAGTTTCGTTTTCGTTGCTCAGATCAGATCATGGCTGACACAACAAGAAATGGCGAGGTAAGATTACTTCAACCCTCGAAGACAGGCCTGACAAATGTGACTTTTCAATGTATTGATATATTACAGCTGTATACAGTGATCGTGTATTTAATCATTAGTGTAATTTTGTATTTATTCATAGTGTGATTGTATTATAAACTTTATTTAGCTACATCATGTATAGCCTTGAGCTGTGTACAAGATCCTGTATTTATTAATTAGTGTTACATTGTCTTATTTCATAATGTGGCTGTGTATTTACACGTTTTTACTTGTATAGCAGCACTTCATTTCTTTGTAAATGTATAAATAATAAACCTTTTTCCTGGCAGGTTGACCAGGCCCCGGGGGCTCTGAGGGGCCCAGGTGAAGAGGACCTTCAGATGGAGGAGGCAAAAAGGGAGCTGGAGACATGGAAGGTAGGAAACATACTCACACAGTGTATGTTTGTCTATATATGTGCGTTTATGTAGGTTTCTGTATAGCTATGTGTACATGTATGTGTATGCATGTATGTAATATATCCATATTGTGATATGTACGAGGTGTACATACTACCACACCTGCAGGATGGTCCCAGCTGCAGTCTGAACTGTGGTTCATGTATTTAAGTTCCATTGAAGTTGAACTTAACACTTTTACAGTTATCGCTCTTTTTTGCTGTTTTTATCATTTGCATAACTTTTTTGGTGTTTTTTAGTGGTTTAAGTCAGTCATAAGTGTTAAGTCAGGTATAGGAAGTTGTAGATTTATATACGTTGGATGGGGTGTTTGTATGTGGTTAATTATTAGGGGCCAATGTGGCATTAATCAAAGAGCTTAATCCCTGGCTGCGCTTAATAACTGCCGCCTCATCCTCCTGAAAAATAGTCTTTCTGAACACTTTCTGTTTCCTTTCAGAACAAAGTAAAGGAAGCAGAGAGTGAGAAGGCAGAACTAATGATGCAGAAACACGATGAAGAGGAGTTGAGGGAAAAGGCTCAGAAGGCGATGATGGCTCAAACTGAGGAGCGGGAAAAGTTTAAGAAAAAGTCCATCGAGAACCTGAAGGAGGTGCAGGTATGACCGGGCACACCTGACACCACCCTGAAAAGATAAATGGGAAAAATGAGATAATTTCTCTTTATTCTGTCCCTTAGAGATATTTTCTCTCTATTCTTTATGTCAGAGATCATCTCTCCTTGATTTTCTTTTCAGGATGAAGTTTATAATCTTGGCAAACGCAAACAGGATCTGATGGACAAACTGAACAAACGCAGAGACAAATTGCAGAAAAAGAAGAGCGAGTTGGGCAAACTGAAACAAAAGTTTAAGGTAAAACTTTAAACCTGCAGCACTATTTTATTAAATTTCAGTTTTGTTTTATTTAACTATATCTTTAATTTATAATTCTATGATGAACCAACTAAAGCAAAAGTTATATTTTAATAAACAGAAGAAAAAGTTTCAAGTAAAACTTTATTTCATTATATGTTAGTTTGTTCTTTATAAACAATTATGACTTTATTAGAAAAAGTCGTTGCATTTGTGGTTAAAATTAGACATGTTTTACCGTCTGTTTAAGAAAAAGCAAACAGTGTGAGTGTTTGTAACTTATACCTTTTTATAATAACCTGATGAAAACTTCACTGTGTGTTTGTATGTGCACTTTGAAACACATCATTTTAGTCAGTAGACATTAAATCAAACAATGATTCAGTTTCTGATCCAGCCTACCTCTCCACTTGTTAGATCCTCGCTGAGATCCCGGACTCAGTGGTGGAGTTCACCTCAAAGAGTGACGAGCAGCTGAAGGACGATCAGCCAATCAGAGCAGAGTTTGTCATCAGTCAGAGGTCGTCTGTTTCTCTGGAGAGAGGTCAGGCCCTCATCACTTTCGAGGAGGAGGAAGGTAACCAAGACCCCAGTTTGATACTGTTTTTACTATTACTGAAATAAATAAAATGAATTAAAGCAAAGAAATTAGTTTTAACACTGACATAACACTTGAGTATGAGAGGGTTTATCCTTTAAAACCTCAAATCAATAAACTTTAAAAATAATAATAATGTGAACATCATCACATTATTGAGTATAAGAGAGTATAAACTTCATATCTTTGAAGCTCTCTGACCTTGTGTCTTTGTATGTCTGTAACTTTGTGTCCTTTGTCTCTGTATTTTTGTGTCCTTCAGTTGCATCTCAGATCCTGCAGATGGGAAACTGCTCTGTGTCCTGTGATTCTGAGACCCTCAATGTGAGACCAAAGAGAGTGACTCTGGACCCTGCTGTCAAGTTTGAGGTTTGTTTAAAGGAGAGAGTGTGTGTGCACTGAGATTTACTCTGATGCTCTGATGGTAACCTGTGCTTTAATATTTACCTGTGTTCTCTGATGGTCCAGGTGCACCTGCAGGTGTCCAGGAAAGAGCTGGATGTCTCAGATGTGCCCCCCTCGATGCCTGAGGAGAGGACGAAGGACCGGCTGATGCTCAGTTTTTGCAGAGACAGCAGAGGAGGAGGAGAGGTGGAGAAGGTGGAGTATGACAAAAACGTTGGGACAGCGACGGTCACCTTCCTCCACCCAGGAGGTAAAACACTGAGAGGAGTTCACCTGAATCGCCTGTCGATCTGTTAAAATGGATATTGTTACATACATAGTTTGACACGCTCAATTTGTGGTAATAACAGAAAGTGTCTGTCTCTGTGTAGTTGCAGAGACTCTGGTGATGAAGGGGGAGTATGTGGTGGATTTGGACTCCAAGGTCAAAGTCAAGGTTGATCCTGTTTTCAAATACGAGCTTCGAAAGTTTCAGGTGACAAAAATAATTGACAAATACACAAACCTTCACACTGAGACACAGACATGAGAGAGAGAGAGAGAGGGAGAGAGAGAGAGAAGATGAGTCCCGATGAAGATGATGAGAAGTAATGATGGCTTTTTGTTTCAGACTTTCTGCGGCACTGCAAAGAGAACTGTGCTGCTGGACGGTATCAAGGACGTCCTGGACCCAGAAGAACTCAAAGACCACCTGGAGATCCACTTTCAGAAACCCAAAAACTCTGGAGGAGAGATTGAGTGCATCGAGTATGTCAGCAAAAACACAGCTCCCCAGACTGTCTTCTTCACCGGTGAGGAGGAAAAGGAGAAGGAGGAGACAGTCTAGTGACCTTTACCTGCACAGACCCTGGAATCAACATCTTGAACCTGAAACCTTATACCTGATACCTGACTCTATAATTAAACACAATCAGACATAAACCTGTATAAACCTCTATCTACTGTATATATATATATCTAATCACACACAGTGTAATCCTCATCTCACATCTCAGAGCCTCTGTTTCTCCCTGCCTTGATTATTTCTATTTGTCAAAATGTTTTTATTATCAGGATCTATTTCTTTGTTTATCTTTTTTCTGTGTTGATTCATTAAAGTTAAGAATTATTCCCAGCTGTGTTTTGTTTATTTTGTTGGGTGGATAACCCTTCTCACATGACACTAAAAGAGATAATCTGTTTTACACACAGAAGTTTCATTATAACTTAATCTGTTGAGCACTTACAAAAACAAAAGACAAAACCAGAACAACATCAAAACTATTTATTTATTTATTTATTCCAGCCAAGGCAATTCCTCAATTTGACAATATCATGTCACATTGCAACATTTCTTATCCATTGGTTGGAAGGGAGCAGGGAGAAGAAACAACTTATATCACCTGCCCATCACTCAAAGTCTAATTGCTATTATAATCTATCACTGAGCAACATTCTTACCACAAAACAATAACAACAAAACAGGGTTAACAACAAATATATTAATAAAAATTCACTCAAATGACATAAGAACCAAGAAGATAAATAAAGGAACTAAGAGCATCATAAGAAGTTAAAACACACATCATAAAAACCTAGAATAATCAACATGAACCCAGAGACACCTAAAGCACTACATTTAAATACAAATTTGAGGATCATACTCCAGGTCGCAGGGGGGCGCTGTTGTTCGCTCGACAACAGGAACAGATCACGTCATACTGCGCATGCGTGGATCCAAGGTGAAAAAAATGGAGTAGCGGATAAGAGAGTTGAGGATGAGAGGAGAGGAAAAACACTAAAAACTGAGATTATTATTATTATATTTATTCTGATCCACATCTCCGACGGTGAGTTCATCTTCATCCTGCTCTTCCTCTGTTTAGATTCACTCTGTCTGGTTAGTGAGGTCAGGTAAACATACGTAAACTAAGAGGACAGGTGAGCAGCTCAGCTTCAGATCACTTTACTAAGTCTTAACTTGCTTTCACTCTCTAACAAACATGTCTGTATGTCACCCTGTAAAACTCTCTGCCTGTGTGAGTGTTTATCTCTCCGTGTGTGTTTATTTCTGTGTATTTCTGTGTGTGTTACAGTGGGACACTCAGCAGGATGGCCAGCGTGAGTTATTTTCAGCTGTTTTTGACTCAAACTTTCTTAACACACACTTTGATCAGGTGTAATTGTCCAGTTATAGGGGGTTTCTAGTGAAATATCTCGTGGTTCGGCCATTATAAGAGCTGTTTGACTCCCAATCTCCCGAGAATGGAAGGAGATTGACTGTTTCAATATCACCTCCTGTAGCCAAGGATACACTAAATCATCCTTTAGGATACACTAAACCATCCTTTAGGATACACTAAACCATCCTACAAGATACACTAAACCTTCCTTTAGGATACACTAAATCATCCTTCAAGATACACTAAACCATCCTTTGGGATACACTAGACCAGCAGAAGACGTCGGATCTAAACGATTTCTGCCGACTTTGCAGAGTCAACTGCAGAATTAATGGGGTTCTGAATGAACGGGGCTTTGAAAAGTCCCGCAGCATGTGTTAGACGTCACCACTACACATGGACCAATCAGGGGCTGCCTTTCCCTGTTGTCCGGGTAACAGTGGAAACACGGTCTCTGATTGGCCCGGTTATTTTCTGATCGGGAATACACGCTCTCTATGGGCCGAAGTCCAGACTGTGGTGGGAAGGAACGTCAAGTGATTCACGCAATAGGATAGCCAGGCTAAGCATCCATGGCTTCAAGGAGGGACATCTGGTTATGTGGCTGATGGTCATACACCTTCCACGCCATGCAGAAAAGAACTCCTCTATGGAATCAGCTGTGGTTGGCCCAATTTACCCAACATAAATCAGCTGTGTGTCAATTATTCAATTGTTTGTGTATTTATTGTTTTTGAACTAATATCATTGCAATAGCAGAGGTTTTTATACTGTATCTAAGGTTTGGAATATTGTTTTTTCTATTGTGGGATGTTGTGTGATAACATTCGTAAATAATACAAAAATAATCCATAATTTTGTTGGGAGGTAAAGCTTGTCTGTTAAGAAAATGTAAGCATTGTGGAAATGTGTTCACTGACTGCATATTGTGTGAAAACGACATGAAATGTGTGAACGGTATGGCCACAAAAGGCTGATGCTGTGCTAATTGTGTTTAGAGTTTTGAAAATGTGACAATGGTTGGACAAAAGAATGTTAGCGACTGGAAAAAAATGGATTTGAAATGAATCAAACATGAGGATAAATATCTCTCTCGCCCTCTCTGCAGGTGTTGAGCAGCAGGGGGCGTCTAGTCTCTTACCTGTCCGGTGTTCAGGTTTTGGTCGGCCGGGTTTCTTCAGTCAGAACTTTTTCTGCAGTAAGACCCGATGAGCCTCACGTCACCATGACAACACATGACTCAGGCAAGTTTCCGATAACTATTAGTCAGTTTGACCTGAAACCTCTCCATGACGCAAGTGACCTTTTATAGTTTGCGGATTCTGATACTGCTGATCAACAACCAGGGTTCACCGTCAATAACCAGGCTAACCTTACCTATCAATACCTATACTCATCAATCACTAAATTCAACAATAACTATACCCATCACTTACTATACTCATACCTCACTCAGAACATTTGATTATTATGTTTGAAATCAACTGTGAGTCTCTAACTGACTCTTTAATTATTAATAGCAAGCAAGAAAACAACCACAGTCTGTCAGCTTCAAATCGATGAACAGTCATTTACATCAATTAATAGTCATTTATATCAGTGAGCAGTCTGTTTATAAATCAATGACCTTTATTGCTTTATGTTTTTGTTTGGCACAGACACAGTTAAAGGGTATCTCTTTGCTTATTCAGACAGACAGACAGAAGAAGAAAATGACTACCTATCAATATTTATCCCTTATAATGCATTATAAGTCTGTTACTCCCCCTTATTTTTAAGGTAAATTAGTTAATCCTTCAGTTAGAGCTGATTAGCTAGTTTTACCCCTCTCCTTACAGGTATGAAGACTGTGTGGCCTGATGATATCATAGGCCCATTTGGACCTCAGGACAGGCGCTTCATGTTGCCAGGTAACACTGGTTTTGACCTCCAGCTGTCAGGTCTGACAGAGCAGAAGACAAAGACGAGTCACATGAACCTTCCTGATGTTCTGACCACCCCCTCCTCATCTGAACGTCACCTGTCCATCCTGACCCAGGTGGCCTGTGACCTCTGTGTGAGTACTGTTTACTAAACTGTTTCCATGGCAAAGCATATTCAGACGGAAACACCTGCACGTGGTAACAGTTACCGGATCTGAGGACAGTTTGATGAGTCTAATGGAAAAATAAGGTCCATGATGATTAAATAATGAAGTGCTGTGTGTGTGTGTGTGTGTGTGTGTGTGTGTGTGTGTGTGTGTGTGTGTGTGTGTGTGTGTGTGTGTGTGTGTGTGTGTGTGTGTGTGTGTGTGTGAAAAGGACACAGATGGCTCCGCCCCCTCCCAGACTGTCAGTCGGGCTGATCAGTATTTTGATCAATCCAGGGTGGAGTGTGTGATTCAGAACTGTCCTGAGCTGCTAAAGAGAGGTAACCAAAACTCCAAATACACACTCTCTCTCTCTCTCTCTCCAAGTCTCTCTTTCTCTGTCTCTCCCTCTCTCTCAGTTTCTCTCCCTCTCTCTCTCTCTCTCTCTCTCTCAGTCTCCCTCCCTCTCTCTCTCTCTCTCAGTCTCTCTCCCTCTCTCTCTCTCTCAGTCTCTCTCTGGTTTCTCTCTCTCTCTGTGTCTCTCCCTCTCTCTCAGTTTCTCTCTCTCTGGTTTCTCTCTCTCTCTCCCTCTCTCTCTCTCTCTCTCTCTCTCTCTCTGACCCTTACTCTCACTGAAAAGGTGAACCTGACTGTATTATTGTGAGGGTCTAGTTCTCCTTGTGTCCAGCAGGATATGCTATTCTAACTTGTTAGCGTTGTGAGTGTTCATGTGTCCGTCTCTCTGTCTCCTGACTATGTGATGTTGCAGACTTCTTGTCCATGTTCCCTGAAGCCCCTCCCACTGATATGATGGCTGTCACAGTGACTCAGAGGACGAAAAACGACATGAGTGGCTGGAGTGCAGCGGTGGAGGAGGAGAGGGAGGAGCTGCTGCACACGGTCAGAACACCCACCTTTTTGTTCCATGTATTGATGTAATAAAAATATTAATTATTTTCACTGATGGACGAACAGCCTGAAGGAAATGTGAACACATAGACAGGTAAAGGTGAGCAACAGCCTACATGACCTCCATAACCACTTACATGATGACCTACTTTAAGCCTACATTCAGCCTTGGTGTGTTTCTGTTCTCCTGCTGTGTGGGGATTTGAATCCAGGAAGTGTGCCTTCACACCTATTCCTGTATTTCTTTTGTTGTAGTTTATTGATGGAGCTCAGCAGATCTGTGTGGCGCTGCAGAGTGAAGGCTTCTGGGCTGACTTCATTGACCCCTCATCAGGCCTGGCTGTAAGACCCACACCTTTCTCTGTTGTCATGGTTATAGTGTGATGGGGTATGAACCACACTTAAGTGTGCTGGCACATGATCATCATCATCAGTCTTTATTTATATAGCACTTTTCATACACAACAATGTTGCACAAAGGGCTTTACACAGAAAAAGGAATAAAGGAAACAAAGAAGACCCAAATCTGTCCCGACCCAGGAATAAAAGAATACCTAATTCTACCCCAGCCCAACCCCTCATTCCCACCCCACCATCTAAATGCAACAAAATAACAGTATTAAAATGCATTAACTCAACTCAACTTTATTTGTAAAGCACTTTAAAACAACCACAGCTGAACAAAGTGCTTTACATAAATAGACAAAACAACGCAGACATAAAAAACAATCAAAAAGCAATTAAAACAATGGATAAAATAAAAGCAGACATTAAAAGTTAAAATATAGTTTCGGTGTTTTAAAAAACTAATTTAAAAACAATAGAAACAAATAACTAAAAACAAACCATAAAACACTAAAACAGGAGCCGAGTCTCATGCAGGGTTGAAACCCAATGAATGAAAATGGGTTTTAAGATGAGTTTTTAAAACGGACAGTGTGGGGGCTTGTCTGATTTGGAGGGGTAGCTCTTTCCATAATATTGGGGCTGCAACAGAAAATGATCTATCCCCTCTGAGCTTCGGTTTGGACCTCAGTACCTCCAGGAGCTGCTGATCAGCTGACCTGAGGCACCGAGCAGGGGTGTAGGGGTGGAGAAGCTCAGAGAACTTCAAAAAGGCTTGATTTTGTAGAAACAGGAGTGTGCGCACTGAGAAAACGTCATTTTAAAACTCAAGATATGGAAACACTGGAGGTTAAGGTTAAAATCTAAAAACAAAGTAACAATGAAATTTAAGAAATAATAAATTAAATAAAATAAAAACAACAGTAAAAGATACTAAAATAAGAGCACCAAAATAGCTCAATAAAAGACGATCCTGTCGTTAAAACTAGAAAGGGATAAGTTAATGATATGAAATTTAGTTAAAAGGAAGATTAAAAGAGTTTGGTTTTAAAGTCATGATGACTAAATGATGATTTGTTATGATGATTGAAATAGTGACCATTACAGTGGCGTGTCTCTCCCCTTCTTCCCTCTCCTCTCTCTCAGTTCTTCGGCCCCTACACTAATCTCCCCCTCTTTGAGACGGACGAGCGGTACGGTCAGCTGGGTTTCAAGGTGGAGGACCTTGGCTGCTGCAGGGTGATCAGACACTCTCTGTGGGGAACCAACGTTTTTGTGGGGACCATTTTCACCAATGCACCGCCCAGCAGTGACATCATTAGGAAACTGCAGGGCAGCTGAACCGTGGCATCACAGTTTATGCCATTACACTGACACTGTGAACATACGCACACATGCAGACACACACTTACACAGACACACTATCATAAGCTGATTGTCTGTATATCTGAACTCTGTTTCTGTTTAAATAAAGTGTTTTTAATATTTAACTTCATCTGTTGTCCTGCATGAAGACAGACTGTGTGTATTTGTATAGTGAGGACAGACAGTCTGACTTTGAATGGCTCCTACGAACGCTAGTTTATGTAATGAGACGGTAGGAAACACACACACACGGACACACGGGAAAACCCCACTGACGTTTGGAAAACACGCTCACACCGGAAGCTCTGCTTTGTTTTCAAGATAAAAGTTTTTTTTTGTTTATTGACGCCAGTCTTCATTTTTGATTCCGGTCTCCAGCGATGGCCCTGAGAAACATTAATTACAATAATAACAACAAAAATATATAAGTTAACATACAAGGTTAACCTGACGTGTTGTACATACGAAGTACAACCCATCAGGTTATAAACTTTAATGTTAATAATGTAAAATATTAAAGCTGTTTTCTAGCAAAATGTTCTTCAGAGCTTAAACTGTTAATTATATCCTCCAAATTTAAGAAAATTTACGACGAGATGTAAGGGCCACATTGAGAAAAAAAACTTTGAGACTTTGAGATTAAAGATAAAAGACATTGTTCGGGCTTTACTCTCGTATGTGATTACTTCACTATGACTTTATTCCCGTTAGTAATGATTTCTGTGCGACTTTATTCTCGTTAGTAATGACTTTAGTCTCGTAAATTAATCACTTCAATCTCGAAGTCTTATTTTTCTTTAAACACTCCGTCGTAAAGTTTAAACATCAGTTAGTAATGATTTTAGTACGACTTTATTTATGTTAGTAATAATTTTAGTGCAACTTTATTCTCTTAAGTGATTACTTTATCACAACTATATTCTCGTTAGTAGTGATTTAAGTACGACTTTGTTCCCATAATTACTTTATCACGACTTTTTTCCTGTTAGTAATGATTTTAGTACGACTTTTTTCTTTTAAGTAATTACTTTATCTTGACTTAAATCTCATTAGTAATAATCTTATTACGACTTCATTCTCGTAATTACTTTATCATGACTTTATTCTCATAAACTAATGACTTTAATCTTGAAGTCTTAATTTCTTTTGTCTTAATATGGCCCTGAAACTTCGTCGTAAAATACTGAAGCAGGGTGTTTTTACGGTGTTTCGCTGCAGTTTAAAAAACAGCCCCGCCCCCTTAAAACAGATGGAACAAACTGGAAGCCATCTTGAAAATAAAATAAAAACTCGTAGAAGGACCTGAGAATTTGGGACTTTTACTGCGAAAAGGTGTGAGAAGAAGTGACGTACCGTGTCACGGTGTTGTTGACAGAAGTATACGCGTGTGTCTGTATGTCTGTATGTGTGTCTGCGTGTAGGGGGGACTGTTTCGAAGATAGCCTCATGGATAGTTCAACGCTGACACTTTTTAACGATGTTAGCACCGACTCAGGCTGTTCGCTAACCGGAATCCATGACCGGACCAGCGCGTGACAAGGTGAGAGCGTGACGAACAGAGAGTAGACTTTGACCGAGAAGAGGACACCTGTACACCGGCAAGGAACAGGTAAATCCAGCTCTCCAGGTGATGTTTAGTGTGTTTGAACGGAGCGAACCGAATCTGAACCCGTCTTCACTGAATCCAGATCAGATCAGAACCGAACCACCTGAAGTCAGTAACGTGTTTATGATCAGTTAACCTAACTGGAGATCAATAACCTGTTTATAATCTTTAAAATTTATCAACTTGTTTATTATCTATGAACGTAGTCTACCCTTGACATTTGTTTTTAACATTTTGCCCTAAAGAAAAATAAATTATGGTTAAAAAATATGAGAAATTACAACAATAATAGACTAAAAATGATGTTTATACTGTAATTTGAATTTATTGAAGGACAGCCCCTTGAGCTGTAGCATCTCATTTTCAAAGGAGTCCCTAAACAAACAAACATACATAGAACTCAGGACACATTACAATACATTAACATAACAAATACAGACATCTTGCTCACCCTACTCCCACATACAACCCCAACCAACATACGCCTAACATACAAAGTAGATAAAGCTTCTTGAGAACATAAATGCAAAAATGTAAAGAAAATAAATCAGAAACATGCCAACTTCTTTGAATATTCGAGGAACAAAGATAAATAGGAAGTTCATGTGTCTAAGAAAGTATGGGGAGTTGTTTCTTAATGGTGGTATTGGTGTAATTTTTCCCTTCACTTTCTTTTGTATGAAAATTATTTGGTCTAGGAATGTTTTGTTTTCTGTCTCTTTCTATAACAAACTGTCAAAATAAGACATACAGTTGAACTGTAGTGGAAGAGAAATTCAACCCCCCTTACTGCGAAAAAAAGGAGGAAAATAAGGGCGGGTTTATGTTTCATGTATTTGCACATTTTTACAAGTCAAAATCCATTATGCATCTGCTGTGTTCAGCACGTCCTCTATATCTGAAGAGAATCACTGCTGGGTTAATTTTTCTGGATCAACAGTGGTGGGATTACGAGGGGAGTGTCTTTTAAATTAAACAGCAAACCACTTCAAAATGACCTGATTTACTGATAGATGGTTTATTTTTTTCAATTGAATGTCTCATCAGGGCTCAAAAATGAAGTTTTCCCTCATTACTATGATTATTTATTTTTACAGTGTGGCTGGTATGACAGGGTTGTATCCATCGTCACCGACAGCAGAGGGAAGATGATCAGTGTGTTTGTGTTCCTGTCTCTGACTCAGCTGCTGACCTCAGGTGAGTGATCACAGGTGAATCAAACAGTTCAGGTACTAACATGCACACGACCTGCAATGCTTACCTGTCAGGCATGTTTCCAGTCTAAGTATTGTACTTACCTTTGCTGATTCCTCTTTACAGCGCTGGTCTCTCTCCCTGCTCCAATCAACCTATCCATGGACTCGAAGAACTTCCGGCACATTCTCAGCTGGGACCCTGGACCTCAGACCCCTGAAGGGACCCAGTATGAGGTTTATAAAAGGTCAAAACCCTGCAGCGATCTCTGCTGTCACTCTCTGTCTCAGACCACATCAAAAGCTTTGATAGATCTACATTGGACTTTACAAAGATGTGTAATAAATGGAAAAAATAAACTACAGTAATATTAATTAATCTATTTTAAAGATTAATTGACCGTCAGGCTCATTGCTGTGAGAGAAGCAGTAGGAAAAACCAATAAAACAGTCTGAAAACGTATGCACTGTTAGATTAATATGAATGGTCAATAAGGGTTATATTTGAGTATATTAAATAGAATTATTAATGCGTGTAGCTGTGTCCGCGTCGTGGGAATGATCTTGTACAAATGTTTTAGCCTCTTCATGTGAAAAAATACATTTATGTTTAAACAGGGGAAACAGGAAACAAAGAGAGGAAGTGTTGAACGTCTCCAGCTGGACTCAAACCGCTGACTTTGTGGTTTATAGCTGCTGTCAACCCACCGCCACGTTTCCAGAGAAATAGAGATACGAAAAAAGCTGGTGGTAGAGTGATCTTGACAATGTGTTAGAAAGCATGCGAAAGAGAGTCTGAGAGTGTGTGTGACTAAGTGTCCATAATCAGTCTTAATGAAAGTTGGACTCCACAGAGTTACTTATTGATTGAAATTCGTGTAAAGTCAAATCTGACCATTCATATTATCTATTAATACAGAAGCACAGAAATATACAAACACTGTTAAAGCTCAACTTAAACATTTGACTTAAAATAAAGAGCTTTTGTTATAGCTGGAGGATATAGAAACATAAATTAAAATCTTGTTGTTGGAATCCTAAAATTGCTCGGGGTTTTAGAGCTTGTAGCTGCCACTAAAATATGATTTCTCTCAGCTCAGGGCCCACATACCAGACTGAAATCAGCAGGAGGAATAAGTTTTCACTTAACTTTGAAAGTTTTCTGCTGGGTTTTATTCCCATTTTTTGTTTTTCATGAGGTTTTAAGCTTGTCTATCCAAAAAAACAAACTTTATGATCTTCAATTTTTAACAAACCAATCTATCTAATCTATCTATCCCAGATCATTAACGTGTCAAGGGTTAAAATTTGCTTTTATAAGTTCCAGGAACTGCACTGAGATTTGTTTGTTGGTGGTTGAGTTTAATGTTGAGTTTTTGTTGTTGATTTGTTCGCAGTGTAAACTCGAGGGGATGGAGACTCATTCAGAAGACCTCTATGACATTACTGAAGGTGGAGCTGAACATCCAAAAAGAGTACGATCTTGCTGTGAAGGCCGTCTACAACCTCACCACTTCCGAAATGTCTAAAAACCTCACCTTCAAGGCACTGACTGACAGTAAGAGCAGATACACTACACATTATCTACACACTATTACCCTACTAGGTTGAGTCTTGAATACTCCAAGTGTATAAACACCTGAGCCTATCGCAGTTTGAGTCTGTATTAGTCTAAGAGTTGAAATTTATGGTGTTATTACAAAGAGCTCCTTCAAGTCTGAGTCAGCCCTCATGATAAGCTCTGTTAAAAAAAGAAAGTTTTGATCCTGATCCTGAAGTAGAGGGCGTATCTGCCCTTCTGTCTCTGGTAGAGAAAGTAGGTCTGTTAGCTGAAAAGCTGCTTCTCCCAGACTGCTTTTTGTAACATTATGCTCTGTCAGCAAACCTGTATACCAGGACCGTGATATATCAGAGGGGTTGTTTTATAACCCATGAGCTCTTAAAGTTCATAGGATGATGTCTGATCATGAAGAGCTTTGAAAGTTAGATGAAGGTTTATAAATTCTGTCCCAGATTCACAACAGCTCAACGTGCTGTATTTGAGAGTAGACTGAGATTTTCTGAAAAAGAAGAAACCACAAGCAGCTGATGCACTTCAGGTTTAAAGTTACTGCCTTGCATCAGTCAGTACGTTTACATGCAAATTAGTGATCTCTAAACTTTACTGTGCATGTGGCCACACTGACTCTGACTCCTCCTGTGAAGCAGACATTTCCTGAGTCATCAAACATAAGTTGTGGTTGTATTTTGTTGTGACTCTGTGTTGCTTGTCTTTGTTTTGCATTGCCTCACTGCTGCGTTGCCCTGTTGCCTGGTTGCAGTGAAGATCGGCCCTGCAGCAGTGGTCCTGTCTGGATGTGGAAACTGCCTGGTGGTGAACATCTCTCTGCCGCGGCCCAACAGCAGCCCCAGATCGGGGAATTTTTTCAGTACATATGACCCATCATTCAGAGTGCTGTGGAAAAAACGAGACGGCACACAGGTCAGAAAAACACTAATACACCATCCCACAGAACTTAAGAGACGATGAGTTTTTGTTTCCTCTCTAATGCCTCTCTAAATTACTCTGTGTTCGTGTGCCACATGAATATGCAAACACTGAGCTACATGATCAGACAAATAAATTGGCATCTGGGTTAATGTTTGAGCACTATCTTCTGTTTCTGTCTGGTGAAATCCTCTTCCCCCCTAACGTATTGCTCTCTCTCTGCAAGGATCCTTTCTGTTATGCCGACAGACTCTGAGAATAACAACCGGAGCCTGTCTGGGACAAAAACTACAGCTTTTACTTAGACACTTTGAGGATCATGTGGTAGACAGTACAGACTGCGTACGATCGATCTGCTTTCTTTTCCCCAAAAATGCTCCAATTAGCTGTGAAAGCAGTTAAAAACACCAGAATTCCCCTTTATTTTCAGATATTTGTGTTAATTTAGGATTTGAAATGACAACTATGTAGAGACAGACAAATGTAGACTTCTTGTTTTTACAGATCTTGATTTTGTTTTTCTGCAGAATTCGGTTGAAACTAAGAGTAGGAGTTATAATATGTCCAACCTTGAGAAGGGGGTGGAGTACTGTGTTCAAGTGGAAACAGTTACACGGCTGAACCAGAACACACTGCCCTCCAAATGGAGCTGCGCCTTCACCAGCAACCCTCAGCCCAGCACAGGTGAGCTCAGCAGTTACTAGAGCTATAACTATAATGTAGGTCATTACAGCACAACACACCATGTCTGATTCAGGGCTGACAGGATACCAGACACTGTTATCATAGCTGTAAGATACCACTATAACAGTATTATCACTTTTTTTATAGACAACTTCAAAATAAAGCCACATAATCAGTCAAACTGAGAAAAGACAAGAAAGTCATCATTCATTTCTAATGTATCTGCACCACTAACATTGAGACTGAAACTTCTTTGGAGAAAATATTACCTCACAAAACTATTATTCTCAAGCTTTTATTTTGGTAATTTTTTTTCTGACTGGTATTAGGTTGTTTTATTCACTATAAGAGAATATTAGGGCCACATTAAGAAAACGAGAATACTACTATTACAAATGAGAATAAAGTCATAGTAAAGAAATTACTTGCGAAAATAAAGTCGTAATGCAATCATTATGATACTTATGATAATGTGGTGCTGATGTGCCTAAAGATTAAGTATCTCCTTATTTGAGAAATATTATATATCATATAGAAATATATATATTAAAGTACATTTTCGCAAAATGCTCCATGGCTCTCATTTCAACAACTTTCATCTTAAACAGCAGGTTAGAATATAAGGATTTTGTTCTGACTTTGCCCTCGTAAGTAATTACTTTACTACGACTTTATTCTCATAAGTAAGGATTTATTACAACTTTATTCTTGTATGTTATTACTTTACTAGGACTTTATTCTCTTAAGAAATGATTTTATTACAACTTTATTCTCGTAAATCAATGACTTTAATTTGAAGTCTTCAATTTTTTTTCTTAATATGGCCCTAATACTCCACCGTAATTCACTACATGTTTTAACTATGCTTTTATTTTGAAATAAGTGCTACTTCTGGTAGATGAAAGTGTTTCCAAAAGTACTTCCAGGAGGTATCTTTTAGGTGTTTTCAGGTGACTGATAGCGGCATGTTTTGTAGAAAATTATCACTGTATTAATTCCCTGAGGTCAACAGTGCCATTCAATGGTCAGGTTACACTGACAGCGCCCTCTGCTGAATCAAACTACTTCAGATGCTCTTTGTGGAATGTGTAAAGACTAAATGAACACCGTACAGTATTGAAGACCACCAATTAATTGTTATGTTCACAGAGGGAATAAATCATCGCTACACAATCAGACTGATGTGTGTGTGTGTGTGTGTGTGTGTGTGTGTGTGTTTTCAGTCCCTGTGTTCGTAGGTGTAGGTGCTGCTCTGCTACTCCTTGTGGTGGGTGTAGCGATGGTGGTTCTGTGGGGTCTTTATCGCTCAGGGTATCTATGTAAACTGAAGGCTAATCTTCCCAGAGCTCTGCAGGTAAGAAACACCGGATTTCATCTTCATATTAATCTGTCGGCTCAGTTTTTACTTCCTGCTGTTTACCTCCTGTCCTCTCTTCTGAGATACAAACATACTGTAGCAAGTATGTTGGACCAATGTGAGATACAGTGAAGCTGAGACTTAGGGGAGACAGATGCAGTGAAACTAGAACTGTGGACTCTACAGGCCAAAGTTTAAGAGAGGGGAAGGAGAGATTTTAGAGTGAAGTAATGAACCTCAACGAATTACGTCCTGTGAGTGATCATGTGACCTGTGTATAACTCTCATCCTCCTCCTTCTCTTCCTCTGCAGGCGGGTCTGAACCAAGGATACACCCTGACCCCAGAGGACCTCGTCTTCAATAACATCTCCTTCAGCTCCCAGAAACTCAGCAGGCCACCAGCACCACCACCCACAGCCAGGAAGGAGGAGGAGAAGGAGGAAGAGGAGGAGGAGGAAGAAGCAGAAGAGGAGGAGGAGGAGGAGGAGGATAAAGAGTACTTGGGCAGAGAAGCAGGAGCAGAGTTTCCTCCAACTGATGGATCCTGCCCACACTCTGTCTCAGAGGGTTCTGGGACACTCACAGCGGACAAGGAGAGAGAGGACAGAGCCTCTCAGGCGGGACATGATCAGGATGAAAAGGAGGACGGGGAGGCTCCTGTCAGATCTGAAGGTGGGAAAACTGAACAAAAGGATTATGTGACCAAAGAGAGGGCAGAGACGAAGGAGGAGAAGGAGGAGAAGGAGGTGGAGGAGGAGGAGAAGGATATGGGGAGGGAGGAGGAGTGTAACAGCTCAGGTAACATCAACCTCTTCTCAGTAAAACTCACTGCACTCGCTGTGAGTGAGGAAGAGGAAGAGGAGGAGGAGGAGGAGGAGGAGGACATGACAGACTCCCTCACACATCTGCTGGATCACACACACACAAAGTCAGCTGTCACACACCTGACTGAGACACACACACTCAGTTCCTACCACGAGGAGGATGGGGAGGAAGAAGAAGAAGACGAGGAAGAGGAGGAGGAGGAGGAGGAAGAGTTTTCCGGGTACATGAGACACTCGTGACATTGACCCTCCTCTGTGTTGAAATGTTCAAGTGTAAATAAAGCTTTGAATTTATTTTTGTATTTAAAGAGGCACACCAGTATCTTTTATAATGTTTACATGACCAACAAGCAAATCTCCTACAGCCTGTAGGTCCTTGAAGGCAGCACAGCTGCATCATAAGACTGACTATGGGAGCCTGTGAGGTCCAAACTGAAACAAATAGTGATGTGGATTTGCTTGATACAAATAAAGAGGTAATCCTTGTGAATCTCAGAGGTCACAGGTGTGAATGTTTTCCTGAGGTGTATTCCCCCTGTCAGGAGGCTCTATAAACACACTCAGGTTCAGAGTGATACCTTTTCTCATTTGCAGAGGTCGTATTTTAAAGATCTGTGTCAATATGCTATCATTCAGACAATGGCATGTTGACATAACCAGCATCATATCTGCATCAGTCCTCACAAGGCTGATATCCCTATTCCTGAAAAATGCATTTTCATCATAACCTATCGACAGCATATTGAATGTTTTCCAGAGCCTAATATTAAGCTTTCCACATGTCTTTGATTGAATTTTCCCTCCGGTTCAGTAATTTAGCTGTGTAATTAAATTGTTGCTTTTTGTTAAATGCAAAAAAAGAGAAAAAATAATGATAAAAATTTACAAATTAGTATCACCATAGGCCAGAAAAAAGCCCAAATAGGTCGATCACTAATACACACTCATTCACAAGGAGCAGAAGCAGAAATAAATGTGTTGACAGCCCGGTAAAAAAATAAACATTTTGGTCCAAATATGTCTATTTTTTCATGCACCATACCAGTAATTTCTTTACTTTAAAAATTATGGCTGTGTCTTACTCACACTGTAGCTGTTTGCAAGAAATGTAAGGGACCCCTCTGTTGCACCTGTTAACCAGCTGTAAGGTGGGCAATGAAAAGTTCGGTTGAGACAGAATTTTAAACATCATACTGAAAACAGGCATAAAAACAAAACCCAGAAAACAACAATGCCTTCACTGAGACTACAGTCATGTGTCATACAGCCTGTATACTGTAGAAACATTATTATTATTATTATTATTATTATTATTATTATTATTATTATTATTATTATTGTCAACCTTACATTTATTATTATTAGTTTTATTGTTATCATCATCATCATTATTATTGTCAACATTACATTTATTATTATTATTATTATTATTATTATTATCATTATTATCATCATTATTATCAACATTATATTTATTATTATAACTATTATTGTCATTATTATAATTATTATTATTAACATCATCATTATTATCAACATTCCATTTATTTTTATATTATTATTACGACTATTATTTTTACCTTTATTATTATTATTAGTAGTAGTATCAACATTACATTTATTATTATTATTATTATTAGTAGTAGTAGTAGTAGTAGTAGTAGTAGTAGTAGCAGTAGTAGTAGTAGTAGTAGTAGTAGTATTTTTATCATTATTATTATCATTAATATCAACATTACATTTATTATTATTATTATTATTTTTATTATGATTTGGAGCTCACTGTGTTCATCTTGACGCTGCTTCTTAAAGGTCACGTGATTTCTAAGCAACGCTCCTCTCAATGTTGCCTTCGTGATCCGCCGGACTTTTCAAAATTATTGCTTTTTATGTGGAGAAAAAGTCCAAATTCCAAAACGAAAAAAAAACAAAAAACAGTCACAGTCTTTATACAGGCGGAAGCGCGACGGAGAAAATGTGTAGCATAATCACTGTCTTAGGTTTTTATTTTTATATCAGAAACGTATTGAGACCTTCCTTTAATTGTTTAAGTGATGTGTTTTACCCGCGCTGTGTGTTTTCAGTTCTCCTCGAGGTCCTTGAAGGCATCAGCAGTGTAACTGTTATCGGGGAGGAACGTGGAAACACCTCATGTGCGAGCTACAGTCAGTATTTAACTATTTTTTTTATCTAAAGATAATTTCACCAGCAGGTTGTTACCCCAGAAAGCTTCCTCACAGTTAGCTTACATGTAGTAAGACCCAGAGCCAGTCTGTTAGCCTATTTAGCTACCCGGAGGTGTTGTTTCCTGTCTGTGAAGAAACTGTGTGGGCTAAGACAGGAACCGCAGATAGAGCTGAGAATCAATGTTTACTCTGTCTGTAAACATCTGTAACAGACGGTCGGAGGAAAATTTTGTTATTGAATCCGTGTAATGTTGGATAGCGATGATATTGTTTCGAAACAAATCAGGATGGCTTCATTTAAAGTGAAAGCAACGAGAGATATACATTTATTTACTGTTATTATCATTATAAGATATCTTATTGTTATTTATTTTTCTCTGCTTTCAGTGATTTGACTGTTAGCTGTCTGGTTTTTCCATGAAGTCACAGGGAAAGTGAAAGCAGCATGCTCATTCAAGTGTGGTGATGTGCAGGTGAAGGTGTGAGCGACTGATGCCAGAGCGGCAGAGATGGTCTACCTGTCATGGCTGCTCTCTTATGGACGCTCACCTGGCTGTCTCCGGTGCTTCCAGGTGAGTTCACAGATCACACAGTCACCCCCTAATGACCCACACTTACATCAAACACCACACCTGTAGCACTTAAAATCCAAGTTATGGAGAGGCAATCTTACCTACAGGCAGACTCATGAGTGTGTGTGTGTGTGTGTGTGTGTTTCAGCGTTGAACGTCCTGCCTGCACCTGCTAACCTGAACCTGAGCTCCAATCAAATGGTCCACCTGCTGAGGTGGGAGCAAGGAGCGGGAACACCTCCAGGAGTGTCCTACAATGTCAGCGTGTGTGAGGACTGGTAAGTTCACACCTTATTGTACCTTATCACACCTGTTTGATCTTCATCCATCCATTTCTTTATCTAGCAGTGCATCCCTGTTTGCTTTTCCAAATAAAAGTCTTAAAGGGATATTCCGGCGTAAAATTAAGTTAGGGTCAAACACACCATAACACCGCAACTTTAGTAACGACCGCAGATAGCAAAACACAGTGGTCTATGTCTCCACGCACAAACCTCAACCAAAAAGCCACCCTATAGCCACAAATAATGCTCAAAACAGCACCTAACTTCATCAACAGTACATATAGGGTCCCAGCCACAGCACTAGCCACCAAACATCTTTTTAACTTTGCCTGATTTCTTTCGCAAAGAGACTAAACACAACTCACCCACTCTCTTCTAGCAGCCGCTTGTTTGGAGTTAGACCTCCAGGTGAGTCCATGGACTGCAGTGGGGTGCCGCAGCTCAAAGAAGAACATTTATGATAATTTCCTCCACCATATTAATCATTTTGCACTGCAGACGCGGTAGTTCTTCTGCCTTAGCGTCTTGGTCTGATTGCATTTCCATGAAGTAATGATCATAAATGTTCCTCCTTAAGCTGCGGAACTCCGCTGCACTCGGTGATCGACTCGTTAGGCCTCCCCCACAAACAAACGGCTGCTGGGAGAGAGTGGGTGAGTTATGTTTAGTCTCTTTGCTAAAGAAATTAGGCAAAGTAAAAAAGATGTTTGGTGACTAGTGCTGTGGCTGGGACTCTACATGTGCTGTTGATGAAGTTAGGTGCTGTTCTGAGCATTATTTGTGGCTATAGAGTGCCGTTTTGGTTGAGCGCGTGGCTCTCTGTATTGCTATCTGCGGTCTTACTAAAGATGGTATAAAGCGGTCGGCAACATTCATCTCTCGAGGGGGTGTCTAACTTAGTGTTACAGTGTTAATTTTACGCCGGAATATCCCTTTAAATGTGAGCCTCTGAAGCTGATTGGCTCTGTTCTCCTGCAGGGAAACCTCCTGGCATCCTGTTAGCGGCTGTCAGAGCATCGTGGAGCCGCTGCTCTGTGACCTGACACGGGCGTTCTCCAACCCCAATCAGCGGTACTTCACACAGGTCACAGCTTACATGCAGACTCTGACCTCATCCACCAAATACAAAGGATTCAAGCCAATCAGAGACAGTAAGTATGAGGAAGAGGAGGGGGGTGATGAAGCCTGATGTGCTGCTGTGTGGTTTGTCTTTAGACATTACTGACATTACCATGATTTCCAAAAAGAATGTCATTTTTCTTCTGTTACCTACCTGTTGTAAATTAACCTTAGTTAGGAGATGCTGTTTTTGTTTTGTTTTTTCAATGAGCAGATATTTTCTATTTAAAAACAACATTTTTCTGTTTCACTATTTGACACATTGTCCTCTTTTCAATTTCTGTATAGTTTTCTGAATCAGCTTAAATTTTATGGATTGGTTGGCTTGAATATTTCCCACAAAGATACTCATGTACAAAAACACAAATACTTTGAATAATCTGTGGTAAAATGAATAATACAGGCTTTGGCTTCAGCTCTCTTTATTTAAAATGAAATACATGATATAAGATGATAACGAAATCTACCTCTTTCTCTCTGTCTCCTCTGTGTCTCAGCTGTTCTGGCCCTCCCTCTGCTCTCTGTTCGCCCCTGTGATAGAAACCTGTGTGTACAGCTGCAGCCCCCCCTGGGGTTCGTGGGAGACATCTATGAAACGCTGAATTACAAACTAAAAGTGAGCAACGCAGAGGGCGCACAGCAGGTACTGCACACGGTTCACTACAGTGATAAGGAATGCCTAAATTAAAGTCATATTTTAGTCATTACATACTTATTACGTTATTTGGCTCATTATTGTTATGTATTAGTTATTTATATGTAATTTTAGGTATTTTGACCTATCATTGATCATATGATTATTTCACTCACGTCACTTAAGTAATTTAGCTCACTATGAAGGATGTTACTTCATCAAATCACAGTTTAGTATTAAAAATATCGGTTACCTTATTACAGCAACACTGTGTCACTCTGTACTGTTGGTTCATCTGTGTGTGTTTGTGTGTGTGTGTGTGTGTGTGTGTAGCTCGTTAAGGACCCCGTCTCATTGGGCAGCCTGGTCCTGGAGGGCATGGCTTCTGGCAGGACCCACTGTGTGTCCGTGTGTTTTTCTGACTCTATGTCAGACAGGCACTCAGACTACGGAAAGCCTGTGTGTGCCCTCATTCCCGGCGCCTTCAATGCAGGTAAGCCATATCTCCTCTGGCAGGTCGTTCCAAAGTTGAGGATCTGAGGCTGAGAGTTGGCTCATAAGGTATTAAAAGCTCTGAAATGTAGCTAGGAGCAAGTCCCGTAAGAGCCTTGAAAGTAATCAGTAAAATCTTGAAATCAATTCTAAAACTGACAGGAAGCCAGTGAAGGGAGGCTAAAATTGGAGTGATGTGATGCGGTCTACTAAAACCAGTTAAAAGCCGAGCTGCTGCATTCTGAACCAGTTGGAGGCGGGAGAGTGATTTCTTACGATGTTCACCCTCCTCTCCTCACAAACAGATGCTCTGGTGTCGTCCCTGCTGTGTGTGTTGGCTGTCTGTGGTGTGTTAGCTGTTGCTCTGCTGGTCTCTGCTGGTTACATCTGCCTGAGGAGGAGGCCCCTCCCCTCGGTCCTGGTGAGTGACACCTGTTCATATGATCCACTACTGATGTCCTTTGTGTGTAGTTCTGTTTGGTCAGGTCCAGTCTTGTCTGGATCAGAATTCAAACTTCTCTGATATTGTTTCTCCTCTCTCCTGTCAGGCGTCTCTCCATCACATTGAGGAGGTTCTAGTCGTTGCTGCTCCTGGCACCTCCTCCTTCTCTCCACTCTACAGTGATAAATCAACAGTTCCCCCTGCCGCAGACAAGAGAAGCAGCACCTCCTCCTCAGGGAGCACTGAGGAGCAGGAGAGCGACTCCGAGGGTGAGGGTGGAGAGGACAAGGCTTATCTATCAAAGGCGGGTGTGAACCTCCTCTCCTCCTCCACCTCCTCCTCTTCGGCATCACCCTGTGTTTCAGCTGACAACTCCTCACAACTCCCCCCACAACCTCTCACTCCTTGCCCTGAAGGTCAGATAGCAGCAGAGACACACAGTCTGATCACACACAGTACTGAAAGGACTCCTCCACACACACCCTGTCCTCCCACAGAAGGAAAGGAGGAGGATGTGAACCTCCTCACTCTGACCTTTGATCTCCATCCGGAGGAGGAAGAAGAGGAAGAGGACGGAGAGGAGCCAGAGATCTCCTCAAACGTTGTTCCATCCCTGCTCTCACTGGGCGTCCCCATGAAAACAGTGTCCTGCCCTGAGGAGGAGGAAGAGGAGGAGGAGGAGGAAGAGGAAGAAGAGGAGGAGGAGCAGCAGTCTGGATATATCAGGCATTAACATGTCTTTCAGGACGCTTTGATGGAGTCTGAGTTTCTGATTCTGGATGAAGGTCAGACTCTCTTGCCACATGACCTCCTCAGGCTCCAATCAGAGACAGATGGATGTTTTACGTGGAGGAGTGTCTGTAAATCACTCACACAAACTAACGGTCCAAAGACTTCACTTAGTTAAAATCCAAAATGGGAACGTCTCAGAGGATAAAAGCTTTTAGAACCACTTAAAATCATTTTAATTTCACATTAAACTAAAGGTGAATTCACACACGAGTTATACACACATACTCTGAGGTTAAACAACACCGTCAGAGTCTGTACTTACAGAAACCAGAAGACAGACTGACTATCATGCTAAACTAATCTACAGGTGTCCGAGAGTAAAAGACGGAGAGTGGGAATCGGTACAAAACATCTCCTTTACAGTCAAATTTCACATGTATGAGGTTGAAATAAGCTCTTAAAACCTGGATGAAATCAAAGTCTAAATAATTATATATTTTCCCAACAATTAAATAACAATGACGTTAAGTGACGTTGTAAGATTGAAGTACACATGACTTAAAAAATCAAAGATATTGGATAGTCATAATGATGATGTAAAATGTTTTTGTTGTTCAAACTTCTTACCTCATAGTTTGAACTTTATCCTCAAATTTTTACTTTTTGTTCAATGATAACTTTAATCTCATCAATTTAAGGGTAGTTTAGATGTTTGTTTTTTTTTACATCTGAAGATTTTTAGCCATTATTTCCATTATTTTGTTTTGTCATGGAGGTTATTTGCATTAATAACAAGCCAGTGAAACAAGCTATGCAGAATACTGACTGTAAACACGAAGAGCAGACTCCTCAGATAACCTTTAACGGTTCAAACGTAAACCAGACATTTTTAGGGTCACTATGGTAACCACCTGTCTCTCCCCGGTGTCCTCTATCAAACTCCTCTTGTATTTCATGCTCTGTGTGACTTTAATGGACCATGAATGAACATCAAAACTGTAAACTAGCGACTGAGACTATAAACTTGTCAGGAAAGTGGAGACCATCATCAGAAAAATATCACCGATGGGGTAAATCAGACTGAAAAACAATCAGGCACCCTCCTGCTGGAGGTCAGAGAAAATACAGGCCTGAGACTCTGCTGCTACCACAGCTGTGACTTGAAACCAAGTGCTGGTCTGAAAACCAGGAAGTAGACCACTTCTGGGTGCTTCCATCTTAACATTTATCCGCGCTGTAAATTCATTTCTTATTTGTGGAGTTTATTTGTCACATTTCTTCATTTTAAACATTTTTCGAAAAACTGAGAAAGGGAAAACATTTGAGAACGGTTACGCTCTAAACTGAAACTCCACATGATGTACTGTATTTTTTTATACCTGTTTTTTTTTTTTAAAGTCTATGTAATATTTGTCTGTTTTTATGTTAATTTCAGTAGCTAAATATCTCCTAAAGCTAAATCATCCTCAAAAATGTTTCATACTTTGGTTATAAATCTTTTTATAAACAAGCAAAAATATATTTGTTGAAAATGTTTAATTTTCAACTGTATGCTTTTTATTTTAACCTTGGTTTTAAAGGTACTCATTTCAATTTTTATTTTATTTTATTTTGTCTTTCATTTATTTTTAAGCCTTTTGTTTTTCAAATTATTCCTCTTCCTGCTTAACCTTCTCCTCATTTACCGTTACACCACTGAGGGCACTGATTGGTCGAACTGTCTACCTCCTTAGAGCCAGCCAGTTAAAGCAGAGCCACATTGTATTAGCCCCGCCCACTTCAATCACTGCATAGATAATAAGGGCAGCAGACATTCCCCGAGGAGATTCAATCTAAAAATTTTCTGTTATTTGAGTTTTAAGAATTAATAAAGGGATGAGCAGGACAAATTAATAACAGATAAAACATCATCATCTCCACACAGGAGCTTTAACTCTTAAATTTTCATGTTTTAAAGGTTTTTTTTTAATTTTATTTTGCCTCATTTTTAAGTTGCATTAGTCAAACAAGTTATGTTTGCATGATTCAAACACGGTAACATTTATTTAAACAGTATAATACCACACAGCCAGTCTGTTATGTCTGTATCAGTGCCATTTATCACTCATTGTTAATGTAGCATGTTCATCAGTGTTCATCTTTTACTGTAAATAAAGTCATATTACAGACACACTGCTCAGTCTGAGTCTGTCGATATCCAGAACAGACAAAAAGGATCTCATTCAGGTCAGTGAACGCATCTTCTGCTGCTTTAACTCAAGAGAAAAGTACTTTTGCAAATGTTCCCACCAATGGATCAATACAGGTTTATCGTATCTTATCTTATCGCTCATCTTATTTAATTATTCACTGAGTCACAACCCCAAAAACCTAACCTCTGTGTGTGTGAGAGAGAGATAAAGAGAGAGAGAGAGCGAGACTGTGTTGAACTCGCCTTTCAGATCTGACACAGAGAGAGGAGGGACTTCTTGGGAAATAGAAACTCATATGTGTTTGATACACAGTGCCACCCCCCACACATATATATACACACAGTCAGCTCAGTCTATATGTGTGTGTGTGTGTGAGCAGAGCTGTAGACCGTTTGATGTAGGATGATGATGATGGAGATGAAGACTCTTCTTCTTCTGCAGCTTCAGCTTGGTATGATGGAGGGTCTTTTTACATGTTTAATGTGCGTGTGTTTGTGTTATTAAACCTCTGGTTCTTGTTAGAGAGGCCGGAGGATCTTTACCGACTCTTTTTGTTGTGACTCTGAACTCATTGTGAGTTTGTTGCAGCAGTGTGTTTTTAAAGTACAAAGAACTAAAACTATAGTTCAGGTTTTGAGGTGTTAATATTTAATCTAAGGATGATGTTATTATATTTTCCACTTAGAAACTTAAACAAGAAAATGTTTCAGTGTTTCCTTGAAACCAGGAGCAGACATCTTGAGCCTAACTTGACTTTTTGTGTCTTATGTCCCATCTGTTAACATGGAGAAGGTGGGCTTTACGACAGTCTGCAGGGGGGGCTCTACATTTATGTGAAGAGTGTTATGTCATCGATCTTTGTCTGACCTGATCAGACTCTGAGAGAAACAGCTCAGGGTCACTACAGGTCTGTGTTAGCCTGGCTTGAATTTGACGTTGAGTTCAGGACTGAGTTTGAAGTCTGCTGATGTTTCAGCGGCTGTGATCTTCTAACGTTAACTTCATCTTGATCTTAAACTCACAGTTCCCTCGAAGCTGAGGTTTTACCGGCTGTTTGTTTTATTTCAGGTGTTTTCAGCCTGTTAGAGATAATCTCCTTTTATTTAACCTTCTTTTATTTTTTTTTATCATTTTTCATTTCTTCTATTTTGTTTAATCTTTTTTTCTTTACTTTTTACCTTTCTCCTTTTATATCAACTTTTTAAAACTTCTTTTTACTTCTTTCATTGAGCTCCATTACTAAGAAACATGTTTCATTGCTTCATTATGCTACCAGTTTACCTTGTCTGTCTTTATACCTGTGTGTTTGTACGTTTGTGTGTGTGTACGTGTGTTTGTGTGTATGTGTGGGTAACCTCTTCCTGTCTCCTCAGCAGGTGTGTGTGTCTCCCTCCCACCTCCCTCCAGTGTCTCCATATCCTCCTTCAACATGCAGCACACACTCAGTTTCCTGCCCAGCCTAGAGAGTCCCACCCACTGCCGCTACGCCGTGCAGACGGTCAGACTTAGGTACTTACACGGACACACACACACACAATGCCTGTGTCCACCAAGCAGCAACCTCCAATCTTCCAAAATTAAGCTAATGCTGACGTGCTGAGTGTTCCCTTGGGGCTGTGTGCAGAAGCACTGGATCAATCAATCAATCAATCAATAAATCAGTCAATCAGTCCATCAATTTTTATTTATATAGCGCCAAATCACAACAGTCAGTAAAGAGCAGGTCTAGACCACACTCATTGTTTGATGTATGCAGTTGAAAGTGTAGCCGGACTCCTTCCTTTGAGCAGCTGTTGTCTCTCCAGCTGCTCCCCCCCTCAACTCAGATCATGATTTTCAGTTCCTTTAGTTGAGGAGTGGCATCCATGAGGGTTTAGTAGGCCTTCTCCTCAGTCTCTAAACTTATCCTCAGCTGTGCTGGATTGGGCCATGGTGTGCAAATTCCCTTCCCCTTAACCCTAGAACACTATGACCCGACCAAACATGTTTACATGATTTTCATTATGTTGCGTTTGTCTGAGTAAACCCTGCTTTTTCCTACAGGCACGTGTTTGGGTGAAAATCACCCGGCAATAGTAATAGAGGGTAAAGTGGGTTTAGGTGGATTTCACCCAGCAATAGTGTTAAGTGTATAAATGCAGGTGATCTTGCTGCATTTCAAGGCTTACAACATTCAGGACTGCCATATTTACCCTCCCTTCTTCGACTACAGCTGTGATCCTGTTGCAAAGTTGATGTTTGTTAAATTTAGTAATTGCAAATTGAGTTGATTTCGTTTTTTAGCTGCATGTAGGGAATAAAGTCAGTAAGAGTGGTCTTGGATTTTGCATGCTATCTTTATTTAGCTCAGTGGTTATGAATAACTATCACAAAGTAGTGATTTTCAAGGGAATTCATATGGTGATAAGAAATATTTTAGTCAGCTGGTCATTTTTACTCACTCAAAATATGCCATAGTTCGGTTCTCTCTCCTGCAGCTGTTATTGTGCCAAGGACTCTGAGTCTTCATCAGGGAAGACTCACATACCCCAGGAATGGGTGGAAAAAAAACTAAGTTTACAGTTTCTTTAGGATTTATTGTTCATGAATGCCTAATTTCAGTTATTTTGTTGCATTTTAATATGGTCCCCTCATGGCACATTTTTCCCCTCCCTTTGGACATTGCACAGTTGAAAATAAAGAAGAGGAAGAAGAAGAAGAAAAACTTAATTGATCCCCGAAGGGAAATTCAATTGTCTGTTGTCTCACGTAATAAGTCTATAAAAGTTATCTATTATTTACATAAGAGTTATAAAGCCTGATGGCTGTTGGTACAAAAGATCTTCTGAATCTTCCTGTCCTGCAGCGAAGAGAGAGGAGCCGTCCACCCCCATTTGCCCTTTGGTTCATCAAGGTGTTGTGAAGTGGGTGATCCATGTTCTTTTGAATAGTCTCCACCTTCCTCAGTGTAGATCTCTCCACCACAACCTCCACTGCTAAAAGAAAACTACTTTAATCATGTACTGTCCTGTTTTGATAATTTTGATGACAAGTACTTTTTCTTGGGTAAATTATTTCGAGTAAAAATCACCCAGCGATTGTGATGGTGTTACTAATTTTAGCGATAGTGTTCTAGGGTTGATCTGTTGAATGATGCCACAAACCTGCGCCCACTTCTTCTAGAGTTCAGGAGAAAAGTCATGATCAAAATTGATTTGTCTGTCTCAAAAGAGGCTAGATGTTCTGACCTCTCATTTGTAAATGATACCTGATTGACCTTTTGAACTCTCAGACGTGAATGACGGTGGTCATGTCTCACACTCTTTTAGCAGGAGGAAATCGTGGAGGTCGGTGGCCGCGTGCTCTGAGCTGATGGCAGGACAGACATGTAACCTGACCCTGGTCTTCAAGGACCCCTTTGAGTCCTACCTGGCTCGTGTGAAGGCCTACACATCCAGCCAGACCTCTAACTGGACCCAGTCTGCACACTTCCAGCCTCTGACCGACAGTAAGAGACGTTTGTCACTAAAATCATCACCATGAATTCTAACTCTGATATCATCAAATAAATCATCAATAATAATATCTTAGCTGGTTAATGTTAATAATCACAGATATTCAGGGGGCTTTATTGGTGTGAATGGTAACAACTGTTGTTGCCTCAGCAATCAATAGCAAACGGCAAAAAGAGACTGACTAATTCCATGACATCGGGACTCTCTATAGGTTGTGATGGCTTAAACCTGATCCCAGGTGTGTTCAAAGACAGTTTATTTGTTTTTATGTGGTAACGCTGTAGGGCTGTGACATTTCAGTGTTCCCTGTGATTTGATGTGTGGATATAAAGATATATATTAATGGTATTGTTGTGAATCGATGTACTGTATATTGATTAATCATTGTGTATTGAAACAGATGTTTGCTGTGTCTTTCAGCTGTTTTTGGGCCCCCTGGTCTGACAGTGTCCGGCTGTGGGAACTGTCTGCTCCTACACTTAACTGTCCCCGCCTCAGGGGGGCTGAAGCAGCAGCTGCAGCTCAGAGACCTGTACCGCAGCCTGGAGTTCCAGGTGAAACGGACCAGAGATGGAGCGCAGGTGTGTATTTGGATAAGAAAACAACTCGCATGGAAAATACAAGGCTTATTTCCTGCAGACTATAAAACCACACCCTGAGATCAGACCCCTTTATGCCTGGATCTGGTCTAGACCTTGTTCTGGTTTAGATCTAGTTTGTTCTGTATCATAACAATTTTTTAGACTTAGTCAAAGGTACTCAACCTACAGATATCAACAGTCTGATAAAGGGACAGTCCGTGTAATCAGATTATCAGTGAAACTGGGATTATCAATCTGATCAGACTAACTCAGTCTGAAAAACTGGAATTATTAATATGATGAAATAATCCCCTTGGTGGAGTTTCCCTTTTCAGATTTATGTTTTTTTTCCCTTCTCGAACTAATACTGAGGAATTAAAAATATGCTTAGATCAACTCCCTCGTCTGTCTCTGCTGACGGCACTTGCTGACGTCTCCGCTTATATCTAGTTTCCCCCGTGTGGTTTTACCCTCGTCTTCCTCTCAGGAAGACAGGGGTAAAACACACCAAGAAACCCCCCCACTTTAAAAAAAAACAAGCTATCACCGTGTCCTTGTTATTGCGTACAATATACCATGTGACAGGAAGAAAGACAAAGAACAAAACCTAAAGAAAGACACGTCTTTTCTCCTGAAATTTCACAGGAAACTACACTTTTTACAAAGAACCCCATCAACAGATACTTTGAAATCAAAAACGATTAAGCATTCCCAAGTAGATTTATAACATTTTAAAGAAATAAATTTAGCAACTCAAATAAAGTTTAATGTTGAGGGTCTTCATTTTCACTCGCTGAAAAAAGTACCACTGATAATTTATGATTCATAATTGACTCATGATCACTCAAATACTGTGTGTGTGTGTGTGTGCGTGTGTGTGTGTGTGTGTGTGTGTGTGTGTGTGTGTGTGTGTGTGTGTGTGTGCGTGTGTGTGTGTGATCAGTACTTAATGAGTGTGCCCTTCAGTGAGCAGGTGGTGATCTCTTACCTGCAGACAGGTGTGGAGTACTGTGTGAGCGTAAGAGTGAGCGGTCTGTTGACTTCCACATCATCTCTCTTCAGTCAGCCTCACTGTGCCTTCACCAGTCCGCCCTCACCTCTTGACAAATCGGGTAAGACACTTCGACAAGAGAAACACAAACACACACAGATCCACTCAATTCTTTGTCTGAATACACATCTTGTTTCAAAGTAAGCTTGACTTATGACTGTGTTTCAGTGTGTGTCTGATCTGTGGTTATGATTCTGTGTGTGTCTGATCTATGTTTGTGAGTCCGTGTGTGTCTGATCTATGTTTGTGAGTCTGTGTGTGTCTGATCTATGGTCATGATTCTGTGTGTGTCTGATCTATGTTTGTGAGTCTGTGTGTGTCTGATCTATGTTTATGATTCTGTGTGTGTCTGATCTATGTTTGTGAGTCCGTGTGTGTCTGATCTATGTTTGTGAGTCTGTGTGTGTCTGATCTATGTTTATGATTCTGTGTGTGTCTGATCTATGTTTGTGAGTCCGTGTGTGTCTGATCTATGTTTGTGAGTCTGTGTGTGTCTGATCTATGGTTAGGAGTCTGTGTGTGTCTGATCTATGGTTATGATTCTGTGCGTGTCCGACCAACAGTTATGATTCTGTGTGTCTGATCTATGTTTGTGAGTCTGTGTGTGTCTGATCTTTGGTTATGATTCTGTGTGTGTCTGATCTATGTTTATGATTTTTTGTGTGTCTTACTCATGCTTGTGTCTCTGTTTCCCAGTGCTGCTGGTCCTTGGTCTGACAGGTGCACTCTGTGCTCTGTGTCTCTTTCTCTCTGGTTTGGTGATCTACCGTGGTGGGCGGAGCTTCAGAAGATGCAGCCTGTTGTCAGCTCTGGTATGTCAATGAGTGAGGGAGTGCAGTGAACAGGTGGATGAATAAGATCCTTGACAGGTGAGCAGCACTTCACTGTCGATACAGCATTTTTTTTTATTTACCATTTGTCTCTGTCTACCTGTCTCTCTGTCTCTTTGTGTCCCCAGTCCTCTCTCCTCCTCAGACAGGATAGAGGACGTCCTCGTGTCTCTAGTCAGACATCTTCCACTCAGCTCCACAAAGATGACTCTCTGACCTGACTGACCTCAGACCTGTTTGTGTAGGAGCGCTTGTGTGGAGGCAGAGCCAAAGACAAAGCCTCACCGTTGGGCGAACAGCAACAACACACCTACCTGTCATTCAAGAGGCCCCTGGTCATGACTAAAACCAGGTGTCTGATGTGAAACAGTGTACTTCCTGTGAATAAATCTGACTTTGAATCATTTGTGTAAAGACATATTCATGATGTTTTTTAGTGTTGAAGAGGTTACATGACTTTCTGATGAGTTTACTGTAAAAATAAATGTCATTTTTGTTACTTGACCACCTGTTTCAGACATTTTTCACTGATATACCTGTATAAACACGTGTGATCAGTGGTCTTCAGTTAAAGGCTTCCACCAAGGATTTATTCACCTGTTGTTTTACTGTGAATATTTGTAAGGGTATTAACATACAGCCCCTTAAAATTAATCATCAAATTTTTTAGGGGGGTAAAGTTATAGTCATGTTTGTACAGGATGTCTGTTGACTGATATTTCTACCATGTGTGTAACTTATGGATCGGGTTGAAGTGGGTTTAGCTCAGCTGACAGCCTTTTACAATCCAATAGTCAAAGGTGAAAATGGATGTTCTATTTAAACGTCTTCAGATCTGCCTACTCTGCAAGCTGCTTTGCTGCTGCTCTGCCTGCCCCAAGCCCAAGTCCTCTTTATTAAAAAGGATATTCTGGCATAAATTAAATTAGGGTCAAACACACGGTAACACTGAGTTAGACACTCCGTCAAGAGATGAATGTTGCACTAGCCACCAAACATCTTTTTAACTTTGCCTCATTTCTTTAGCAAAGAGACTAAACGCAACTTACCCACTCTCTTCCAGCAGCCGCTTGTTTGTACGGAGACCTCTGGGGGAGTCCATAGACTGCTGCGGGGGGACACAGCTCAAGGAAGAACATTTATGATCATTACTTTATCATTTCCTTGAAATAATAATCATCATATTAATCATTTCGCACTGCAGATGCAGTAGTTCTTCTGCCTTAGCGTCTCGCGTGGAGACATAGACCACTGTGTATTGCTATAGTGCGGTCGTTACTAAAGTTGGTATGACTAGAGAGGCAAGCAGTCTGCAACATTCATCTCTCGACGGGGTGTCTAACTCGGTGTTACGGTGAGTTTTAAAATCATGTTTTCTGTCTGTGTTCTTGTTTCTCCATTTTTAGTGCAATAGAAAGATTTAAATTAACTTCAAAAAGAAATGTAAACTTGAGCACATGTGGGTTTAAACATTTATCTCTTTTCATTTTCTCAAAGATGATTATTTATGAACCGTCTGCACCTGCGCACTGCTCCCTAGGTGTCAACTTTCAGAGCTCTTTAACACGCAGGTTAAAAAAGACGTTTTGATCAGGGGGATTCCTCGAAGCTCGAGCCGTTTATCTGAACAGGAAGGATTCCGTTTCTCATCTGGCTCCGCCACCTGCCGCTAAGGCCCCGCCCACCGGCGGACAAAGAACGAGGAAGTTCGCTGATCATCGTTGAAACGGACAAACTCACGCTAGCAAGCGAGACTTCATGAACCTGACAGACAACATGATTGAATTCATCTTGATAGTTTTCACTCTGAGCGGATCCTCAGGTACAAATACCATCAGCTGTATGTATTTTTGTGAGTGTTTGTGTGTGTGTGATAGAGAACGAGGCATTCAGAGGGACTACTTTATGCCTCCGCCGAGTGTCACAGTGTGCTGATAGAGTTGATATGTGTAGCCTATGTAAATATTTTTGGATATCAGTGTTAATTTAAAGCGTTTGACTCCTACGTGATTAAGATTTAAACGTGTTAAAGTAGTCTCAAAAGTTTAAATCTGTCCTGTGCTGAGAGTTCAGAAAGTGAAACCTTCTTCTCAAGAGTCTCCAGAGAGACTCAGAGGGCTGACAGACTTATAAGAACAAGACAGTCAAATGGCTTTTCCAATGCAGAAAAGTCTGATCTTGGTGACACTACCTAAAAATGCTCAAGACAGCACTATACACTACCTGTACAGCCATTTAAAAACATAGTGTTGACAATAGTGTTGAAAACAACACTAAATACATTGGTGTATTTAGTGAGTTAACTGAGTACAAGACACATGTACGTATGTTTCACATATTTACTGCATATGATTTTTGCAATTCTACAGCAGAGTGCAAAAAAAAAAAAAATACAGTAGCCTATTTAGAACAAACATAAAATTCACAATGGTTCTCCCTACATTTGGTTGCACCTCTTACTTGTACTTGTACTTCACCTCTTCTTCCTCTGACCCTGTTTTGTTCCCTTCCTCCCTGCATTCTCACCCCTCCTCCATGATGTTGCCCTTCCATGTTTGTGTCACAGAACTGTAAAAATGGTACACATTATGTCCTGCTGATTTACATATGCTTGCCAAATGAGGGTTCATGAGATTCAGCTCTGAGTGACCGTGGACAAGTGGCTTGTCTTGGTTACAACTAATGCTTCACACACCTCCTCGTGATTTAAAGCTGAGGTTCACCTGAAAGCAATTGTTCAATTTAGGAGACATTTTTAGGGGAAAAAAAGATATAGGAATGTATGAAATCAGTTGAACAGATTTTGAGAACTAGTTCAACATTTTTGTTTGTAATGACTCAAGCAATGAAATGAGGACTATTAGTTTGATAGGAAATGACTATGCAGCATTCATTAGTATGTTTCATTTTGTATGAAAGTAACTGATACATGTCCAAGAGCATTTGCAATTTGTTTGGAGGAATGAGAAACTGCTCCGATGATATGCACAAATGACTCAATGTTGTGGGAGTTGAACTAATAGTTGTGAGAACCTTCATTCTGGTCTGAGAAATGCACCAAAACGACTGAGAGAAACTGTAATAGAAGTACTAGAAATGACAACAACAACAACAACAATAATATTAATAATAATAATAATAATGGTAATAATAATATCTGTGTCGTCAGGACTTCTACCCCCCTCATCTGTTCGTCTCACCTCCTATAACATGGACCTGGTGCTCAGGTGGGACCCACCTCCAGAAGCAGAAGGTGACCTACTTTACACTGCCCAGTACAAGTGAGTGCACCACACTGTGACTTTTGACCTTTGTGATGGAATTCCTGTTGCTGAGAGTTTTCAGTGTAAATCATCAGAGGAGGATTTGCTACAATTAAACTCTGAAACCGTAAGAGCAGAAGAGGACACTCAGAGTGGTCTAATCTCTCAGAAGGAAACATAAAGAATTTCACCTCTCTGTGAGACTGTGTGAGCTAATAGTACAATAGGTTTAACTCTTAATGGACTGGCCCCCGGGTATTTGTCCGAGCTCTCACACATTCATGCCCCCGCTAGAGCACTGAGATCTGCCAACCAGTGGCTATTGGTCGTCCTGAAGACTCGCCTAAAGAGTAAAGGTGACCGAGCCTTTGGGGCAGCTGCTCCAAGGCTCTGGAACAGCCGAGTCGATAGAGGTTTTTAAATCCTCTTTAAAAACACACCTTTTCTCCCTAGCTTTTACCTAGCTCTTGATTGGTATTTTATATTTTATATTTGTTTTTTATCTACCTACGTATTTCATATTTGTTTTTATTTATGGTGTATTTGTACCTCAATTTTACTTTGCTGTATTTTAATCTTGTATTCTGTGTTTTTGATCATATTGTTTTGGTCAGCTTCGGTTGTTTTTAAAGTGCTCTATAAATAAAGTTTGAGTTGAGTTGAGTTGAGTTGAGTAGGTTTAAGATAATGTTCCTGAGTGTAACATGTGAAAGAATGTGTGGATTTCATCATCTACTGTACATAATATCATTAAACGATTCAGTCAATTTGAATCAATCTTGATGGTCCTGATCCTTAGGCGCTCAGGTAGCAGTGCGCTAAAAACAGAGAAGATTCTGGAGTGGAAATCACTATGCAGACTCAAAATCACTTCCAAAATCAGAGTTTATCACTGAATCCACAAATGCAGGTTTAAACTGAATCATGCAAAGAGGAAACCAGATACAAAAAGTACACTGTCCTGTGGTCAGTGAATCAAAATCTGACATTCCCTGTGGAAATCACACACACCCCTTTTAGAGTTGTTTTCTTTTTTGTATTTTTTCACCCCCTGTTCTCCTCTCTACTCCTTTCTTCTCCTCTCCTCTCCTTCTGCAGATCAGCTCATAAGGATTGGGTATCTGTGTGTTTGAACTCCTCCCTCCATCAATGTGACCTGTCTCACCTGAAGACCTCTATCTTTGTGTTTGGGACCTACACCGGACGGGTGAGGACGGAACGGGGGGAGGAGAGGTCAGAGTGGAGGGAGAGTAACATTCTCACCCTAGACAAACACAGTGAGTCTATCGGGGTCATTTTAGGTCAAAATAATGAATGGAGGTCATTATAGGTCAAATTAACGTATGGCGATCATTAAAGGTCTGTCTCTGTCTCTGTCTCAGCCATCATTGGGCCACCCAGCGTCTCTGTCCTAGCTCAAGGAAAAAATATTGAAGTCAGCATCACCGACCCAAAGTTTGCCATTTCATCACTCAGAGACGTTTATGGCACCCCCACTTACTACATCACCTACTGGAGGGAAGGACAGCCGGAAAAGGTACAGTAAATATTTGTCAGATGGAGAACCACAACCAGTTTAACAAACCAAACATAACCTCCCTTCAGAAAACAATCAACCAAACAAAAATAACTAAACCAAACTCACCAGACCAAGTCGCCCAAATAAAACCAACCAAACAAAACAGACCAACAAACAGTTATGATTCAAACCAAAGTCTAGATACTAAAACAGAGAGTCCAGTCACACAAACAACCAAACCAAATATTATTGTGTTTCGCTTTGAGTTATCTGTGGTGGAAATATCTGTACTAACTGAACAGGAAGTGTCTTTTGGAGAGTATTACCAACTTATGCTAAGTAGACTGTTGTTTTTAGACAGTTTAAAGTTCTGTCTGTCAGAATCAGACTCCCCTCTCCTCAGCTGCACGCACTTAATCTCAATAAGCAGTTTATCCAAACTCAACAGCAACTTAGTTCAAAAAGTCAAACGGTGGGGAAGTTCCCCATCAAACTGTAACTAAAAAACAGGGAACAACAGAACTGGTCTCTATAATCTTTCTTGAGTTTTTGAGTGTTAGAGATCTGCGTATACATTTACACATACCAAGCGGCTGCCATCTTTTGCTGGATCCTCTCAAATAACCGTTGTGGTCCTTGAAGCTCTGTCGGACTTGTTTTGGATTGTGGTTAAAAACCACACAGCTTGCCTCCTTCTCTAAGCACTGCTACTTTGCAGTCCATTGTGGATTACTTTTTAAACATGTACGTTGGGTCTGAGAAATCTTTTGCTTCAGGTTGTATTTATTTTGGATACAAAATAAATAAGCAGTTCTTTCTTCTTGCCCGACAAGGAGATGGTTCTGCTCTGGGATGAGTTTTTCTGGTTTAAAGCCAGGTCTCCTGCATTGGAAAAAAAAAAAATGTTTTTAAATTCAGCACTGACTTCGATTTGGTAATGAAACCAGGTAGTTAAGTCAATGATATTGTTTTTACAAAAACAATGTAGAAGTAGATATGTAGTAGTCTTCGCTGTGTTACCTATTTTTGTATTTATCTGCATTAAGTAATGTGTGGGTCTGCAGACTGCAGGGTCTGATCTGATCCTCTGGCCCTGACTGACGAGTTTTTGTACCTGCAGCAGACCCGACCTCACTTGACTCCTCTCTGCTGACCTCTGCAGGCCATAAACATCACACAGATCCAGCATAACCCGGTGGTTTTAGACAAACTACTTCCTCGGACCAAGTACTGTGTCCAGGTCGAGATCCACACAGAGCTGAACCCGAAGCCCAGCGAAGCCAGTAGGATCGTCTGTGAGAGCACCGGGAACAGTAAGACCAACAGACGCGAGGTTCATTCATGTGTTCACTTGCACACCTGAGAGGATGTAATAGAGTTGGCAGGTTTATTCAGGCTAAAGCTTTTTGAGATGTTCTTGGAGCTCACCTGGTCTTCATCTGTTTTCCAGGTGCCAGGTGTAAGCTTTAGTCTAAACTGATGAGTTCTGTTAGTCCTGGTCTAAACAAGTGGGAATGATGACATTCAGATTCTGCTCCTGATGTTTGATCTGTCCTCTTTCTGCAGGAGAGGCGGCTACATGGGTCATTGCCGTGGTGATCTTTGTCATCATGGCGGTGGTGATGGCGCTGGTCCTGCTCACAGTCATTTATCGCAAAAGGATATCACACTTCCTGTGTCCAAAAGTTACACTTCCTCTGCACTTTGAGGTGAGTCCATCTGTTGAAGAACATCTACATATAGACTTCAGTTCAAGTACACAACAACTACAACCAAATTCACATCAACTGCACACCAACTGTACATACACTACAATTAAACTATATTTAAACTATGCACCAACTACAAACCAACTTGCACCACCTTCTGCAACCTGTAACACATGTGATCAATACCTGCTGTGACCCACAACACTTTAGTTCTAGCTGTATTCTGTCCAGCAGCTGATGAAAAGTGTTCATGTCTACCTGTCGGTGTAGTTTTTGCTTTAGAGACTCCACAGAGTTTGAATGTTCTTATGACTAAACCTTCCTCTCTCCCCCTCAGCCCCTGAAAGTCCCCCTCAACCCCCTTCTTTACCAAGCAACGGACAACACCTACACACCTGAGGAGGTCTGCCACCCTGTAAGCATCATCCCACACCAAGGATGTACAGACAAGCTCCTCTTACAGGAACAAAGGACTGTGGATGAGCAGCAATGAGGCAGATGTATAAATCCTGACTACTCTGATCAGAAGCCACGATTACATGGGCAAAATTACTTGATCCGATAAAAAAATTGAGGCATCAGAAAATCTGAATCCAATCATGACGTGCGTATACACTTGTCAAATTTCGCTAAAGCAACCTCAGGAGAAGAATTGCATTGACGCCTGTGCTGTCAACAAACCAACAAATGCGGGAGTGGCTCACTTCATCCAATTCAGGAGTCTCCCCCCTTTTAAATTTTTTCACTAGATGACGCCCTAGCTTATTTATTTTACTCAAAGGTTGCACTGTGCGTGCAGATGTGACATCATTATGCTGACATCTTTACGCCTTGTTATGTTATTGGAGGAGCAGACACGGCACCTGCAGCTGTGTTTTAATGCCAGAGTGTTAATAATAAAGCCTCCTGGCCTGAATAAATAAGGCAAAGGCTAAAGAGTGAAGATTGAGTCGGGTTAGAGAGTCATGATCCGAATATGAGCCGACTTGGATCAGACTCTTCTGATCAATACGTTACTTGACGCATTTTTATTCCGATCGGGCCTTTATTCCGATATTTGTGCCCATGTAAATGCAGCTAGGGATTAGCATCTTTACATGTTTACATTCACAGTTGAAGGATCCAGAGGATAAGAAACCTTTTTAAAGGCAGCAGGTGGCTCAGTTAGAGATTTTTCACAGTGTTTATTTAATTTATTATTATTTGTTTGTGTTTCAGCCTTATTTTACTGTGTAAATTTGCCTAAATAAACTGTTTATTTTGTATAAATGTGTGAATTTACTGTGGACATTTCAATTGTGATGTCAATTTGTGGATCTTGAGATGCTGAGCAGTGCAAGCTGAACACTCAGAAGTTATCATTATGATCCTGTCAGGTGCTGTAAATTCTGTGATAACTTTATTCAAACAAAGATGACTGCATGGTCAGATGATAAATCAGGTGAGAGGGGGAAAAAAGGAGTAAAGTTAGACAAAAAAAAAAAATGCACACCAGAGAGCTGTATCTAGGGTGTTTTAACTTTTGACTCCTTTAAACTCTGTTTTGCTTTGAGATCATGATATTACACAGTATCTGAGTAATCATCAGTAGTGTATGTATGATGGTGCCGTTCATACCTGAAACCTCACCTGTAGGTCAGGGTGATTACAAGTGAACCTGTTCCCTGCAGCTCTCACCTGCACTTCCACAGATCAATTGTTACCATCAGCAGTACTGAGTGTGAAGAGGAGCTCAGCCTTAGGCAGAGACCACTCTGACCTTTACTGACCTCTATTATTTAGACACGTCTCATACTGTATTTGTAACCCCTTCACCCATATGCTTCTAACCTTCACAGACTCCATGAATTGATGCCCATCTCCTAAATATTTGGTCACATGATCAATTTCTTTGACCATTTCCAAGAAACAGGGGGTGGCTCAACTTGCCCTTTGGCTCCCCTTTGGCTTCCAGAAAGCAGAGCTGCCTGATTCGGTTGTTTTATTAAATGTTGGTGCTACTAATGTTGTGGCCTGTGAGTGCACATGTGTTAAAAATCAAACTTGATAGATTTCTTTTAGTATTTTGTGCTTTGTTTTCGTGTAACTTCAGAGTGTTGATGCTGGCGCCAAGCCAGTAGATGGCGGAGGAGCGTCATGACGCAGTTGGCCGCTTTCTCTTTCCTTACGTCATGAGTGGGCGTTTCTGTTCGGTTGTGACCAAAGCTGCTCTGATCGAGACGTGCCGAACAATTCCGAGTAATGAACGGCTGAGAGTGCGTTACCTGTCCACAACCTTCACCATGTCTGCCTCCGTGTGGATCTGCCTGCTCATCTGTACCCTCACGGTCACGGCTGGTGAGTTATTTAGCCGTTTGTAATCGTGATAACGTTAAGGAGCTGCGCGAATATCAGTAAGCCAACGCTTTAGCATGCTAATGCTAGTTGTGACCATTTGAGACTATGCTAAGCTAACAGACAACTCAATGTGAAACAGGAAAACAGATAGTGTGCTCATGATTCAACAGACAGGACTCTCAGTAAACAGATAGTTCAGTTTAATGTAGACTCTGAATATCAGTGATGCTATATGATATCCTCTGATTCTGTTCAGTTCTTCATATATAGCTCAGCACCTCAGAGGGATACACTGGTTTTACTTTTTGTTTTCATACTGTTACAGAGTATTACAGTGGAGCTGCTGTGACATTCCTAACTCTGCCCACACACTGCCCATACACTGCTGTTTGAATATTATAATATATTTATATACCAGGGCCCGACCGATATGGATTTTTTGGGACCGATGCCGATACCGATTATTAGTGAGGGGGAAATCCGATTATCGATTAGTCAGCTGATTTTTTGAAATTTTGTATGAAGTTTTAAAATTTTGTTAATTTAAGTAATATATCTACAAATTTACTTTTTTTTAAAAAAAAAAACAAATGTCCGCTTTTGAGCCTTTCAAACACTTCTGCAAAGAATTAAAGGCAGAAAGCTAATTTCAAATCATTTTTATTGCTAAAACAACTGAAAAAGAATTAGGTATTTTGTGCAAACAGCTAAATTAACTTCCAACTCAAAATGAGGAACACTTGGTATACTGCAGGTTACTGCTCTTCATGCCGACAGGAAGACCGACTGATCATCTTAGTAATATTCCACATATTGATCATGAATCAAACTCGGACCAGAAAAGCATTTTTAAACGTGAAACCGAATTTTTTTCTCAGCATTTTATTTCTGAAAACATTGGCGACAATCAATGCGTTTTGGCCGATTACAGATTAATCTCAGGGCTAAAATTGGCCTATTTAATCGGCTATACAATTTTTTTCTCCCAGGAGAACCTCAGCTGTCAGTTTATGGGTGCAAAAATTATGTAAAATGAATGTAACAGCAGATTCAGAACTATCAAAGTCAACCAAAAAACAGTTGTTTATGACACTCCCCGAAGCATTTCCTGTCTGGGATGAGACAGAGGACCACATCATACTGCTCAAAATCTCTTCTTTGTTTGTTACCAAGGATTGAGGACCATTATTTCTTATTTTGCAGGCAAGCAGGGAACCTTCTTGTCTCTTATTGATCTTTGGTTGCTTATTCGTACCGTCAAGGGAACAATAGAAGAAGATTATGAGACCATGTAATTGTTATAAAGTTTGACAAAGATGTAATCAAAACAGCTTGTAAAACCTGGGAGACATTAGCGGCATTTAGCGATAACTATCTTCTTTTGAATCACAACAATAGGATAAATAATCATGTTTTCACTGGTATATCACTGTAGATTTACCATCAAAAGTCTCTGATCAAACACCTATATTTGTGACTGGATTGTGAACCTTGTGGCAGGTGTAGAAATGCCTGGAAACCCTCAATAGATCACCAAAAGGGTAAGCTTTTGAACACTTTTTATCCCATAGAGATACACGCAGAATTGCTGGCGATCCAGCGGGGTTCTAAGTGCTAATTTTCTCTGTGATTAATGAGTCTTAATGAGAAGTATTACTTTAACCAATGATCACAGGATAGTTTGCTTATTATCTCTGTGTATTGTTTACTCAGACTCTAAAGTTCATCTTGTCAGACCAGTTCCTAAACAAGGATTCTATTTACAGACTGGCAGCAAGTCATCACAGTTACAACCCTGTAAATATTTGACTTCCCTGCTTTAAAAGAAACAAATAGATTTGAAGTTGGTCTAAAGTCATGGGAGTATGATTGCAAAAGTACCACTTCTTTTAGCTTTTAGCCTTGACTTTGGAACAACCAGGAGGCTCCTACTTGGGGGTCTCGGGCTGCAGACTGGTCCAACTGTGTCAACCGTTCTGATATGTAGTTTGGAGATAGATCTACACCTGCTTTAAAGATGATCAGTAAAATCAGCCCTTAACAACAGGGAGCTAATGAAGGAAGTTCAGGTGATGTGATCCGTCTGTTAACACCCAGTGAGACGCAGAGCTGTTGCTGTCTGAACCAATCAGATACAGGAGAGAGTTTTATGGTTAATGCTGGTGAGGAGTGAGCTGCAGTAGTCCAGACTGAAAGGATAAGTGCATGGATTCACAATTAGTCACATGATTCATTTGATTCTTTTTAAACAATAGTTTGGAATCCACCATCATACACAATAAAACCCCTCACCCTTTCACTCGTTACCATTGATGTTTAAAACAATGAGAGATTTTATCAGCCAGCGACCCCAGCGTGTTATTACATATCCGGTCTTTTTATTTCTTCCTCTGTTTCACCCATGGGCTCTCTCCTGACATCCTGAGATTGTAAAAATAGATTTTTGGAGGCCCTGGGTTTGATTGAGAGATGAGCTTAGTATGTATTAGAAGTTTCATTTCCTTAAATAAAGTTTCTGGAGCACTCAGACACTTTGTCTTCTGCTTTTTGAAACTTCGAGTGATACCAGCTTTAATAGACATAAATGCACAGTCAGAAGGAGACCACCCGTGTATGAGGATTTAAATAGATACTAGGGGTGTAATGGTACGTAAAACTCATGGTTCAGTTCATTTTCTGCTCAGTATGGAATCGCTTGACTTTTATTAATAACTCAGAACTTCCCTTTTACACTGTCTAAAGTGCAGCAGTGATAAATCAGCCTTGCAGGTCTGCTTGGATTTATTTCCTGACCTCTAATAACAAAATCTTACAGTAAAAATCAAAATAGTTTAATGCTGCAAATATACATCCATGTATCGTCAGACCTATAGCAGATTGCCTGGACAAGTTGTACACAACAGCAGCTTTTGTTTGTTCCTAAAGAGCTGGTATGACTTCATTTCTAAAACCGCAGATATCAGCAATGATGGGGGAAAAATTGTATTTCAAAAGACGCAGCACATTAGCCTATTTTTATCAGGTTATTTCCAACACTTTACACAGTACGAATTTTCAGAGTTTATTCTCAAACTCACCTTATTTACCGGGATCACTTTGCCCCCCTCACCCCCTGCACACACCCCTTCTTTATGCCCACAGCAGCCGTCTCCATCTTTATCAGCAGAATTTTAAAGAAGTTACAGAAGTTGAGTTTTTCACACATAAGTAGGTTTTCATACTGCATACTGGAGGCAGCATGTGGAGGATTATAATTAAAATCAATGAGGTTTCATTAACGATCAATGACTCTGGGTAACCCATGTAGGGAGTAAAGACCAAAGGAGACGCTCACTTCTCAAGTCATCAGGGGTTATCGATGGATAATAACTAATAATGGATGAAATTTACACACATCTAACGAACGCGTCGGCGCATCCAGTTTGATTTGTTCAGGTCACTGCAGGCTGATCCTTATAATGGTTTTACATTCCTTTAAGGGTGTGAATCTGACAGTGCTGCGAGCCAGCGTGCTTAACCTGATGACAATCTGTAGTGTAGGTCAAAGTCCTCATCAGGAAGCAGCAGACTAAGCTGACTGCCACAGACTGACTGATCGTGGGACCGATGTGCTGTCTACTTAGGTTTTTTATGAAAAATTCAGCACTATCGGGTTCTACAATCTAGAGCTAAAATAATTTTAATTAGTTATTGTTTAACTTCATTCATCTAAAAAAGGTCAGTTTCAATTTTTTAACTTTCAAACTTTTCAAATCTGAAAATCTGACGCTTTTCTTAGCCTGTGATTGATCTGTGAAGGTGGTGACCACTCACTTGTGTAAAATAAATTATGTGATCATTATTTATGTGTGTGTGTGTATGTGTTTGTCAGCAGCAGCAGCAGCAGCAGCAGCAGCAGAACCCGCCCCCCCACAGGACATCTCCATTCTGACTCTGAACACAAACTACACCCTGACCTGGAACTGGAACCAGAACCATGCAGACACCTCTAATGTGACTTTCACCACCCAGTACATCCCGTAAGGACCGCAGCACTGTAACACACTTACACATGCTCCAAACGGCCCGTTTACACACCTGTAACACCTGTTCTAACGGTCTAACTAACACTTTTTCTGTTTACAGAGCTGAACATGTTTTCATTGTCTCTGCTCGTGTGCTTCCAGGGCATATAAGTTGGATTGGGGCCGAAAGGATTGGTACGAGGCATGTGAGGACTCTCCACACAAGTCATGTGACTTGACAAAGTTTAACCTGTACTACAAGACCATCTACACTCTGAGAGTGCGCACCAACGTGAATGGGAGGCACTCAGAGTGGATTCAGAGCGAGTTCTGCCCAGAAACAGATGGTGAGATGGGGGGGAAGGATGAGAATGTAGAGGGTAGAAACAGAGGGAGGGAGGAGGTTTTGCAGCCTGAGTGTAAACAGCCAAACTCAGTCCCCTTTAAGCGTGTTTTCTCACTTGGTCTCTCACTTGATTACTCAGCATTTTTTGTCCATATGTGAACACGCCGACCGTACTCGAACCCCTTTAAAACGAACCGTACTGAGACCACCTCTGGAGGCACTCTCAGTACGGTTTGCTAAAAAGTCTGCGGTACGATTCGCTTAATCTGCGCATTGTGAACACAAAGTGCTCGGGTTCACTTAGCTTTTTTTGCACTGCGTTATAACCTTCTTTGCTTGCCGTAGATTGGTCACGTGACTGCAGCTGGGATTACTCAGAGCGGCAGAGAACAGAAAGAACACCAAATCTAAAGTATGACAGAAACTAAGACAGAAGTACGTGGTACTCATGGTAAAATGCTCCAGAGTACCTAGTGTGAACAGAAAGAGGACTGAGGACCCATCAAAGCTGAACTGGACCAGAAAGAGAACCCAGTCCTCTTTGAAGTAAACTCACAAATTGAACACAAACAGAACTGAGTTCCTTTGCTTTTGGTCCACATACAGAAAAACACCCTTAGTTTCAGGAAACACACCACAGTTTTGGTCTGTGGAGTCACGTGCCTTCAAGTGAACCACAAACCACCGGATTTTAAACAAACACTGAGAGCTGACTGAGGTGTTCACCCAGAGAATTCATCCTCTTTAATAGTCCTCTGACACCTGTCTTCTCATGTCATGTTATTAGAGCATCAAGTGAGTTAAAAATAAATGAGGTTAAATAAACTAACACGATCACACCACAGCAGCGACTTATCAGCCAGATTTTCTCACCCCAAAGCATCATGGACTAAAAAAAAGATCCTTTTTATCCTTTTTTATTAGCTGACGTGGGTCCTCCGTCCAAAGTGGAGCTGTCTCCTGCAGGAAGTGACCTGGATGTCAACATAACCGACCCTCTGACCAGCAACAACACCTCCATGAGGGAACACCTGTCTGACCTACAATACAAGATCCTGTACTGGGAGCACTCTGAAGATGCTCAGGTAGGGTATAACACGCTGAGGACACTCCAGCACCTTGAATCATGTCTAAGAAGTTAGTTTGTGTTTCAGACGGGACCTGTTTCTGTTCCTGTTAGCCTCGGCGTTTAAAGCAGCTGCCAGGAAAAAAACCCTCACACAGAGAGCTGGTCACACTTCTTCTTTTTCCACAGTCCCTCCAGACGACTTTTGAAACCACTCAGACTGCAGTAAAGTCAGTAGTTAACTGTCTGTTCATGCTCCCTCAGGGAAGGAGTTCTTCTGTTGAGTGGGTGTGTGCCTAAGAGATATCTCAGTAGGCTAGAAATGACATCAATTAAACGCCGTGGTAATCAAAGTGTATTGTCTTACTTGCGGGAGCTGTCGTTCCTCATCAGACAGGTTTACAGCTAGACCTGTTGCCTTTTTTGTAAAAGAGCACCTGGCAGGAAACAGCAGCAGATCAGAGCTGCTGTTTCTTCTCTGTTGAGAGGTTTGAGATGCTTTCATTCAAACAGGAAACACCCCACTGAGGTATGCAGGGTAACATGTACCAACCACACTTACCGCAAAAACAGAGAGGTGCTCAGAAGACACTAAGAGACATTGTGAGAGGAAGGACCAGAGACAACACAAACAAGAGGACAGCGAGTGGTTTGATATAAAACCACTCGTCACATAAAAAGAAGACATTTTAGGATTTAGAAATTTTAAAGATTTCAACATTTTAACGCCATTTTCTGACGAGAATAAAGTCATGGTAAAATCATTTCCAACGCTGGTACCTGAGTCAACGATGAGCCACTTAGTACTGTTTAGAAGGAGATTACTCCACCTCTCAGCTGTTTACGCAGGCTTTTCAGAGACCTGATACTCATCACAATGCGGTGTTGAGGTGTCAAACCATTAAAGACAATTAAACCAGACGCTCCACGTTCCTTAGAAAGCTGACAGCTCACTGTCTACCACTTAAATCTCTGAACATAACTCTACTGTGACTTTGTTTTTGTTTCAATATGACACTAACCTGGCAACATTATGACTTTTTTCTCTACTTAACACTTCTTTTTGTCCAAATGAAAAAATATTCAACCCTAAAAATAATTGTAATTGTGCTGACTAGTCTCTCTCTTGCCATACAAAAGTGGAAAAGGTTAACACTGGTGCCGATTGACGTGCGTTCGCTGACGCATGCATGAGGAGAACTCATGTCAAAAAGGGTGTTTATTACATCAAATTGAAATCGAAGCATATTACAGTTTTTCTGCCACTGTTAAAGAAAATGTGCTCTTCCTCAGTCAGCGACACCTGTCACTGGTTTCCTCCCCACATATAACTTTGAGCTTCCCTCGTACAACGGAAGTTACCAAAATAAACAATGAAGCAACTCAAACAAGCAAGCATAAAAAAAAATATTTAATCTGGCTCCTACATTAGTCTTTAGTTTTTTTATTTTTTATTTTTTAATGTCGCCTTAATACTCTGTCCTAGAGCATGGGATCACCCAATATTGCCTTTTCAAGGTGGACGTTTTGTTTTTGGTCGTGAAAAAGAGTTAAGTGCATCGTCATTCGAAATTTGGGTCACGACACTAATGACCCAAGTTTGGAATCCTGTCTCAGCTGTATGTGTCTCTTGTCTGTCATCTCAGAGGTTTATGTCTGTCCTTCCTCAGGTGTTGAAGCACCATGAGGTGGTCAGCAGTGCAAACCTAGTGACCCTGCCCAGCCTTAAGTCCTGGACCTGGTACTGTGTCATGGTCCAGACCAGAGGAGATGATTATTACAACAAGAGCAGCCGCTTCACCCCCCCTCTGTGCAAGCAGACTGAAGGTGACACACTCACACATGACAAAGAGAAATCAGACTGACACACACATACACACACACACGTACCGACACACATTCACACACACACACACACACAGTGCTGTTCCACCCTGTCCGCTTTGACACCACACATCCGAATCTTTTTCCACCATTCCCCCCTCAGTGGGAGGATCAGAGGGGAAACATTTTCCTCTGTAGCACACTGTACCACCATTTTGTGCACGATGTTTCCTGTGTGACTCAGCAAAATTGACAACAACACGCTGCTCTCCCTCTCCCCGTCTGTCTCAGGTCCTCTCCCCTGGTGGCAGATCCTCCTGTACTTCCTGGCCTCTTTGCTGGTCTTCTTTGTGCTGGTGGTGGTCTTTTTCCTCGGCTCTTTTTGGTGCTACAGGACCGTGAAGGCCACACTGTTCCCGTCCATCCAGCTGCCTACACACTTTAAAGAGGTATGGAGCAGAGTCTGATCCTGGATCAGATCCATGTTAGCAGATCATTCACCTGGTCATTCAGTCTGCAGACTTTTCATTTAGCAATAATTAATCCGGTCTCTCTCTTTCTTTTCCCGTCCTGCAGTACCTCTGTGACTCCCCTGGCTCTGACATCCCACGCCTCCTCACCCCAGACCCAGAGGACGAGCTGCTGTGTGCGAAGGTGACCGTTTGTCCTGGAACCCCGGTGCTAGAAGTCCACCAGCCTCCTTTTGAGGAACTGGAGGAGCTGGACATCAGGTCTGTTTACATGAAATGTGGGCGGGGCTTCTGTCTTTGGTGACGTCATCATGTAACAGTTTGACCATATTTGGCAGGAACGGCATCGATGAAATGAACAGCTTCAGATGAGGGTTAAAAAACAGGCTCAGAAAAGACCTATGTGTGTGCGTCTGATCTTGAAAATGTTATTTTTATTGACGGTGTTATTAGGTGTGTGTGTTTTTGTACTTAATTTTATGTTTTTGTTGTTGCGTTGGTGTGTGTCACAGCACCTCTAACCTCTGCTTGTGTGTTTTGTGTTGTGTTGTGTTGTAATGTGTGTTTACAGACACAGCCGTCAGAACAGCAGCGGCAGCACCGACTCTGGAGTTTACTCCACAGAAGGCGGATCCTCGCAGAGGCCACAGCCCTCCTCCTGTGAGGGGAGCGGAGCCTCCATTCAGAGCACCTTTGACCCCGTGCAGGTGAAGATGAGAGACATAACCCCGAAGATCAGGGGTCAGCTGGAGGTCACAGATGAAGGTGTTGTGGACGTTAGCGTGTGAAGAGGAGAGAGGGGGAGGATGCCTAAAAGGTGTGCCTTCATCTCCACTGTGAACCCACCTGGGGAGCCAAATTATTTGAGTGAGAGACTCGCACTGAGCATGCTCTGATGTGAGGAATACCTGATGTGCGTGCTTGTGTGCGTGCATGTGTGAGTGTGCATTCCTGCCGTCATTATGATTCTTATAGAATCAGGCTATTAGTGTGATCTGTCTGTTTGATGTTTAATGTTTTTATATTTGGAGGTTACACTCAAATTTTTATCATGATTTGATTTTCATCATGTTTGAATATAAACTTGTCAGCAGTGTCTGTGGTCTCTCTTTATTAAACACTCAGCTTCAGAGAGGTCTGCGGCAGCTTTCACGACTTTGTTCAGATGTTTAGTCCAAGGTCACAGTGAAACCCAGGGATGATCTGATTCTTGGATTTGTTGATCACCTCTGCAGGACATTTATTTCTCCCTTACAGTCAGGGTTTTGTTGCTGCAGAGAGCCTCATGTACATATTTTTGGATGTCGTGTCATACTACCATTATTGACCACAGCTCTCCTTCTCCCATTATCAACTTGTTCTTATGCCTTCATAGTCAATTTATGTTGCACTATTTTCACTTTTAAGTTGAAACGTTCTCACTGTGGATTTTTTAGCCGTGAGGTAACTAATGCAAAGTAACTGCACTCTTGTTGTCTGCGCTCAGTTTCCAACAGCTGACGAGAAAGGAGTGACAGGATTGGCTTAAAATCCTGACCAGTGAAAAAAGGTCAAGACTTCTTCTTCCACTTTTTAACTTCCCGTTTAAACATTTGAGGCAGAGCAATGAGATATGGGGGACATCAGAGGTCACTGAAAGAGTCTGAGTCAGTCGGACTAAGAACTGATGCAAAGTAGCTTTGGCCAATCAGAATCAAGTGTCTAAGCCAGGTGATGATGAGTTATTTCTGTTGATCAATGAGGTCCTCTGTGTTTGCTCAACATCTTGTTGCTCTAAATGTTCCGTACCACATGTTGCCTCAACATGTTGGTGTCTGTGTTGCTGTAAAATCTGTTCAGACTGAAAATAAAACCATCTTAAGCTTTCAAAACCAGCAAGAGTGCAGAGTGATTATTTCTGTGTGGTAATGAGTGAGTACATAATATATACAGAGAAAGAGAGAAGTTTTAAAGCTGGCACTTGTTCTTCTAGTGAGTGTATTTAAAAGCACCTGGCTTCCAGCAGAGAGGCCTGCACAATCTTTCAGGTCTGCAGTCAGCTGGACAGAGGGGAAGGGATCCTGTGTGTCGGCTGTGTCCTCACCAGAGGAAATGTGCAATTTCCTCCATTTATTTAGCAGACTCTTCACTCTATCCAGAACCCCCTCCTAGTTTCTCTTAATGCTTGTCTCGTCCCCCAGGAATACTCCCAGATGCTTAAGGCCTCCTATTTTCCAGGGTGAGTTATAGAAATATTCCGGTATAAAATGAATTTTGGGTCAAACACACCGTAACACTGAGTTAGACACCCCCTCGAGAGATGAATGTTGCAGACGCATGCTTCTCTAGTTATACCAACTTTAGTAACAGAATAGCAATACACAGCGGTCTATGAATCCATGTGCACTCCTCAACCAAAATGCCACTTTATAGCCACAAATAATGCTCAGAACAGCACCTAACTTCATTAACAGGACATATAGGGTCCCAGCCACAGCACTAGCCACCAAACATCTTTTTAGCTTTGCACAATTTCTTTAACAAAGAGACTAAACACAACTCACCTACTCTCTTCCAGCAGCTGCTTGTTTGTGGGGGAGCCCTGACGAGTCCATTACAGACTGCTGCAGGGTGGCGCAGCTCAAGGAAGAACATTTATGATCATTACTTCATCATTTCATTGAAGTAATAATCACCATAGTAATCATTTTGCACTGCAGACGCAATAGTTTTTCTGCCTTAACGTCTCTGTCTGATTGCATTCCCATGAAGAAATGATCATAATTGTTCTTTCTTGAGCTGTGAAACTCCACTGTAGTCCATAATGGACTGGCCCGAGGTCTCACTAGAAACAAGCGGCTGCTGGAAGAGAGTGGGTGAGTTGTTTTGAGTCTCTTTGTTAAAGAAATCAAACAAAGTTAAAAAGATATTTGGTGTCTAGTACTCTGGCTTGGACCCTATATGTACTGTTGATGAAGTTAGGTGCTGTTCTGAGCATTATTTGTGACTACAGAGTGATGTTTTGACCGCTGGCTCCTTAGCCTTGTTGGCTCCTTAGACCACCATGTATTGCTATCGTGTGGTCGTAACTAAATTCGGTATAACTAGAGAAGCAAGCGGTCTGCAACCTTCATCTCTCGAGGTTGTTTCTAACTCGGTGTTATGGTGTGTTTAATTTTATGCCGGAATATCCCTTCAAGTAGAGAGTTTACTCACTTTAGGAGGAAGACAGTTCAGTCCAAGTCTTTTATTGTGAAAGGATGTTTTTTTCGGTTTTCAAACTCTCTCTTATTATGACAGAGTGATGCTGCCCCCTGCTGGCAGACTGCACACGTCTCTGTGTTCGTGTTTACAGACGGACAGGTCCAGTCTGGTGGACCTCATCTCACTCACAAACTGTTCTCCGTTCACACCGACTGAGATGTCAGTTCAGCCTTTTTTCTTTTTAAATAATAATAATAATAATAATAATAATAATAATAATAATAATAATAATAATAATAAATGAAAAAGACTAGATCCAGGAGAGGGCACCGGGGCTTCCGCATTTAGGAAATGAAGATTTCCGAGCAGGACTAGAACACAACATATTTCCACATTTCCGTCAAGCTGGGGAAGAGGAAGCGCCACTGTTCTTACTGTTCGGTCAAAGATAGAGCAAAATTGGGTCACAAAAATGTTAAAATATGAGACAGAAGTGTCTGGAATGTCGTTACAGCCTGATAAATGAGGCCAGGATGATTTTCATGGTGCTGCTCGCTCAAACTGTCCTCTCAGGTAAGCACTGTTACCTGTTAGCTTCCAGTTAGCACTCCAAGCTAACGCAGCGCTCCGTTCCAGCTGTAAACCACAGCTGTTAGACTAAAGTTTTTAACTCTTTTGTTCTCCTCCTTATCCCCACAAAGTTGTAAAAATCAGGATATGAAACTCATAATTTGTATCACTGGTGGCCTGGTTTGCTCTTATATGTCATAAAGAGGCATCAGTATGAATTCAGGTGTAGAAAAACCTGAAGGAACTTTAAAGGGATATTCCGGCGTAAAATTGATTTAGGGTCAAACACACCGTAACACCGAGTTAAACAACCGCTAGATAGATGAATGTTGCCGACTACTTGCTTCTCGAGTTATACCAACTTTTATAACAACCGCAGGATAGAAATACACAGCAGTCTGAGGAGCCATGAACACCACTGTATGGCCACAAATAATGCTCAGAACAGCACCTAACTTCATCAACAGTACATATAGGGTCCCAGCCATAGTACTAGCCACCAAACATCTTCTTAACTTTGCTTAATTTCTTAATCAGAGAGACTAAACACAACTCACCTACTCTCTTTCAGCAGCCGCTTGTTTGTAGCGAAACCTCGGGCCAGTCAATTATGGACTGCTGCGGGGTGACGCAGCTCAAAGAAGAACATTAATGATCATTACTTTATCATTTTCTTGAAGTAATAATCACCTTATTAATCATTTTGCTCTGCAGACGCAGTAGTTCTTCTGCCTTAGCGACTCGGTCTGATTGTATTTCCATGAAGAGATTATCATAAATGTTCACTACAACCGAGCGACTGCTGGAAGAGAGTAGGTAAATTGTGTTTAGTCTCTTTGCTAAAGAAATTAAGCAAAGTTAAAAAGATATTTTGTGGCTAGTGCTGTGGCTGGGACCCTATATGTCCTGTTGATGAAGTTAGGTGCTGTTCTGAGCATTATTTGTGGCTATAGAGTGGCGCTTTGGTTGAGGGCGTGGGTCTCTGTATTGTTATCGTGCAGTTGTTACCAAAGTTGGTATAACTAGAAAAGCAAGCGGTCGGCAACATTCGTCTCTCGAGGGGGTGCCCAACTTGGTGTTATGATGTATTTGACCCTAAATGAATCTTACGCCGGATAATCCTTTAAACTGGGGCTGCAGGTGACTGCTCTAGGGTTAATCATAATTTTACAAATTTACCTCTTGGACATCAAAATATAACATATAACAACAAAGCTGCATTGAATCAGTGCAATCTTAATCCAAGGATACTAACAAAGAAACCGCTGAATTTGAGTGACTTTTTCATCAAATGAATTTAGATTGAGAAGATTTGTTTTAGTAAGATAACACCATATGATCCGACTTAAGGTTTCTGTCCCGCTATCAGTAAAAAATAAGTAAAGGTGGTTTAATCCTCGCAAATTAAAGTTATAACCAGATTTATTCTGTCATCGGAGATGTGAAAAAACATGTTTCCATTTAGTGAAGATTATATCAGGTGAAATCAGCCTGGTTGATTATGTCAAAATGGAAGCTTTTAACTGTGAGTAGAGTGTCAGTGAATCCCTGTCTCCCTTGCTCCCTCTCACGATCACACTCAGAAATATATTAATCATCTTCATCCTCCTCCTCCTCCTGCTCAGCTCTAGGTGAGGAGCCTCCGGCCCCCCCTCAGGATGTCCACCTTCAGAACTGGCTGCTGACGTGGACCCCTCCCCCTGAAGAGACAGCAGAGCTTACTTACACTGTGCAGAGCAGGTGCGCGTCCAAGGACAGGTCATGTGACAAACTACAGGGTGTTTCATGGGAGGGCAGGGCAGGGCAAGTTTATCAACCGTGAGTCTCCAGTGATCTCCTATGATCGGATTCTTCTTCCCCACCTCACTTTCAAATAAACACGAAGCCGTTTGATGATTTGAAGCCAGATTTACCTGGTGTTATAGTTCTGTGGTTTAACTCTGCTGCATTAATAACCTCTGACAGGAGGTTCATTTTGCTGTCAGATCTGTTTTTCTTCCTGCAGACTGTGATGTCTTTCATCTTTTCTGTTTAACGCCTACTAATCAGTTACCTCTACCTGTCCTCAGTTTCCATGACGATGCCTGGAAGGGCATCGACACCTGGAAGGACATCCCCACCTGTGCCCACAGATCCTTCACTTCCTGTAATGTCACTCTGACAGCAGCTGAGAGCAGGCACGGCTGTGCGATGCTGCGAGTGGTAGCTGAGAGACGAGGACTGACATCCAAACCTGCGCTGGCCTGCAGCTTACGGGGTGAGAGAGAAACACATTAGCACACGGGGTGATTCGGGGTGGGCGTGTTCTTAAACAGTGACGTATATAACATTGATCTATTGCCATCACTTGTCCCAGGGGTTCTCAAGGTACATCTCAGGGCTCAGCGGTGTCCTTCTGGCTAATGATGCACCAATCCCAGTTCAGTTCCATGTTGATGCCTCACAAACTGTAACATAAATAATGAAACAACATTACTCAAGATAGTGCCATCAACTTTGTTTTCACTCTGTTTAGCAACATACTACTCATTGTTTATGATTTACCATTTTCTTATTTCACTCAGAACTCAGAATTTATAGTAAATGTGAACAACTTGGTGCTTAAATTTTAATCAAAAATGGAGTGAGAGCTCTCTACATAGCATAACACACTTCTTGTCTTTTTTTTAATCTGCCTATATTGTGCAGTACTTTATTAAGGGTGTACAGGTACCAGGTGTCTTGATACTCTATTTTGCACATCATTTTGGAGGTTTAATAATCAGTGAACAAATTAAAATCAGTTTCACCCTCTTAAGTGGACAAAAAAAACGTTGATCACCAATGTTCTTCTTATGACTCAAGAATGTATTTATCTTTTAATAGAAAAACAACTTTGTGTTCTATATGGATATATTTCCAATATCTGTGTTGTGCTCCTTGGCTAAATTGCTTTAGTATGCCCTAAGCCTGATACAAAATTTGGCACTTGTATCAGCGAGTGAACAATCTTTTCGCTGAGCCACTGGACTACAGGTGTGACCCGGGGTTTCTCTTTCTCTTCCTGCAGCTGACTCCTGCACACCTGAGGTGAGCCTGTCGGCCCGGCCCGGCTCTCTCACCGTCCACTTGAGTCGTGACCACCGCCTGGTCGAGAGCCACGCCGACCATGCAGGGCATCGAGTTTATGTTGGCATAGAGGGAGAGGAGGTGGAGGTGAGACACCTGATTACTGAGCTGATGTCGCTTGCTGTTTCCTTGCAGAGGAGTCACGTTGTTGACCCCTCTCTGCATGGCTCAGATTCTGCTGATATCTGTATATTATTGAGTCAAAGTCATGAACAGCAGATCCTGAACATCTGTGAACTCGATGAACAAAGGTTTCAGACATTTTAAATGAACTCGCTGGACAGTCATGTTTCTAACTGGTGAAATAAAAACTAATCGATAACTCTGAGAACCAGAGAACACCCATCAAGGTCAGTTTGATTAGACCAGATTACTTTGCCTCTAACACCTCTTCCTTTACCTGCTGCTCTCCATCAGGAGCTTGACTCCACATCTTCACTCACCCTCCGTCAGCTGCAGGAGGGGCAGCGCTACTGTGCTCAGGTGGGCTTCATCCTCTACAACAAGAGTTTGGGCCCGCCCACCTGCCCCAAGTGTGAGCTTATTCCCAACAAAGGTGAGACAGGAAACAGGTGGGAACAGGTACCCTAAAAAACTGAAAGGTGAGCCAGTATTACAAACACGTACAGAGGTTAGACAGGTAACTGAATTTCTACCACAGGTGAGCCAGGTAAACTACAGTAACTTAGCAGTAAGACTCTTCCCCTGTTGATGTGTATTCTGTCAAACAGATCATATCCCTGGGTCCTGGGTATAGGCTTCGGTATGTTTATAATAATATATCGACTACTACTCAAAATAATAACTTAATTTATATAGCACTTTTAAAAACAAGAGCTTACAAAGTGCTTTAACATGCAGGAAGGCAAAGAAGATAAAAACAACATAACAAGAGAACACTTAGGGGAAATGACACATTACTGGCAGTAAAGAAATAAAATAAATTAAATATCAAATAAAATATGACTTAGTTATGACTTATTTTTTCTATTAACAGGACATATAATTGTGTTTGTGTGTTTCCAGATGCTGAGATGAATCCTGGAGTGATAGTGGGTGCGGTTCTTGTTTTGTTTGTTCTGATAATGGTCACAATGTACGTCCTCATCTACCACAGTGGAAAGATCAAACGCTGGCTCCGCCTCCCGTACACCATCCCAGATGATGTGAGGACACACACACTAACACACACACACACACACACACACACACACAGTGCATCTTTTTGTGTTCAATACTCCTTTTTTTCACACAATGCTTTTATTTTGAAGTTGCGTCCAGGACAGTATTTTTGGTAAATGAAGTCATCTGCACGGCTCTGTATTTGAGCTTTAGGTGAACTTAAGGTGTTCAAAGGCGGGATGAGTCGTGTTACCTGCAGTTCATCTCTGACTGAAATCACCTCACCTGTTTGTCTTTCTCGTCCAGTTCCGCATGCTGCAACCCCTCCCCATCCCCACCTGCAGCCCCACAGAGGAACACTTTGAGGAAATTACCTGTGTCACACCTGTGGAGGGAGAGGTCACATCCTAGGAGGAGGTCAAGTCGTTTGGACAAAAAAACTAAATGTGATGGCGCTTCAGTGTGAACAACAATCTCTGAACGGGTGATCTGTTACCTGGACTCTCTGTTATCACCTTTGCCCCCAGTGAACAGGTGATGTTTGAACCTGTTCGTTCATTTTGGTGCTGTAGCAGCACATGACAGGTGGGTCCTTGTTCACACCTCTATGTTTTAAGCATTAGGCTCACACAAAGGCCTTTTCCTTTTTTGTTTTTAAACTTCATTTCTTACTATGAATGATTTTAGGTCTGCTACGAAGTATCACGTTTTTTGTTATGATGCAGAATTTCCACAAACTTCAGGAAACTGGAGATATCCCTAATAATCAGGAGCTGTGTGCAGAGGTGATGTTAAATACACAGACTACACCACAACTTTTTACACTAACCTGAGCAAAGAATAAGGACAAACACGAGAACATATAAAAGCAGAAATGGATTTAAAGGAGATGACCAACACACATTTATCTTTAGTTCATGGATCTTTCTGTCTCCTTCCTGATGCTGGTGAGTCATAATGATCAAATTTAAGGGCCAAGATCCTTCTACATTTCTTAAACTAGACTGCATTAACCAGGATATCCATTTTTCATTTCATAAGTAACAAACTGATGTAGAAATCAGTCACTGAATTCACATTTTGCTGTTCTAAATGAATCGATATCGTTCTTCTCTCGTACCCCCAGCCATGTTCGGTGACGTGTATTTTATGATTGTTAAAATGTGTCCTAACACCCCTAAAATCTACATCAATCAGTTTTATACTATAGTAATCATAGAAACAGAAACTCACATGACTTTAGAATGTAACCTTGGGTCTTTATTATCTCAGCTGTCTTTATCGATTATTTCATTGCTTGGATTTTTTTCTCTTTTGGCCTTTGAGGGAATTCATAACTTAACTCCTACTGTTTCAACTTGAATGTTTTTTTAATTAGATTTTGATGCACTAGATTTTTAAGTTACTGAGATGCCCAGTGTTTTTAGAGTTTTTATGTTTTTGGTTACCTTTGGGAAGCACTTGGAACATTCTCTGTTTAAAATGCTTGTCTGCTTTGTGACCGATCACTGAATGACTGATTGTGCCTGTATTTGTCAGCTGTAAACAGACTTTTTGACTGCCTGAAAGTGAATAAAAAAATAACTATTTTTCTGAAATGGCTTCTCTTGCTGTATGGACAGAAAAGACTATTCTGGACCCTCTGCAACCCTTACACCGTGGTCATAATGTTACAGCTGACTGTTACAGTATTTAAAGAAAGGGCGGTAATAGAAACAGGATAAAACATTTTCAACAAAACCTGTTCTTTTATTTCTCATGTTATCAGTTCTGTACAGGTCTGATAGAAGTTCACAGAGATGTCAGGATGTAAACCCTGAATCGCCCTCATCTTCGTCCCTCTTATTTCCTCCATGCAGGTCAAAACATTGTGATACAAGTCTAAAAATCAAACATTTGATCGTGTGACTACAGGTAAAAACATGGTGGAAAAAATAACACTGAAACTACAGCAGTCTGCAGCACTGTACCTTATCTTTCCTAAAATACTGGGAACTAAATAAAATCTGAGCAGGAAAAAGTTTTTACATCCGGAGACAGTTCAGTAAAAACAGATTAAAAACACGCTCTCTCATCTCTCTCTCTCATACACACACCCTCAAACACACATGTTCACAGGTATCACACACACACGCTCACCCGTCTTCAGAAACACAATCATCCAGTGCTTGTGTCAAACATTTTCAGCAGCAGATTCTCTACAGTGACGGTACACTGTATCACCTGAACACACCTGAAACATACCTGAACACACCTAAACACCTGAAACTACATTACAAACAAAAAACTCTTATTTAAACAGCACAGGTACAATTTAAACAAAAACTGAAATATTTTTACAGCAGAAGAGACCCACTAAAACACACACACACACACACACACACACACACACACAATCGCTGTTGGTGTGTGTGTGTGTGTGCGTAGGTGTGTGTTCAGACACACTCTACCCCCAGAGATCTTCGGTGCGTCCGAACTTGTAGACGAGTGTGCTGCAAAAAGACAGAAGAATTGTTTTAGCATCATCAGTTTGTTTGGTTACCATGGAGATCAGAGTGATCAGAATGACAACAGTCTGACTGAACTCACCTGAAAAAGATGAACGCATTTTGGAAGAATACAGCCAGACCAGGAGCCACCTCTTTTTCTACAAATTAGATCAACAGTCAGATTAATAAAGTCAGACACAAACAACCAAAATCAGATTAACAAAAGTCAAACAAATGAAAAGTCACATTAACAACAGTCAGACACAACCAAAATCAGATTATAGTCAGTCAGACACAATCACAGTCAGATTAACATCAAATGGAAACAATCGCACTCAAATTAACAGCAGTCAGAAACAATCACACTCAGATTAAAAACAGTCAGACGCAACCACAGTCAAATTGACATAAAACACAATAACAGTCAGATTAACATCAGTCAGACAAAGCCACAGTCAGATTAAAAACTGTCAGACACAAACAACCACTGTCAGATTAACAGCAGTCAGATACAACCACACTCAGATTAGCAACAGTCAGACACAACTACACTCAGATTAATATCAGTCAGACACAACATCACTCAGATTAGCATTAGTCAGACACAACCACAGTCAGATTAGCATTAGTCAGACACAACCACACTCAGATTAGTATTAGTCAGACACAAGTACACTCAGATTAGCATCAGTCAGACACAACCACACTCAGATTAGCATTAGTCAGACACAACTACAGTCAGATTAGCATTAGTCAGACACAACTACACTCAGATTAACATCAATCAGATACAACCAGTCAGATTAACATCAATCAGATTTACATCAGGCACAAACAACTACAGTCAAATTAACAACAGTCAAACACAACCACAGTCAGATTAACAACAGTCAATTTAACAACAGCCCAAAACAATCAGTCAGACTAACAACAGTCAGAAAAACAAACACAGTGAGAGAATCAACCGCAGCCACAACAGTCAGTAACAACAGTCAGATTCGTCATACATGCACACAACTATCAGACCGAACAATGTTTTACACAGACTCCCCTTTAGACACACATTTACACAAATACTCACACTCACACACACACACTCAGTCAGTCACACACTAATTATAGAGCAGTTATAGACGCACTTGGCACCACATATCCTCCAAACAAGATCCAGATTGAAGCGATGAGCGAGCCAAACATCATCATGAAGCCGATAAACAGCCAGAGACGAGCGCCTGGAAGGATGAACGACACCAATATTAACATCCTCATGATGTAATCACCACAATAGCATTATAATCATTACATCATCATCACCACAACACTATAATTCATAGTATTATAAGCATTACGTCACCATGTCATTATGATCCCAGTCAGCCATGATACTCACTGAGCTTCACTCTATCAGAAACAACAAACTCAGGTATGATCTCCAAACATTACAGAGTCACACACACCTGTCCTTCCCAGACAGCCCTCTCCATACGTGTCTCCTCTCACCTGGCCGTTAGAGACAGCATTGATCCTGAAAACACACACACACAGTTACACTCAGCAAGAACATGACTGTGATTTACTGCCTCAGTGAAACTTTCTCTGTGCCCAAGTTTAGGATTTTATAAATAACACTCATGCTAGTCAGGGTGTGGACATACATGAAGAATGCTATAGTGGAGAAGACGCCACAGGTGTGGAAGGCGTGGTTCATCTGTTCCTGTGAAGGGTAGGTCACTGCTGCATCAATCATGATCCACCAGCCTGTGAAGAACTGAAGACAGAGAGGATGTTGGTAAATTTGACAGTCAGCGCTGCTCTGAAGGTACTGGACATCTTCATCTACAGACTCACTGACCAGAACTCCAGCTACGATAGATGCCACGGCATTCCTCCTCTCCCCCCAGTCGATGCATTCCCATTCAGGCCAGCGGAAGTTATCCAGGAACCCCGCCATCTGAAGTCTGACCCTATCTGTGCTGCGTCTGTGCTCAAGTCAACAAGTCCTCCTGTGTACACCTGCTGGTGTGCAGAAACTGCAGGCTGCCCCGGGATCAGCGACTTGCCTAAGAAATTAGGCAAAGTTAAAAAGATGTTTGGTGACGGGGACCCTATATGTACTGTTGATGAAGTTATGTGCTGTTCTGGGTATTATTTGTGGCTATAAAGTGGCGTTTTGGTTGAGGTTTGTTTATGGCGCCTCAGACCGTTGTGTATCGCTATCGTGCGGTCGTTACTAAAGTTGGTATAACTAGAGAAGCAAGCGGTCGGCAACATTCATCTCTCGAGAGGGTGTCTAACTCGGTATTACTGTGTGTTTGACCCTAAATTAATTTTACGCCGGAATATCCCTTTAAGCCAAAGATCTAATGGTTGTACATTTGACTTTTGTAACATTTTTATTTTCCAGTTAGACAGACAGACATGCTTTAGTAACCAAAAAATGTAGGTAGTTTATTAAACTATATTGGTTTTTTTTATTAAAGAATTACATTTTTTTTTTTAGTTTAAAGAAATTCTTATTTACATAAATGGGTTGGAGTTAGATGTTAATTCATGGGTAATCACATGTAATTCTAATATTAATCAAAATAAACATGATTGTTTATTTTGTTTTTTGTTTTTTTGCCATGATGGAACAGCCTGTACAAAATGCTGCAGATGTTAACAACCACATGCTGTTTTATTTTACAAACTGACAGAGTTTATATTCATGTACATCTAAAATAAACAGGTTTTAATTTAGTCAAAGTAGGAACGACTGTGATCGACCTTAGATCTGCAGTATGTTTCCGAGTGACTGATGTGATCACAGGCTCAGGACCAGACTGGAGGAAACATTTCTGGATTTTTATTGTACATCTGGCGTGTTTTAATGGTCGAAAATCATCTCTGTGTTTGTAAGAGAGGGGCCGAATATAAGAGTAAAAACTATAAAACTAACTGATGTAATTTTCTCATAATAACTTCCACAAAAACACGGATTAATACTGATGTGACAAATTTTTTATATTTCTGAGCGGAGTCCGTTTCACAGACTAACGCAGCCGGGCTAACAGCTTCTTATGCGAAATGATGTGAGCTTTATATTCATGTTTCAAGCTGTGCATTACAGACCTACAATGTCACACAGTTTGGGTCGAATATATATGGGATATTTCCTGGCTTTCTCCTTTAATTAATTAATTTAAAACCTGATTTTTGCGCAGAGATCGTTCCCGGTTTAAGCTAACGTTACATTTAAAGCTAACGGTGACTGCAGCTCGCGCGGAGGCGGCTGATGGCTAAAATGAATAAAATATTAAAATTTTGGGGTTTGCATTTAAACAGCTCAGTTACATGCAATAATTGAAATATGAATTTGTAGTTTATTAAGAGGAATTCCTCACCTTTTCAACAAACTGAGGTTACTTTCATTTTCCTTTCCGAGGCTGCCATTGGCTATTCTTCTTCTTCTTGTTGTTTCTGCTCGTCTTCTTCTTTGCTGGATCACCAAGGCGGGGGCAAACAACTTAGTAACGCATTACTGCCACCTACTGATCGTCTCTGCAAACTGCAGTGCTTCATATTTGGAAAGAAAAGTCTCCTCAGTGATTAAAATACAGTCCGTATGGGAGACCAGGGTCAGGTGGCCCATGGTAATTTTATTACTGTGGAAATCTCTGGAGGCTTCAGTCCAGCCTCATGTCTTCAGATCTGTAAGTGGGTAATTAAAAACTGTCTTAGGTCCTCAGCTCTGAATCTGCAGGAGGAGTTTGTTTCTGATGGAGCCGCTCACTCTCTGTAAATGTTTTTAAAGCAGACTGAGGGTTTTGGATGAAGACACAACAGACTGTCTGTTGGGGATAAGATGAGAACTGTCAGTGGTGTGGTGGTGGTGGTGGTTGTTGGTTGTAGCACATTTGCAGGGGTAGCTGTGCTTTTCCATTGTCAACGTCTTGACCTTTGCTGCATGTATTTTGCTGTAATTTTATATTTTATTTTATTTATTTATGTAATTATCTAAATATTGGGTGAAATTTGTATTTCTATTGTTGTTATGGAATTGTGTACTGTTTATGAAAAAATGTTAATAAATAAATTGTTAAAAAAAGACTGTCTCTTGGTGTATCAATACACCAAATGTATCAATATTTTTTAAAGCTAAACTAAAGACCCACTTTTCAGTCTGGCTTTTAACTGAGTCAACCTTAAATTGTAGCCCATTCTCTTCAGTCATATATTACAATAGTTGTTTTTTTTTTATCCTTGTGTTTTATCTTATTTTATATATTTCTCAGCTGATTTGTTAGCCTGATCTTGTCATACTTTTCAAGTTTGACCAAGAGTTGTCTCCTGTGTTTCCTCACTTTGAACTCTTAACAGCATATCCTGTTTCTCAGTCCCTTACTTCCTGTTTTGTTTGAAACTTGTCTTTACTCAACTAAACTGAACTCTCTATATAGAGCACTTTAAATACAACCAACGCTGACACAAAGCACTGAACATAATAACATAAAAAACATAAAACAACAATAAATAGTTGTTTAGAAATGTAATAAAAATCAACGAAGAGAAGAGTAAAAACCTGCAAAATACATAAAATATCCATAAACACCTGACAAACATTTTTTATCTTAAGGTTCTGCTGAGTCAAAGATATGCTGCTTTTAATCTTGTATAGAGAGAACCCTACTGAGTGTGTGCTGACTCAGACAACAGTAACCTTTTTTTTTTTTGGAGAGATTAAGCTTAACAGCTGACCCCGGTCTCCCCTACTCATCACAAATACAAACATGAGGCAGAAAATCTCATTAGGAGCATGCTCACAGGCTGAGCTCACGGGATCATGTTTCAGGTGTGTTAGGGGGCGGGGCTACGGTGTTGTAGCTGACAGAGACAGCTGAGGGTTCACAGACAGTCCGGAAACAGCCGGTAAACAGTCAGACTTCAGTTCAAATCAGAGTTTACAGAGACGACATGGTGTGACTGATCATTAACGGTGAGTTCTCTGTCTTTACACTATAGCTAACTGCCTGAGGAGCAGATACTGCTACAACTATTATTGTTTATTTTTTTTTATTATTACTATTAACATTATTTTTGTTGTTGTATTTTTTAACAAGGTGACACAGATGTGGCTGTATAACCGTGTTTTATCTTTAACACACGAACATAAAAAAACAGTCATTTTAAAGCCTGTGTAAACCAGCCTGCCAGCTGCTGAAGCTGTTTGTCATGTTACAGAAACAGACACTCACAGTGACTCAGCAGTTTTCTAAGAGGAAGTACCTGACTGACTCAGAGTGTCACCTGACTTTGTTTATCAGAATTATAAAAAAACTAGAAACAATAAAGAAATGTCAAAAAATTAGGAACGAATATGGAGTCAAGAATAAGTAAAATATATTTAAAAAAAAGTTTTTTTGAGCTTTGCTATTGGCAATAAAATCTGTGTTGAAGGCATAATTATTGTCTCTGTATGAGACTCTTTTCTGTTTTTGACTTTTGTAGTTCTAACTTTGAACACCAGGTGAAGCTGTGGCTCTATGTAGGCTTAAAATGATTTCAGACAGGTGAAAACATCTGCTGACTTTGTGTCCTGTGTGTTATTAACCTAGGATATGGGTGGATTTGTATGAACTCCTGAAGAAAAGTCTAAATCTGGACATTTATTTTTGATGCTTCAAACAACATGTCTGAAATTATACAACATTTCACTTCATTTCTTGACATTTGGTTCTTTAAACGGAGTCATTGTATTTACTTTTTGATGTTGATGGTCACACTTTGCAGCTAAAAACAGAGATTTGATTGTAAAATACGATATAATCAGGTAAAGAGAGGCTGATGAAGTCCAACACTCTTAGTTCGAGGTTTTTATTCAGTCTGAGTGTTTGCTGTTTGTTCACAGCCTGCAGGTTTGTGGTGAGGAAGATCCGAGCTGCAGTCAGAGGGGAGACGCAGTCGGAGAAATCCAACAGCCCATCATGTAGACAGACCACAGGTGAGTCAAGATTGACCTTATCTGCAGACAAACCAGGAACAAAACTAAACATGATAAATATACCAAACCTTTAAAGGGATATCCGGGCATAAAATTAAGTTAGGGTCTAATACACTGTAACACTGAGTTAGACACCCCATTGAGGGATGAATGTTGCCGACCGCTTGCTTCTCTAGTTATACCAATTTTAATAACGACCATAGATAGCAATACAGAGAGCCACGGGCTCATCCAAAACCACTCTATAGCCACAAAAAATGCTCAGAACAGCACCTAACTTCATCAACAGTACATATAGGGTCCTAGCCACAGTATGAGACACCAAACATCATTTTAACTTTGCCTAATTTCTTTAGCAAAGAGACTAAACACAACTCACCTACTCTCTTCCAGCAGCCCCTGGTTTGTACGGAGGTCTCAGGTGAGTCCATTACCGCAGCGGGTGACGCAGCTCAAGGAAGAACATTTATGATCATTTATTCATTGAAAAGGAATCAGACCGAGATTGTAAGGCAGAAGAACTACCACGTCTGCAGTGCAAAATGATTAATATGGTGATTATCACTTCAAGGAAATGATAAATAAATTATCATAAATGTTCTTACTTGAGCTGCATTACCCCGCTTTAGTCCATAATGGACTGGCCCAAGGTCTCGCTACAAACAAGTGGTTGAGCGCGTGGCTCTCTGTATTGCTATCGTGGGGTCGTTACTAAAGTTGGTATAACTAGAGAAGCAAGCAGTCGGCAACATTCATTTCTGGACAGGGTGTCTAACCCGGTGTTACAGTGTGTTTGACCCGAACTTCATTTTATGCTGGAATATCCCTTTAAGTAAGACAAGACAAGACAAAAAATCAAAATTTGGATTAAGAAGTTTATCTTAATCCTACAATCTCATCAAACAAACCAGTGAAAATAAATAACACAGCTGTTTGTCTCTCCTTCTCTCCAAGGTGGTGTTGAGGAGAGGCTGCGCCCTGAAGAGCCAGCTCTGCTACACAAGGAATTAGGATCAGCTGATGTTGTTCCGCGGAGAGAAGAGTGCGGATCCTGAAAGTAAACTGAGGGCTGGAGGGCAGAGAGGAGGGTCACTGTTACACACACACACACACACACACACACTAACACACACACACACACACACACACACACACACACACACACGCATATGTTGGTCTGTAGTTTGACCACAGACAGTTGGCTCCGCCCCCTCAGCCTCCAGCTCTCAGGTTTGCCTCCGCCTGGATCTCGGTGTGTTTGGAAGCAGACGTCAGTGAGGTCAGCAGAGAGGATGAAGGTCTGATTACCAAGTCCTCCTAAGAGGAACCAATCAGTCCGGATCAACAAAGAGACTCTGCCGATGAAGCTGCACTTGTTCAACCATCCAATTGTCCATTCACCCATTCATTCTTTTATTCATTCATTCATGCATTCATGTGTTCATGAGCTTTTTCTGTGAAACACTGAAGTAAAGATCATCTCTGATATCAGTCTGTGTGTTTCTGAATTCTGTTTCTGGGCTCTGAGCTGTGATTGGAGGAGCAAGCAGGTAACAGCAGAATTACTGTCAGGTGTGTCGGGTGGATCCCTGTCTGCAGTCACATGGTGCTGCAGGTTTGATTTAAAATGAAGTCAGTAAATGACGATAACTGGTGTTAAAACACCTGACAGTGAAATATTATCATCCTCACATGATGCTGGTAAGCTGACTATCATCCTTCAGTTTGACTGTATGATAATAAATCTGTTTCTGTCAGTGAGACCACACTAAACGACACACAGGTAGGAATATATCAACTTTATTTTTATTAAACTATGATCTTCAGCTAATAAAGCTGCACTTATATAAATCATAAGGAGAATAATGATGACATGACATGTATATTCATATGTATAAATGACTCATTCTTTCAGTCCAAATAAATACAAACAATAAAAAACATCATGTGACCTTGTGGCTGTTTGCTTCGAGCGACAAATCACACACAACGTTGCACTAACTGGCCTGTGTATGACCAAACTGGGTCTCTTTATGTTAATTAGTTATCCTGGTTGGTTTAACTGAATGTTGACAGGTAAAATAACTCTGTAAAAAAATATTGTACCTGGTGCTTACAGTTGTGGTTGATGTGGTAAAGTTAAGCTACAGGTTTCTGGCCTTCTCTTTGTTGGGTGATAAAACCTCCAGCATAAGTTTCTCTGGGTACAAATCTCCCCTAAAATAAGGTAAAATTAATCTCAACAGACAGAGTGAAGGGTATATTAGGCACTGGTACAGTAGATGGTATCGGCCTGCTGATCGTCCTCCCTGTTAATCCGCTGTGCTGTGGTCTCACAGGTGAGGCCTGCGCTCCAGATCTGCAGACGTCTGAAATATAAAATCCACTCACAGCAGAAATAATCAGCATATACAGTCAGTCAGAAAGGTTGTACACATCCTGAAGGAGCATCAGGTTCAGCTCCTCTTCATCATCATCTTTATCAGCCTGATAACCTGCTGCTTTCTCTGTTTGCTACGTGCTGCTACATCCACTCCATCAGCTCCATGGATGACAGAGAATAACCACACAGAGGGACCTCCACCAGCAGACTCACAGGTATATATCCACAAGTACAGTCCTCCATAGTCTAAACATGTCCCACTCTAGTCTCTAGTCTCATGGTGTTGCTTTGTCTGTTCGTCAGCTGTTGTACTCCCTCGCCACAATTTAAAGTTCTGATGGAGACCAAAGTATTTGACTCAAGTTAAAAAAGGAAGTTCTCTGTGTCTCAGACTGATGTGGTCCTCTTCTTCTAATGATGTTCTCTTTTATAGTATGTTGAAGTACCTTGACCTTCTGGATGTTCTGGTCCATCTTTTTTCCTAAGATATTGTAGTCCTTTATCCCAGAGTTTTGTAGTTCTTTCACAAGTAGGATGCTCTAGACATTTGCGTCACTGGATGATGAACTTCTTTGTCTCAAAGATAATGAAAGTTGTAATTTTGTTGGAAATTGTAGAGCTTTGTCTTGTTGGATGTTGTAGTTCTTCATTTCTCATTATGGTGACAGTCCTCTGTCTCACATAATGTTGTCTAGTGGGTTTTAATAGTTCTCGTTCCCATAGGTTGCTGTAATCACTCGTTTTCTAGGGTGTTGTAGTTCCTTGTCTGGGAGGACGTTGTCTTCCAGGGACTTGTGGTCCCTTGTCTCATGGAGTGTTGTAGGTCTTTGTACTAAAGTTGTTGTACTCTCACTTCAGTCATGACAGGATTGAAGGATGTTGTAGTCCTGCTCTTGTAGTACTTTTTCTTCACGATGTTGTCGTCCTGATCTGTTGACTCAGATGTTGTCCCTCTTAGACCCTTCAGGTGTTGGACCTATTTATTCTATTTTGTCTTCTGCCCCTCCTTTGGGCTTGGTAACCCTTTTCTTGAACAGATGCAGATTCCTCTCTACTCATGACCGAGTAGTAGGACTTCGTAGTCCCTGTTCTCACCAAATACTTCCATCTTGTCAGATATTGTACTCCTTTGTGTGGTAGCATGATGTACTCCCTCATCGAATTGGATCTTGTACTTCCTTGAGCCCCCTTGTCTAGTACTCCCTTATGCATTTGGACATAGTAATCCTTCATGTATTCAGATGCAGTACTCCCTTATGTATTCAGATGTAGTACTTCTTCATGTATTCAGATGAAGCACTCCTTCATGTATTCAAATCAAGTACTCCCTCAAATATTCATATGTAGAACTCCTTCATGTTGTCCCTCGCAGGGTTGTGGGTGTGCAGCTCTGTCCTGTTAGGGGTCTCTATGCTGTGATGGTGCTGCTTTAGGGTGGGCGTGGCTTTCTGGACTTGTCTCAGGTACAGGAGGCGTGTCACTACGACCAGCACGCACACCGTGATGAACACCACGGCCGTAACCACACCTAAGAAGCAGCAGAGACACACATTAACACTTCTCTTTAGACCTGATAGTTTGGCTTTTGGTGATAACAATCAAGTCCAACTCTTACCCGTCTACCTTTTATAGACAAAGACTCAAACAGACCTGCTATTACAGCCACATCAGTGGGTTTGTCTCCACTCTGTGGGTCGTCCTCTTCATTAGCAGCTGCAGAATCATCTGTAGAGCAGAGACACGCTCAGTCACAGTGTACACCCACCACACAGAATGCTTGTGTTTACACTGTTCCCCACCAGAATGAACCAGCTGATGGCTAAAAGGATTTACACGATATAAGCTTGTAAAAGATCAGCATGAATTAATCTTCTCGCATAATCGCTATCGAACCTAGAGTGTCGAATGTTTAAGTGTCAGACAGTGACTGACCCTGCGTGTTTCCTCTCAGGTTGTGGGAAGTGATGGAGTTGGTTGGTGCGCCACAATTTGATTGGACCAGGGAGCCCCGGATGGTGACCAATGAGCTGCCTCGATTTAGCAGTGCCGCTTTCAGAGGAGCCACATGGTTAAACTGGACCGAAGAGAGACAGCCAACGAAACCCTCAGAACCAGCCCGGACTACATCCTCATGGAAACTCTCCCTCCCTGGATGGATAGATAAACAAGGTGATAAACAGATAAATGAGTAGGTTGTGTTTCAGGACCATGGACAGAGCTGTTTACTTTGGTTTTGATCACATTCATGTTGTTAAGTTGACGATAACTCATTGATAAAATGCTGATAAACGTGCAGTTGTATCTTATTTCTGTGTCTCTGTGGTGGAAGATAATGACACCTTCAGATGTCTGAGTGTGGTGAGAGGACTCACTGATGACTTTTCCAAGAGTCAGAGACCTGATGGAAATCAGCTCTGCATCAGATGACAGCGTGAACTTTCTGTGGACATCCTGGTCGATCTGATGAGAGGATTAAAACATGATCAGAGTGATTCAGTCCTCCTCAGATGTTCCAGACGACACTGATATACATAAATGATCTCAGCACCTGTCTCCTGTCTCCACATGTCTCACCTGTATGTACAGGTCTCTGTCTTCGCGGTGGATTCTGATTCGATGAAGCCGTCCGTCTGCCAAACTGCTGAAGACTGGACTGAATACATCAGGGTTTCTGTGAGTCTGCAGGTGATACCAGATCTGAAGACTTCCTGCACACAGAAACACAGAAAACTCATCAAACTCCTCATGACACGTTCACCTGGGTTCTACTGGAAGGTTTCAGTCTGACGTTTTAGATCTCTTTTCAGGTGTCCCTGACCAGAACACCGGGCATACACCTGTGTGTGTACCATTGTTCATGAGGATGACAGCGATGTACTGCTGGCTGAAGGTGTTGACAGTTAGCAGCAGGGCGGGGCTATGGGTTGTCATGAAGCTGAAGGCGATGTCCTCCCTTGCTCTGCTGGCGCTCTCTCTGGAGACGCCTGACGTCCCAAAGCTTCTGTTCTGCACCACCGAGAACGGCTCCTGGAAGACGAAGGTCAGCGAGGACTCTCTGTCCAATGACGCCGACACTTCTGTGCACACACACACAAAACAATTTTTGTGGCTTTCCAGTGTGACACTCTTTGTAGTAGATTTCCCTACTGTATGGATTGTATTCAGGCTTCAATAGATTGGTAATTGTCTTTGCTTTATTTTCAATCAAATATGGACTTTTTATGATTTACAAACCATCAAACTCTGTATTATTTTGTACATAATCTCAGCTCTTTTTGAATGGTGGTTGTGTTTGTTCAGCTGTATGATGAGACCCTGTGTTTCCTCTGACCTTCTCTGCAGGTGGGTCCTCCGTATGCCGAGGTGGAGCAGTCACAGGCGTAGCCGCTGCTCCTCTCTATACACCTCCCTCTGTTATGGCAGAGGCTGCTGGAGCCGCTGCAGTAACCTGGACACCCCGAGCTCACCCCAGGCACCGCCCTGGCCCTCTCCTCAAGGTCAAAGGTCACACCATTAATGACCAGAGTCCTCATGCAGCCCAGGAAGCCTCGAAGCTGAGACGCTGATCCTCCTTAGACATAAAGAGAGACTGTTCACTGCAGGACATGACTGGACTAGCACCACATCATTGTCAGTGGGATGGAGTGGGGAGTGTGTTAGATCAACTTAAATGAATGAATGAATGTATGAATGACTCATCAGACTTCGTCCCACCTACAAACAGCTGTCCGCTGAGGCGGAGGCGTCGGTGTCCATCAGCCGGAGCCTCCAGCAGGCGGGGGGGCAACTGGTCAACCTGAAGCCAGGCCTCCTTCACATTGCGCTCTGCTCTTATGTGGTGCCACTGCCGGTCATTCAGGGGGAGGGGGGAGTTCACCGTCAGGACCACCGGGCCATTTCCAACATCGAAGGAGAACATGACCACCGATGGAGCTGAGAGAGAGAGAGAGGGGAAGGGAGATAATTATAGTTCATGTTACGCTTTTTGTCCCATCACTTATCAAGGTGGATGCCATTATGACTTTGTCCACAGTGAGACCTCCTCTTCTTTCAGACAAAGTCTACTGTGATGATCGGTGGACTTACAGTTGAGCTCCAGTCTGATGAAGTCTTTGTGACCCAGGTTCTCCAGAAAGACTCCTGAAGGAGCGCTGGTTTTAAAGAAGAAGGAGAAGTCAGAAGAGAGCTCAGCCTGCAGGGCGGGGAAGATCAGCGAGGAAGACTCTTGAAAGAAGGACGCCGCGTTCCAGATCCACCCTAAAATACAGACATAAAAAAAAGGAGTTGTAGACCAGAGGAGCAACATAAAGAACAAAGAGATGTCATAGTCTGCTCTGTTCAGTCCATCTCTCCTCCCTCTGGTAGTTCTGTAGTCTCTCGACATGTTTTACACTCAAAAACTCTTTCCCTATCTCTGGCTGATTGAAATACTTAGTGTCAACTACTGTCTCTTTAAGACAGTTCGGAATAAAACATTCCAGAACCAAGCACTCTAGAACACTCCGAGACCAAGCATTCCAGAACTCAGCATTCTAGAACCACACATTCCAGAACTCAGCATTCCAGAACCAAACATTCCAGAACCATCATTCTAGAACCCAGGATTCTGGGACCCAGCATTCCAGAACTCAGCATTTTAGAACCAAACATTCCATAACCAAGCATTCTAAAACCAAACATTCCAGAACCAAGCACTCTAGAACCCAGCATTCCGAGATCAAGCATTCGAGGACTTAGCATTCTAGAACCAAACATTCTAAAACCAAACATTGCAGAACCAAGCACTCTAGAGCCCAGCGTCTCTAGGACCCAGCATTCCAGAACTCACCATTCTTGAACCCAGCATTCCGGAACTATCATTCCAGAACCCAGAATTCTATAACCCGGTATTTAAGAACAGAGACCTCTGGTACTCAGCATTTAGGGACCAAGCATTCCAGAACCCAGGACTCCAGATCCCAACACTCCAGAACTAAGTACTCTCGAACACATCATATTGGAGTACATTATCATCTAACCTAGCAGTCTTGAGACAAGCACTGTTCATGCGAATGTTTCAGACCAGAGCATTCTGAAATGTTGAAATCATGACTACAGCCTTAGAGTTGGACCTGAAACACTGATGGATCACCTACTGTCTCCATAACACTGCAGAGGACCGATGGTGTAGACGGCCTCTGATCCGGCTCTGTTTGTGTCCCCGATCACCATGTGGTTGACAGGAAGGTGATTTTTATAGGACAGCACTCCTGTGTCATTAGCCCTGAGATAAAGACATAAAACAAGAGTTAAACCTTCACAAACCTCTGAGGTTAATATCTGAACCCTGAGTTTCTTTGCTCAGGGTTCAGATATTTATCAAACACCTCTGTTTCTAACATTTCTGTATTAATGGTTTGTGAAGAAGAGTTTCCAGACTGAAAGCTAAGCCTCAGGGCATGAAACCTGTTTGAACCTCTGTGACCCTGTGATTGTGTTTTTGTACCAGGACTCTGAGTCGGCGTCACAGTTACAGAAGTAGTTCCTGTCCATGCACGTCTCCTCCAGTTTGCAGGAACACTGCTGCACTGCTGGCAGGAAACCTCCCCAGTAGCTCCGCCTCTCTCCACTCTGGTCCACCCACCATGCCAGCGGGCGGCCGTCTGCAGAAGAAGAACCAGGACCCTGAGTTTACCTGAAATCACTCTGAATCTACAGCTGTTTGTAAATAACTCAGCTTACCTTTGGGGTTAAAGAGGCGAGATTTCCTACAGCTGTAAACCACTTCCTGTTGGCAGTGCTCTGAGGCGCTGATGATGGTGTGAAGCTGATTGGGGGTGGAGCTATAGTTAAAGGTCATGATGTGAGGATTCAGAAGAGACGAGCCCTGAACTCGGACCGGAGTGCTGACGTTATGACTCACCACCGTCCAAACCCGCTCATCTGCAGAAAACATACAGGTACATTTTAAAACTCACAGAAAAAAACAGAGTCTGTTTTTTACTCTCTGGGGACGAGTTTGACTTTGTTTCTGAGGACAGATTTAGATGCTCAGTGGGGAAACTCTGTGTCCACCAACATGTCCCAGAATATCTGCAGTCTCAGAGGATACAGAGTAAGTTTAATGGCGCTGAGCTGCAGGAAATACTCCCTGCTGGGTTTGAGTTTAACAAACAGAGTGGAAAAGGAATAAGTCTCTTGAGAATGGAGGTTTTTAAGCAAAATAAACTTTTCTGGAGGAAAAAGTATATTTTTATTAAACAGGGTCAGTGTGTGGTTTACTGTTAGGGTAAAATATAAAAAGATTTTTAACAACATTATCATAAAATCATCATCAGTACTGAACCCTAATGAAGTATTAGGGCTCAAGCTCCCCTCAGCACTGAGACTGCTCTAGTTCAGGTGTTTTATGACATTTGCTCAAACACAGACAGTGGTAGTCTCAGTCTTAGAACTGCATGATCTAAGTGCATCTTTTGATACAGTTGACCACATTATACTTCTTCTCCAACTGGGACTTTATAGCACATTACCAAGCTAATTTAAATCTAACCTTAAAGGGATATTCTGGCATAAAATTAAGATAGGGTCAAACACACCATAGCACAGAGTAAGACACCCCCTGTTAAGAGATGAATGTTGCCGACCGCTTGCTTCTCTAGTTATACCAACTTTAGTAACGACCGCGAGATAGCAATACACAGCGGTCTGAGGAGCCACACAAACCTCAACCAAAACGCCACTCTATAGCCACAAATAATGCTCAGAACAGCACCTAACTTTATCAACAGTACATAAAGGGTCCCAGCCACCAAACATCTTTTTTGGTTTGCCTGATTTTTTCAGCAAAGAGCCTAAACACAACTCACCTACTCTCTTCCAGCAGCCGCTTATTTGTAGCAAGACCTCAAGCCAGTCCATTACAGACTACAGCGGGGTGATGCAGCTCAAGGAAGACCATTTGTGACCATTACTTTATCATTTTTTTTAAGTGATAATCATCATATTAATCATTTTTGCACTGCAGACGTGGTAGTTCTTCTGTCTTAGCGTCTTGGTCTGATTGCATTTCCATGAAGAAATGATCATAAATGTTCTTCCTTGAGCTGTGTCACCCCGCAGCAGTCCATAATGGACTGATCCCAGGTCTCCCTACAAATAAGCGGCTGCTGGAAGAGAGTAGGTGAGTTGTGTTTAGTCTCTTTGCTAAAGAAATGAGGCAAAGTTATAAAAGATGTTTGGTGGCTGGGACCCTATATGTACTGTTGATGAAGTTAGGTGCTGTTCTGAGCATTATTTGTGCCTATAGAGTGGTGTTTTGGCTGAGGTTTGTTTATGGCTCCTCAGACCGCTGTGTATTACTATCCTGCGGTTGTTACTAAAGTTGGTATAACTAGAGAAGCAAGCGGTCGGGAACATTCATCTCTCGAGGCATTGTCTAACGCTGTGTTACAGTGTGTTTGACCTTAAATTGATTTTATGCTGGAATATCCCTTTAGGAGGTTGCCAAAACTACACAGAAAACACACAAAAACTCATGTCAATGGGCAGCCATAGCTTTGTACAGGCCAGATACAGAGTCTGTTGGTGAGGTGTAAAGACAGTTTGTGGAGGAGGACAGTTTGTGTGTCTGTGAGGACAAGAGCAGGACAGTCTGTCTCTGAAGAGAGCGATATGTCAGGTAGCAGGTGGATGCAAGTGTCTGTGATAGGCTCTGGGTCCTGGTCTCAGAGGAGGTCAGAGAGGCTCAAGAAAACCTGAGATGACAGCAGGGTCTGAGCTCACCTGTCATGTTGCAGTACACTTTCATGGGCCCCAGTGGGCCACTTCCATCTGGATCAATAGAATAGAAAGCAGAGGAGCCGCCTCTCAGCCTGATGGCCTCACAGGACGGATCATAGACGGCTGTAGAGAGAGAGAGCAGGGATTACCTCAGAAACCAGCAGAGAAACAGACACTCTGAGCTGAAAACTGAGAACATCGCCTCTTAGGAGAAGATCTTTGACTGCAAATCTCTGAGATATTTCTGATTACTTTGAGAATGAAACCCAACACTCAGAATAAAGCTGGTGAAGCTGCTGATGTCTGTTTCATTCACTCAACACAACGAAAAGTATATAGTCTAGATGGAAAAACGGGGTCCACGCACACCCCCTGGCTCTTTTTGTGCCACTTGTTTTTTTCTTCTTCTTATTCATAAAGTCTGCATTTTCATAATATGCCAGGTCCCAAGCTGAATTAATGTCCTAAAATCTTCATTTTTAACCCTTTAGTGCACTAACCAGAACTCAAAAAATTTGAATATGAGTTGGATAATTTTTGATGGAAACACCCTACGGAGATAAATTAACACGTTTTCCCATACAACTCTGACATAAGGAATTCAACAAAATATTTATTTTTTATATTTGACAACATTTTGATTATGTTTTTATTTATTTATGGCCAAAATATGGTCGAAAATGCTTATTTGGCAACTATTTTTCCATTTCACTACCTACTAGTCTACATAAACTACTTTGGGTTCGGGTAAGTGCACTTAAGGGTTAAAAATGAAGCCTTTCGGACATTAATTCAGCTTGGTACCTGACATATTCTGAAAATACACATTTGAAGGATTAAAAAAAAAATAAACAGGTGGCACAAAAAAAAAAGCCTGGGGCTGCGCATGGACCCCCTTTTCCATCTTGACTATATACTGGACTAAAAATAAAGAGAGATGATCTATTAGGCGCAGAGACTGACCGCTGTGACAGACGGCTCCAGAGTATCCAGATCCTGAACAATCACAGGAGAAGGAGCTCCACGTCTGCTGACAGAGACCACCATGTTCACACAGGTTAGGAAGACACCTGCAGGACAGAGGAGAGAAGACGGAGGACAGAGGACAGAAGACAGGGCTGTTTTATCCCTCCTAAATGAAGAGCTGGTTTTATAACCAAGTTCAAACATCTGCCTTACCTGTCTCTGATGGTGCAGGTTTCGAACTGAAGCTCCTGGTATACTCCCAGCATGCCTTGCTGCACATGATGGAGGTTGATGTTCTGGCTGTTGATAGCGATGAGGCGCATGCAGCCCTGGAAGGACAGGGTGGGGTTGTGACAGTCGGCAGGGGGGCAGCCTGTCGGAGAGGACACAGGAAGAACAAAGATCTTCATCTGAACACACAGGTGGAGGTCTCACTCTGATGATGGAGGAGAACACAGCTCATTCATCACACACACCTCCAAAGTAGAAGCTGCCTGTGGCCTCCAACTGCTCCCGCTGCTGCAGGGTGGAGGCCGGCTCGCTGTCCAGAGTCAGACTGACCTGAAGACCCCGAGTGTCCAGACTCACAGAGTGCCACAGTCCGTCATTGACTCGGTGACCTGAGAACAAACAGTGAATGTCACTGAGGCTGGAAACAAAAACCGGCTGCCTGCAGAAACAGAGAGGTGTTTATGTGGCTCCATCCTGACCTGCAGAGGTCTCTGGTCTATGTTCTCCGGCCTCTTGGAGGGTCAGGATCAGCCTCTGGTTCCTGATCTGTAAGTCCAGTCTCTGGTTGTCCCGGTTCAGCCTGACGGACAGCAGCAGCCCGTCAGGATTCCACGTCCTGAACTGAAACTGAACGGAGAAACCTCCCATGGTCGCCGACGTCGAAGTTAAGGGCAGCGACAGGAAGCTGCTGCTGGAGCTCAGGAAGGTGACGGCGGCCAGCGTTGGCCGTGAGCAGGAGAAGGTCACGTTACCCTGAGAGAAGGGAAGCAGAGGAAGAGGATCAGCTCTGTTACTATTTGAACTATGTCCATGAATCCACCGGTTCACCTTCAGCTGAAATAACTTCATTAAACTCCGGCTGTAAACACTGACAATCCTCTCTGGACTGATCTCAGGGACTTTTATCTGACTCACCACGCTGTAAATCTGTGGTTTGCGTCTTTTGGCGAGGTCGATGATATTGATGCCGTTGTAATAAAGGTTCTCGATGCAGCCCTGAAAGTTCCTCCTGAGGAAGGTACCAGGTTTACCGGGCAGAGGGATGCCTCCAAAACTCAGCTGGAGCGCAGACAACAAACAGAACAGTTAAATAATAATCATTTCATCCCCAACCAAGTTATCTTAGGTGCGATTCCAATCAGACTGTTTACGTGTTTTTAAAGTCCAGTTTCAGGTGGTACTGACCTCGTAGTTGACCTCCAGAGAGTCCCCCTCCCCCCTGGTGGTGAAGTGCTCCGTGTGCGAGTCCACGCTCAGGTTGACGTGTCTGTTAAAGCGCTCGATGAGGACCGAGTGCCATTGCTGGTCGTCCAGCAGAGAGCCCACCGTGACGGCTACCCGACTGCTGCTGTATCTGAGCCGATTGTCGTCTGCCGGACACATATACAATGATCAGACACAACAGGTATGAACCACTACTTCAATTCAGAGATTTAGCTGATCTAACCCTGAGGATGTTTCCTCATTCAGACTGAGAGGCTGATCAGGCTGTGAAACGTTCTCATGACCTTCATTCAAACATCGTGCATTAGTTCAGTGAGGTGTTGATGTGTCTCACCCAGGTTTAGGTAAAGGGCCAGTTTCCCCCGGTGGAGCTCCAGGGTGATGTAGTCGCCTCTTTGCCCCTCGCCGTGCAGTAACACCCCCTCAGCTTGTCGACTCTTGAAGCGCAGAGAGATCACGTCTTTCACCGTCGACATCGACTTCTGATTAAAACGATACAGCAGAGAGCTCCTGCCGTCGAAGTCCACCACGTCTGACTCTGAAAGAGACGTCAGGATCATAGAGTAAAAACGGGATAATTAAGCAGCAGCATGGAGGGCTGGGCTGCTCTGGTGGTCTTTGCTGGTGCTCTCCCCACCTTGCTTTACATGCAAACACACAATGTTTAATTTACTGCATGAGTTGCAGTATTTTTTTTGTCCTAACTGTGTTTGTGAAGCATTGAAATATTTCAACAGACAGTCTGCAGGAGGTTAGGGGTACTATTTGATGTTTCTCACTCACTGTGGGAGCAGCCGTACACCTCCACCCTGAGGCCCAGCCAGCCGCTCGGGTTCCAGTCCAGAGGGACGAAACGTAGGAACCGAGTCTTCACTGAGGGGGACAGCTTGTTCTGCACGATGGACTCTGAGTTCACGTTCCCCACAAACATCTGAAAACAAAGGGACAGAAGATGTGACCCAGGTCATTAAAGGGATATTCTGGCATAAAAATAAGTTCGGGTCAAACGCATTGTAACACAGAGTTAGACACCCCATCGAGAGATGAATGTTGCCGACTGCTTGCTTCTCTAGTTATACCAACTGAGACGTTTAGTTCAGGTAGAGGTTTGTCAGACTCACCCCTCCCCCGTCCTCCTGTCTGTACTGTCTCCACACCTGGCCCGTGTCGCTGTACAGCAGCAGGTACCTGCTCACCCAGTCCAAGCTGGCAGAGCGCCCCTGTGTGGCCACAGCCGTCACCTCCACCTGCTCCCTGAGGTCCAGCTGCAGCCAGGGCTCCCGATCTGTCAATACAGGGGACCACCCTCCTGCTCCTGAGGGGGGAGAGAAGGTTTTGCTTTTGTTTTCTGTTATATCCAACAGGTTTATGATGTGATGTTTGAAACGACTGACCTCCTGTCTGTACTCACCATCTCTGCGGTTGATCTTGGCATTGTGAGCTGCAGAGCTGTAGGACGACTGAGACGAGCTTCTGAAGGACGACTGAGGTAGCGAAGACACCAAGGGACTGTTACAGTTATCTAAGGAGGACAGAGGACAGACTGTGAGACATTTACACTGTGTGTGAAGAAGTGATGTTAAGTTTTATGAATCCTTTTGGTTATTTAAAAAATGGAAAAAGGTTTTGTTTTGTAAATGTTTCCTTAAATATTTTGGACAGAGGAAGAAGAGGAAACTAGAGAGCTGCTCTGAGGACTCACTTGGAGGACCAGATTGGGTTTCACTGATCCAGTGTGAAGTTAAATAATAACAGAGACCATCCCTGTCCTGTCCTCTGTGGACACAGTGATAAAGCACTAACTCGTGTTTTGAACTCGGTCTGTGCTCTGGACTCTCTGAAACATCCTGTTAACAAAGAGCTTCATGAAGGCTGAGAGGTTTTATCAAGGTCAGACATGATTAATAGAAGCCCCGCTGGTGTCCCTCAGGGCGTCCATCTCATCCTGCTGTAGTTCTGTGTCTGTTTATGGTCTCCTCCTGCATTAATATCAACATGTACGCAGATGACACAGCGATCTACATGTCAGAGGAACAGAAACCAATCAGGTGTTTTAAGGCACTGCAACTTAATTTTTATCATCTTTAATTTCTTGATTTTACTCTTCATGTAGCTTTAAAGGTTGAATGTTAAAGGTGAGTTATATATTCTGTTTTATTTTGAAAGGGTAAAATTCAGACTGAAACAAGTTGATGACAGAGTCAGCTGTCTCTCTGTCTGTCAGTTTGTAGTTTCCCCTTTGCCAGCAGAGGAGACAATGACCCTTTAAAAACCTCGCTCTCACGCAGCCTCGCGCTCGGACTCTTTCGACGGTCACAGCGTTTATAATCAGCCTAAAAGCTTCTCTCAGATATCAGCAGCTTATCAAAGCCTGCAGGACGCTGCAGACTGATGATCCCCAGGTTTATATTCTAATCTCATCGTCTCTGATAGTAAATCTGCCACTTTGACAAACATGACAAACTAAAGAGCTTTATTTTGCAGGTTTATTCCTGAGTTATCTGGACCCGCTCACAGGATTCACCATCAGCTCATGTAGATTTGTTCATGAAAGTTCCTCGATTCACAAACATGATTTGACTGTGTCGTGTCTTTGGTTTAGTAAAGATAATTTATTTACCCTTCCTCATGTTTCTTGTTATGTCCTTCCTGTTTTATTTTGAAATGTACCTGTGTCTCTTGCCCTGCTCCCTGATTGGCCTAATGTGGTCCACCTGTGTCTTGTTATCTCCACTCCCTGTGTGTATTCTAGCTCAGCCTTCTCTCCCTTCTCTGCCAGTTCGTCTTGTTCCTTTGTGTCAAACTTTCCAGCATTTCCCGTGTGTTTGCCTTCCTGTTTTTTGGATTTGACTGATTTTTTTGACTTTCGTTTTGGTTACCTCTGCCTACCTGTGTACTGAACCCTTTTTGATTGAACCAACTCTGACTTCTATCTGCCTCCTGAGTCCAGCTTTTGGGTCCAAATCCTGGTTCGTTGTTACAGATTGTAGGTAAGTGTGTCTGATCATGAATCCAAATTTTATTGTTATTTAACTGACTTGAAAGCCAATAACGCCATATAAGGAGATGTGGATATGTGCTTCCTGTGGACCAGTGAGCGTGGTGCAGAAAAAGAAAGAGAGAGAGAGAGAGAGAGAGAGAGAGAGAGAGAGAGAGAGAGAGAGAGAGAGAGAGAGAGAGAGAGAGAGAGAGAGAGAGAGAGAGAGAGAGAGAGAGAGAGAGAGAGCAAAACAGAAGTAAAGAGTGAAGTGTGCTTTAGTTGAACTAGAATTTAGAAAATGTATTTTCTCTTGTGAGTAGTTCTGTGATGCTCACCTTCAGGACACTGTTAGTGTACTCGAAACCATTCTGAATCTCTGTGTGGGCTTCATTTTAGCTAGCAGCGTTGTGTGTGGAGGGTCATGGCTTCAGTGGGTAACCTTATCTCCTTATAATAAACTGTTAGACTAAGGTCAACGAAAGTCCTCTTTTACCCGGACATGTCCTCCTTTTATGGGGGCTGTTTGGCCTTGTCTGGCTTTGTTCGAGGAAGTTTATAAAATCCTTCAAATGTCCGCGGTTTTGTACGAAAGTTTTGAGTTTGTGTCACGTGGACTTACTGAGTTCGAAGCATGTAAAAGACACTCGATCCAACCCAAAAAACTCTCAAAATTAACTTTGTGTGACTCAGTGACTCCGCCCCTGTGTAATTGTGTCACCTCTTTGGGAAGTCAGAATATGGTCACCCAAGTTTTATTTCCGGTTGAATTTAGAAAATCTATTTTCTCTTGTGAGTAGTTCTGTGATGCTTTCCTGCAGGACACTGTTGGTATGCTCGATACCAGTCTGAGTTTCTGCGTGGGCTTCATTTAAGATAGCTGTGTTGTGTGGAGGGTCATGGCTTTCATGACCCTCCACACAAGGAGGTACAAGGAGGTAACCTTGTCTCCTATGGATAAACAGTTAGACTTCTACATAAAACACACGTACAGATCCCTGAGCTGCCATGTAAAGAAAAAATAATAAGTCACAAGCAGAACTGTGAGTGTGGGTCTGAAACTGTGCACCTGGATCTGCAAGTGGTTAGATTTCTCTTGCTCTGGGATTGTGGGGCTCCGTGCAAATACAGTTATATGAACAGACTATATTTTCACCGACAGAAAACTGGGTCCAACATGAGCTCTAAATTCCAGTGGTGCACTGGTGGTGCAGATCTGTCAGTGAATCTCAGAGTGAACCTGAGAGTGAAGCTTCAGTGTGTCTGAATCACTTACACAGACACACACACCGTGGTTTATTTCCACAGAGAGGAGGATCAGAGCTCATTAAAACCTCCGGTGTGTCCGTCTGTGAGTCAGCAGGAGAGTTTGGAGGATTTCTGTGGATTTATGGATCGGCAACAGAGCGTGTCACAGAGCCAGCTGCTCCATCAGATTATCAAATTAGTGATTTATGATCTGAAATATGACCCTGATCTGATCAGAAACCCTCACACAGAGTCATTGATCATTTTACAGACATGGTGAGAAAGATCCCAAACAGAGCAAACAGAGCCAAGATCTCTCACGGTTCAAACTCAGACCTGCATCTTCCCTCTGACCTCTAATGAACATCACTCTCTGTCTATAGTGATGACCTCTGACCTCTCACACCAACATGAATAATTCAGACTCATTCACACCTTCAGATTAACAGGATTCACCTTTATAACAGAACAGATTACACCGAATTACTGTAATCTGCTGCTGACAGATTACAGGCTGGATCTGTGCTCTCTGTCACAAAGTGAGTTGATTATATTATCAATAATAAACAGTATATCTTAATATTTTCTGTAGTGTGACTGATTCAGGTCAAAGAGTCCTCCGTGACAGTAAAGCTCTGTCCCTCTGATCACTGATTTAGAACTAATCTGCAGATAATTCAGATTATAAAGATAAAAATTATCTTTGTGATCAATCTGAACTAAAACAGCTGATATCTCCAGATTATCTGAAAATGTCCTCGAGCCCAGAGATGAAGTTAATCTGATAAAGTCAGAGCTCTACACTCCTGAAAATGAAGGACATGAGGCAGTTTTTACTCCATCACTGATTTATGTCTAATTTATGAAAATACTAAAACTGGATCTGTTTGAAGTTTAGCACCATTTTGTAGGTATTTAATTGGTTCAGTCAAATCTGGTGAGTTGATGGTCTCTTAATGAAGGTTGACTAACAGGTGGTGATATTTTAGGATAATAAAGTGAGAGTTTCACTGACTAAACATGGATATCATTATTATCCCTTTAATGCCTGAAACCACAAATTATGACCAGAAAATAAAAAATTTTTTGGAGCGGAAATGTTTATTTTACTTACCACTGAAAACCAAAAAAATCAAAATGTCCTTAAAATTTAACAAATATATTTATCTATCTCATTTGATACATTAGATGTTTTTAGAAACTAATTAACAACAAGGGGACATTTTTATCATTTATCAGACTGTATTCAGGTGTTTTTTTTAGTAATTTGTTGATCATATTGATTGATAGAAGTATGTATCAAATATAACACAAAAGGCATTAAAGGGTTATCAATAATACTTTCATTACCATCAGTCTGCTCTGAGCTTGTTTCTACTGATTTATGTAAAACATAACTGTGTTTGCATGAAGAGGCAGAAAGGCGCCCTCTAGTGGCTGCCTAAACTTCAGCTGGATGTGTGTGTCTTGGAGTGAAGCGGAGGTGTGTGTGGTCAGTGTGTGTGAAGAGAGTCTCTGACAGAGGAGAGAGAGAGAGAGGGAAACAGATACAGACCCTCAGAGAGCAGAGAGCTAAAAACTAATGACCTTCATCATGTTCACACACACCGACACACACACACACATGCAAGAACCAGCATCAACAGACAAGTGTGTGTGTGAGTGTGTGTGTGTGTACTCACAGTGCGAGGCAGCGGACACAGCGTTGATCAGAGTGATGGTGTAAAGCCCACAGAGCAGCAGGAACAGATCCATAATTGAACCAAACACAGAGAGTTAGAGACACTGACTGAGACAGAGGGATGAAGAGAGGGAATGATAGAGGGAGAGAGAGAAAGAGAGAGAGAGAGAGAGAGAGAGAGAGAGAAAGCTGCTCCACTCCTCCTTCTACCAGCAACAATGAAGAAGTGATGAAGACGAAGAGGAGGAGGAGGTGGAGGAGGAGAGAGATGCTCTCACGTCCACACTGACTCTGTGAGCTCCCTCTCTCTCCTCTCTCAGACTCTCTCTCCTCCCCGCTCTCCTTTGCCCTCTCCTCATTGGCTGAGGTGAGAGTGTGTGATGATGAAGAGTTCGCTCCCTCCCTCCTCTTCACTCTTACTATCAGTCGAGACCTTTGAATCGTAAACTCTCTTTCTCGGTTTTACAAAATTGTAAATCTGAGAGAGACGGGTAAACCTTATAAGATGATGTTTTTAAATTCCCAACTTTAAATTAAATGTGTTATTGTTAATGTGATGAAATTAAAGTCATAAAGTGACAATTATGAGGTTGTTTCATTACAGGAGGAAATTTTTATGGAACGTTAATAAAATTTAAGAATTACAAGAATTTAAACCAATAAAGTCATGTCGTTGGTCACATGGTCAGCGCTCTTAGATCATCCTGTCTGAGGATTTCTGACATCCACACCTGAACAAGTGTCACGCTGATCAGACAGCTTCCTCTGCAGCTCCTCCTCAAACGCTACACCCGGAGGAGGAGGAGAAGGACGTAGTGTCGGCCCTCCACCTTCTCGTCCTCCTCTGCTGTCAGATCTGCTCGCTGTCTTCTTCACTCAGACCAAAGAAACTTTCACTGACCCTGAGATTCAGCCTCTCCTCCTTCCTCACTGGTGTTTCCAGAGTCCTGCGCTGAAATCCCTTTAGGATCTGAAAGACCAACCCGAGTGAAGAAAAAATAAAATATCATGGATAAAATAGATGTAGATAAAGTGAAACTAAAACTGAGTGGAGGTGCTCCATAGCTGAAACAGAGAAGTCCTGGTCCTGGTCATGAAACTGGGACCTGATCAGCCTGAATCCTCACAACAGTTCACCCTGATGGAGTTCATGAAGAAAGAGACATTACCCAGTGGAGATAGTTTACACTCAAACGGTCTCTAATGTTGGATTTTCTATCCTCAGGCGTCTCTCTGAGTTTTTCCATCAGCCATTAACTTTTACCCTGACAGTAAAACTGGAGGTGTGTGGGCTCCTAAAGCTCAGCCAGTGTTTTATATGCTGATAGTAAACCCAGCTCTCCTCCAGCAGGAGCTCCAGTACTCCTGATAAACTCACAACAGCCCAGTCCGCCTGGGTTTGAATCATTAAGCTTCAAACTATAGATAAAAATCATGAAGAACTAAAAACGTCTGATGATACCTCAATATGTCAAATTAAAAAGTTCAATTTTACTTTCTGTACAAGACAATTTTTTTCATGTAAATCAACAGAAAAGTTTTAAAATTTGACAGAAACTTTATTCTGGACGTATTTAAAGAAATAAAGTCACAGATTCAGGTTTCAGCGTTCGATCGAAGGCGACATGTTCACCTCATAACGTCAGTGAGACTTTAAACACATCGGACAGACTGACAGAGCTCATGAGGCGTTCACGGTCTCTGTGTGTGGCCTTCACTGACCCTGTGAAAGTGAAGCTGTCAGACGGCCAGGTTTCTCAGAGGTCACTACTTAGGTGAGACAGGTGTGAGCTGTCAGAGAGGAACAGGAAGCTGTGTGTGGTTTACCCTGTTGAGACTGCTGTCAGAGGCAGAGATACGACTATACTGACACACACTGATACACACACGAGAGAGGAGAGGTTTCCTTCACGCCATCTCAGTCTGTTTCCATCAAACCTGGTTAAGGTCGTCTACATCAGTGGTTCTCAACTGAGTGGTCCCGACCCAAAAGTGGGTTGCGGCCATGTTCTGAACAGCTCACGATCAGCTGGTCAAAAAATTAACCCTCCTCCGGTGTAAGGGTCTGCACTGACCTGTTTTTGATTTTAAACGCTTAAAAGAACCACTGAAATTATTTTTTTGTATCAAGACTTTTTGACTGTCAGAAAACCTCTATTTCGACAAAATAAATATTTTTTTAATAGACTAAATTATAAAATGCTCCTATTAAAATTATGGCACTTGACGTTTTAGAGTTGCTGTTGACCCGGTTAGATCAATATCTAATAATTAGAGCAAAAACTGCAATCACAAGTGTCCTTTCAGGCGCCACACTGACAGTCAGATCCTCTTCCAATCATGTGAGATTTAGGAAATTCTCGTTTGGCCTGGTTTTTTCCTGCACAAACAACGTCAGGCTTTTCCAGACGTGTGAGATCAGTTCAGTTTAGATGTCTGTGTGAGGGGTATACTGACAAAGAAAGGCCCAGAGGACCACAACAAAAACAAAAGCAAAATTTTCATGGATAATGAAGCCTAACAAGGTAACCTAGAGATGAGAACCAAATTGGATGATAGAGAATTGTGTTTAGTGTAATTTATAGCTGATTTAAGACTTGGGTCAAAACCGACCGTTGACATAGTTCATATGTAGTAAAAGCTAACACAGGAGGAAGGTGACATATTTCATTTGCATCTGATGTTTGACATGTCTTTTATTTTGAAAAATAGCTTATTTTGAAAGGCACGCGTTATGTCCAGGTCCTCCTTGGTTTCTTACTGATGTGGCCTGAATGCAGTAAAAATACCTTTTTTTTTTTTTTTTTTTTGGTCTTTATTTTGTGCAATTTGATATTTGATATTTTCTGTATATGCAACTTCAGTAGTTGTCGTCCTCAGTTCATGTGCTCTGAAGTGCACCGTGCTCAATAAAAACTGTGTATTTTTATTAAAGATTTGAGTTGTTAAAGATTTTTTTTCTAAAAAATAAATCTGATGGTTTGAATTTTATAAAAGTGGGTCTCGACTTAAGGACCATGGGAAAATGTGGGTCCCAGAGTGAGACCAGTTGAGAACCATTGGTCTACATGTTTCCTGATAATCTGACCTCCTCACTCAATTTCCTCACAGTGAGTTCCTTTCTTGCTTGTTTCCATAGAAACAACAAGTTGTTTCCTGTAGCTCAGGGTAGCCGCACGCCACCACGGATAAATCAGACTCCATCACTCGGTTCTTGACATACTTCACAGAGTGATCTCAATGCTGATTGGCTGTAGCAGTAAGAGTGATTAGCTGGAGTTCAGAATTGTAAACACCTGTTGATAAACTAATCCATCTCGTTGTTTGTGATGTGAATATGAGTCAGTGTGGGCAGAGCTCAGGTCAGGAGGCCGGCTGGCTGTAATACGTCACTCTGAGCGGGATCACCGACACCGAGCTTGCACCGGAAAACCCACCAATCATACGCAGCGATCACTCAGATGCATTATTCATGGACGACAGGAACTCTGTGCTGGATGACTTCACTAATGGGACGAGTCAGGAAGAGGCGCACGGACCGGCTGCATGCTAATGATGAAACCTCCAACATAACACTTAAAGGGCTTTAACCAGGCGAAGGAATGTGGAGACAGGAGGGGTCAAAGGTCACAGTTAGCGGATGGATGGATCCTGTGATGAATAAATTTCAGAAAAAGACGGAGAGACTCTGACAGCAGCAGCTAACTTACTTGCTCACAACATCATATAAAAATAGCGCTGAAGCGTATAAACTTGAGCCTTGAGCACATACCCTAACAACGACCAATAAAAAGTGTCTCTTTTAAAACATTAATTAAAAAAATTTAAATAAATGCACCTATCAGACAGAAACACTCAGAGAGATACTAACAAACAGAAGACAGCAAAAGAATAAATTACTAGTTCATTTTAAAAATTTCTATAAGCGGTCGATTATTTCCATCAGGGTCGTTCAACATTCAAGAGAAGCACGTTTCTAGCAGAAATAAAGACCGAAACCCTCCACAGCCTCTGGTGTTTTAAATGAACTTGTTAATCTGCAGTGGAGAAATGTTAATTTCCTAATGTAAGGATTTAAGCTCCAGAGATAAAGCAAACACTGTAACACATTTCAGCTCCTATATAGGGACGTGTTCATTTCCAAGAACCTTTGATTTAAATGAGGAAACAGGAAAATTCATCCTTAATGAAGCTGCTCAGCTTTATTATCTGTCTCTCCAGATTGTTTCAGCTTCTCATAGACCTCCACACTTCAGCTTTTCTAAATTGAGACTGTATGTTGGGTTCTTGTTAAAAAGAATAATGAACCTGATGACTTAATGAACTTAAACAGATTTTAAAATCTCCAAAAACCTGATCTTCAGCCTACCCTCAGCGCTGAACCATTTCTGGTTTTTGGCTTTATTTTAGATCCTCCATTTTTCACCCTTTCAAGCTGCTGCTTTAAAAAACCAGCAGAAAACACCATATGAGCGTCCACTAATATGCTGACGACAACATATTTATTGAGCAGACCCATCTATTGTCAAAATACCGTATTTTTCGCACTATGAGGTGCACTTAAAATCCTTTTGGCTTGTCGGAGCACTGCAGCTACCGTAGCCTCGCTGAGTTATTGAATGAGTTGAATACAGTTTGACTTATCTGAGTGTTTTCTTTGGCTTAATGCGCTTTATAATCAGGTGCGCCATAATGTATGAAAATAGACACGTTCATTGATGGTGCGCCTCATGATCAGGTGCGCCTTATAGTGCGAAAAATATGGTAGATGCTCCTTCACAATAAAATCAATATCTGGATTATCGTCACTGAGATTCAGAGACTGAACTGAACACAAACATCTCAAACAAGAGTATAATTTTTGAATTCTAGTTTTAAGCTGATTGGAACTGAAGTGCATTTTACCATCATATGAACTTTGTCAGAGTTTGATCACCTCTCTGTCTAGCCAACACTCACACACAGACATCACTGCCCTGTTAATAACAGATTGACTTCTGCTGCTCTACTTTCTGATGTCCAAAAATAAAGAAAAGGGCAGAACATGGTGAAGCTGCAGCTCAGTCTAACTCACCCTGACACACAGAGACCTCAGCTTCAGCTCCTCTCTTTCTCTCTCAGATTGAACCGAATTGAATTTGATTCATCAGAGGTTCTTCTTGCACTGATAAAACATTCTCCTCTTTTATGATCTTTTATGCATATTTTTGACTGAAATGCTTCTATTTGTATTGCTTGTGGAGAAATATTGTTGTTTACATAAATTATTGTTCACATAAAAAGTTTTTAAGACAAACTAAATTTACACTATGATCTTTTTCTTTGGTTGTTTGTGTGTCTATAGCTGTTGTTGTTGGTCAGATGATGTATCTGCAGCAGAGCAGCAGCAGTCTTCTCTGTATGAGCATAAAGGTCCTCTCAGTGTCCTCATCCATATTCATGAAGTGGTTCCTGTTGACGGATTCAGAGACTGACACGGTTAACTGTGACACTGAGGGGCAGCTGAGCGCTGAGCTCTGCAGCTCACCTCTTCATTATCCCTCACAGACGCTGCTGTTCGTCCGTCTGATAGAGAGCTGCTGCAGCTCAGGGCATCAGGGGGAAACAGCTTCATCTGAAAACAAAGAGGAAATCTTCTTCCTCTTTTGGTCTGTGAATCTCTGGTCCTCAGTATTTGTTTTGTTCTCCTGAAGCTTCTCCATCCCCCTGCAGCCTCCTCTTCATCCCTCCCTAGCCTCCTCCTTCTCTCTCTGTGTTGTTGTGTTAATGCTCGCTGTGTTTTATTGTACTCAGAAGCTCCATCAGGGTTTATGTGAAAGCAGAGGAGGATGGTAAAAACAAGCTGCAGAGGTCTGAGTGTTTTTCATTCTGCAGGAGACACCTTAACACAGCTGAGATGCAGGAATAGGCAGAGACAACTAATGTTTACATGAACGTTTTTATCAGATTAACCAAAAACAAAAAATAAAATAATGATAAGAACAAATAAAATGCTTCTAAATAGGTTGCCATGTTTGGGAGGACACTCCAAATCTTCTCTTGGTTGTGAAGGAAAGTCTCAGCTGTAGTCAAAGGCTATAGCTGTGTAAAGAGTAACCCCCAAAGCTGTGTCTAATTTTCTATTGGTGTGAAGTTAAGGGCTTCAGTCATAGAGCTGAAATGAGAGTTTACACAGAAGCCAGTATGAGATAAAGGAGTTTTTAAAACTGCTGCTGAGTCGATCTGTAGGTGTCCCAGACTGACAGGATGAAAAGGGGAAATTCTGCTTTTAATAAACCCAGCCTGACTGCCTCTTCATTGCTCCTTCTTCAAACCCTTTACGTTTCACTGTCAGCTCCTCAGAAACCCAGACCCTGTTCTGTGTGGAAACAGAATCCTCAGTATGTAGTTTGATGTGTCACTCTCTCCGGTGTACAATGATCCTAATTGCAGACTCTCCTGCATGACTGCCCGCCAAGTTTCGCGATGATCAAACTTTAGAGATGATAATGCCTCCGTGAGCTGAGTGTGTGTCTGTGGGTTTGTCCTGACAGGAAGTCGATGTAGAAACTGGTCGATTATAATCACACCTGCTCTTAGAGTATTTATCAGAGCGTGCTATCATTGTAGAAGCACAGTCAGAGAGCTGACGGTGTCTCTGGTGGGGTTCAGTTTTCTCTCCGCTGTGTTAATGTCTCTCAGGTGCAGCTGCAGATTACAGATGTCCTTCTGCAGCCAAAACTCACATTAATCCTGTAATGACCCTCCCAGAGGCTGGATGCCATTACTGGTCTGGTGACGTGTATCAGGGGGGTCGTTATCAGTGCCGTGACTGCATAATGACTTTTTAAGCTGCTCTGCAGAGACAATGCCTCTCATTAATCCAATCAGAGGGCTGCAGCAGCTCTCAGGGTATCATGGGAGAAACACAAACAGAGAGACAGAAAACAATCCTGTTTTCGCTCAAATCTGCTGCATAAACAGCTGATCTGTCAAATAGGGTTTCCCTGTCAGTCAAGTCTGAAAGAGAGGGTTGGTTCTTGTCTGTGCTGATAGACCTGAATTATAGGTGCTGCTAAGGACTCCCTGTTTCAATGAGTGTAGCAGTGTTTGCATGCTGCTCTTCCTGATCAAGGCTGTAGCAGTGTTTGCATGCTGCTCTTTCTAATGATGTTGTAGCAGTGTTTGCATGCTGCTCCTCCTGATGAAGGCTGTAGCAGTGTTTGCATGCTGCTTTTCCTGATGATGGTTTTAGCAGTGTTTGCATCCTGCTTTGCCATTTTTCTTGCTGTTGTTGTAGCAGTGTTTGCATGCTGCTCTTTCTGATGACTGTTGTAGCAGTGTTCGCATGCTGCTCTTCCTCATAATGTTTGTAGCAGTGTTTACATGCTGCACTTCCTGATGATGGTTGTAGCAGTGTTTGCATGCTGCTCTTTCTGATGACGGTTGTAGCAGTGTTCGCATGCTGCTCTTCCTAATGATGTTTGTAGCAGTGTTTATATGCTGCTCTTCCTAAAGATGTTGTAGCAGTGTTTGCATGCTGATCTTCCTCATGATGTTTGTAGCAGTGTTTGCATGCTGCTCTCCCTGATGACAGTTGTAGCAGTGTTCGCATGCTGCTCTTCCTCATAATGTTTGTAGCAGTGTTTACATGCTGCACTTCCTGATGATGGTTGTAGCAGTGTTTGCATGCTGTACTTCCTGCTGATGTTGTAGCAGTGTTTGCATGCTGTCCTTCCCAATACTGGTTGAAAAAGTGTTTACCTGCTGCTTTTCCTAAAGATGTTTGTAGCAGTGTTTGCTTGCTGCTTGCCGTTTATCTTTCTGTTGTTGTAGCAGTGTTTGCATGCAGCATTTTATGTTCATGGTTGTAGCATTCATGTTTTTATTCTTGCTGATTATGGACGTAGACATGTTTGCAGATAGTGTTTTGGCCTCAGGGAGTGGATGGCCTCTTGCTTGGAAGCACAGCAGCAGTTTGAATGTTTTAGCTGAGACGAGCTGCTGCTGAGTGATTAGGAAGGAACAGGAGGAATAAACTGAGCACAAACAGACCTTATCACACAGAGTCAGAGTCAATCCTCAGCTCTCAGTGAAAGCCACACCACACACTGTGTCTGCAGCAGCTGCTCCAACAACTGAAGAAACTCCATTCTGTCTTCATACATTCACACAGGATATTGCGAAGATTTTACATGATAGAGAAAGGTGAAATCAAAGCTGCTGATGAACCCTGGTTTAGTAGAATTAAGTCTTGTCTGTCTGCTGATTAACAGTTTGAGCATCCTTTCCTCAGATTCAGTTTTAAATTATGATCATCAAATGTGTGATCATAAAAAAGGCAGTGGAAACACAAAAGACGACCCTTGGACTCAAAGTCACAGGAGTCACATTTAAACAGTATACACAAAGCTAAGAACTCAAATGCAGATGGGTAAAGCTTTCTCAAACTAAAACTAAACCGACTTCACTTATCTGATCCAATGTGAAAAGTCAGACACAAAAAAACAAAAACTCAGAGAGCAAGGAGGATGTCCGCAGGGACGCTGGGCTAGAAGGCTGGCTGCACACCAGACTACTTTTACATCTGAACTCATTTATAAAACATGGGAGTCAACACACGAGGACACTTCAGACTGATTTTTAATGCAGAAATCCTCCAAACACACTTGCTAAATGATTCTAGTGTGTGAATGATGGTATAAGCTTCTGAGACGGACCACACTCTTGACATTTGTAGAGATGTTTCCACAGAGATCTCAGAGAGTCCTTTTCCTTATGAGTTGTGTTATGTCTTCATGAGACATTATTAAGACTCTGGTGTTTTGTACCATAACTCCAGAGGTGTAGTTAGACTGATGAAATTCACTGTGCTGCTATCATACAGTCATAGTTAAGGTGGATAATTTTCTCTCAGTGCATGAGCTGACACCAAGAATCGATCAGACGGCCTTCAATCACAAAAGAAAAACAGCTTTTATCGTCTCTCCTGCCATGCATATAAATTACAGCCAGATTATATAAACTGTAAATACTCACTTTGAGAAGAAAATCACAGAGTAACAGCACACACCTGTTTATACTTGCTGACATGGTTGTGAGTTGTATTCCTGGTTGGGGATGTTTCCCAGTCTGCTCCTTTTATTGGTTTCTGCTAGTATCCCATCAGAGGCAGTCTGACCTGAAATCATAAATATCAAATATATCTGATATTTGGTTGCAGTGAAATAGTCACTCTAACACCAAGCACATGAGGATTATTTATAAACAAAAATATTTATATATTCATCTCAAGAATGAGATCTGGCTCTTTGTGGATCTGTTGGGTTTATAGTTTGTGTTTCTGTGAGACTGAGTGTTTTTTCTTTCAGCGTCCTTAACCACATGCTACATGAGCAGCGTCCCATGCTGGCGCCATCCTGTCTGTTACCACGGAAAAGGGCTTTCAGAGTTTGTGACAGTTGTGACCAGAGACGACCAAACACTGATCTTTTTTTGAAGACATGTCTGCTGCTGTAAAGAGAGCTGTGAGCGGTTCATCCTGAGAGACTGTCAGTGAGTAAGACTATACTTCATTTCAATTCGATACTTCAGTCTGTGAGAGACTGTGTGAGCTGATACTTGAACAATTTCAGAATAAAGTTCCTGAGTGTAAATTGTCAGAGAATGAGTGGATTTCATCATCTAAAGTACATAATATGATTGAAAGATTCAGAGTCTGAAATAAACTCTGTACAAAAGGGATAAGGACCAAAACCAGTACTGGATGGCCCTGATCTTTAGGTCTTTGGGCAGTATATTAGAAACAGACAGAACTCTGTAGCAGAAGTCACTGTGTGGGCTTAAAGGATATTCCAGTGTATAATGAATGTAGGGTCAAACACACTGTAACACTGAGTTAGACAACCCCCCGAGAGTTGAACGTTGCAGACCGCTTGCTTCTCTAGTTTTACCAACTTTAGTAACAACTACAGGATAGCAATACACAGCAGTCTGAGGAGCCATAAACAAACCTCAACCAAAACACCACTTTATAGCCACAAATAATGCTCAGAACAGCACCTAACTTCATCAACAGGACATATAGGGTCCTAACCACAGTACAAGCCACCAAACATCTTTTTAACTTTGTCAAATTTCTTTGGCAAAGAGACTACACGCAACTAACCTACACTTTTCCGGCAGCCGCTTGTTTGTGCGGAGACCTCGGGCCAGTCCATTACGGACTGCAGCGGGGTGACGCAGATCAAGGAAGAACATTTATGATCATTACTTCATGGAAATGTAACCAGACCGAGACGCTAAGGCAGAAGAACTACTGCGTCTGCAGTGCAAAAGGATAAATATGGTGATTATTACTTCAAGGAAATGATAAAGAAATTATCATAAATGCTCCTTCTTGAGCTGCGTCACCCCGCAGCAGTCCGTAATGGAAAAGTTCCCTCCTTCCGCAAAAGGCGGAAGGCGGTCCCCAGCGTCTAGGCAACCAGCGTCCAATCAAAATTGCGCACTGAGCGCTCCGAAGTTTGTTTGTATGCGGAAGCAAATACGACTCACTCGCGAGCAGCGTGGTACTTTTGGATTACTACGGTTACAATGCGGAGTGCAGACTGACGTGCGGCAACACGGTAAGCAAATGTAGCCTACATAGATTACAGGGGTGAAAGTTTGTGTACCGCTGTGTACCGGCTGTAAACTGCTGATTATGACCTCCCGGTACGACGTACTGCTGCGTACCGGTGTTCCGGTTTAACTGGTGATCATATTAACTGGTGAGATTTTGAACCAGATGTTGGCTGTTCCGCAGATTCGCCACAAAAGCCTCAGTCCGAACCGAACGGTCGCCGGCACTTTCAAGGAGAAAAACTCCGCAAACATCAGCGCTTTTCACATATATTGACAACCAGCGATCCCGACCAAACTGCCAACTCAAATAAGCACTAAAAAAAAAATAAAGATAAAAACATTACGATAAACACAGCTGGGCGTCGCAAGGAGGACTCGAACTCACAACGCAAATAAGAACTAACAACGAGGGGCGAGCGCGCTGCTGTAACGCCACAGATCGGCTTACTGAACTCCTCGTGTACCTCATACTTGACATCCACTTTTCACAGGGTGTCACCACATAATCTGCTTCTATAGAGAAACACGCCCATATTAGCTGGTGACTCCAGAAGCCTGCCCGTGTTATAATGTGACGATTATCTCATAATACACAGCATTTCTTCTTAAAATTCTGCGATAGCGGTCACTCATGGGTGTATCGCAGTGCCTTTGTGTAAAGAGCCCATGTTAACTCGTGAGACGCATGTGTGATAAATTGTGAAGATCGACCATTAAACACTGGACTTTTTTTTTTAAAAAAGAGTATTCATTAAAACTGCATGCAGGACAGAAATACTCCTCATCATGATCGCGATTCCCCACACAGTCAGAATGATGCCAATACTGGCAGTTTGTACATTCAATCTGAAAAGGAGAGCAAAGACAATCACAGCGGTTTTGGTCCTACAACAAATGTCGTCATATCCGATCAGAACCGAGGGGGTTTTATTGCCATTGTCGATGAACAGGATTCACAGACTTATACCGATCGTGCTTTTTCCAATGAAAAGTGATGCACTGCAACACGCCCATCAATGTGACCGCGGTCGTAGACTTTGCTAAAAAGATCCATGATTAAAATGATCACGATGCTAACAATTTCTCAGGTGCTACTGCTGTCACCAGGTAACATGGGCGTGTTTCTCTACAGGAGCAGGTTATGTGGTGACACCTTGTAAACAGTGGATGACAAGTATGGGGTACACGAGCTGCTCAGTAAACCGACCTGTGGCGTTACAGCAGCGCGCTCGCCTCTTGTTGTTAGTTCTTATTTGCGTTGCGAGTTCGAGGACCAAAACCGCTGTGATTGTCTTTGCTCTCCTTTTCAGATTGAATGTACAAACTGCCAGTATTGGCATCATTCTGACTGTGTGGGGAATCGCGATTGCGATAAGGAGTATTTGTGTCCTGCGTGTAGTTTTAATCAATAATCGTTTTAAAAAAAGTCCAGTGTTTCGTGATCGATGTTCAAAATGTATCACACATGCGTCTCACGAGTTAACAAAGGCTCTTTACACTTGGTACACATGGTAGACATGGTACACTGCGATACGTCCATGAGTGACCGCTGTGGCAGACCTTTCAGAGGAAATGTTGTGTATTATGAGATGATCGTCACAATTGAACACGGACAGGCTACTGCTGTCACCAGCTAATATGGGTGTGTTTCTCTACAGGAGCAGATTATGTGGTGACACCCTGGAAACAGTGAATGACAAGTATGAGATACGCGAGGTGCTGAATAAGCCGATCTGTGGTGTTACGGCAGCGCGCTCACCCCACGATACTTGTTCTTATTAGCGTTTTGGGTTCGAGTCCTCCTTACGACGTTTAGCTGTGTTTCTCACGATGTGTTTCTCTTTATTTTTTTGTGCTTCTTTGAGTTGGCAGTTTGGTCGGGATCTCCGGTTGTCAATATATGTGAAAAGCACTGATGTTTGCGGAGATTTTCTCCTTGAAAGTGCCGGCGACCGTTCGGTCCGGACTGAGGCTTTTGTGGCGAATCTGCGGAACACTCAACATCTGGATCAGATTTACCTTAAATCTCACCAGTTAATATGATCACCAGTTAAACCGGAACACCGGCTTACTTTCACCCCTGCTGTGAACACACATCTTCACTGCATTCAAAAATGAGGTTAAAACTGAACCGTGCAACATCAAAAATGTCAGTGTTTATCCTGCTTTGTCACAGATTGAACTTAAGTCTCTTTCAGGTTGTTCAGAGTAAAAATCAAAGATATTGAGTAGTAAACACCTTAAATCGGCTCCTCACCTTTGATAATGAGTCTGGTTAGAGAAAAGAGGAGCTTCGTCTGTGTCCTGCTGAGACCACCTGAAGCTAAAAACTCTCTGAACTCTGCAGACTCAGATCCACACTGTCCATCTGCTCTCCTTTAGAGACACATACAGTAAAAATGATCCAAAAGGGTTCCAACAGGACACAGACTGAACTGAGTGCTATTTGTTCTTCATGTGAAGGTTAAAAACTGTTATTTTGTCAGAATTATCTCAGAGAACATGTATAAATATCATAGATACACATCAGATATATGGGTTTAAAGGCTTATATCAGACAGGATGGGGGTCTTCAGTCTGTTTGTTGGTTGGATGAGTCTGCGGACAGACAAGTGGAGGAGTGTTTGATAAGAAGAGTTATTAATCTGATGGATGAACGGTTTGTCTGTCTGCTCCAGTTGACCTTCAATAAACCCTGAAACTGATGAGACTTGAGGCTGCAGAGGGTCCGACCGTCACGGCTGGCTGCTCTGTCTTGACCCTAAAGACGACTCTAAAGAGGACACTGAGGTCTGCAGAAAGCTGGAGGTGAAGGTCAGTCGCCCCGACATGCTGAGTGCTTTAGAAAGTTAAACGGAGACTCAAACAGAGCTATTTATAGATCCTCTCTGTCATGACCTGAAATAAGGGCTGAGTTGGACCTCAGTGAGCTGATAAACCTCTAACAGACAAACTCCTCTCACAGTCATGCAGCTGCTGCCTTTCTGTCAGGGCACAGGCAATTGGTTCCACAGACCCCCCACCCCTCCTTCGCCCTGTTATGTTTCCTGTCCCTGAGCCACTATGGTGTGTGTGTGTGAGGATGAAGATGAGGCTGGAGGCCGGGGTGGCGAGGCGAACAAGATGCCATAATGAAAGCAAATGAGGCGTGAACGCTAGCCGGGGCTGTTATCACTTAAGAACACAGAGGGAGCGAGGGGGGGGGGGTGACCGCGGGGATCCTGGCTCCGCCCACTTCTCCAGCGCCGTAATGCACCTGAGGCTGCAGTTCATCATCAGCGTACTAAATATACACCTGCAGGTCTTCACTTCAGGGTCAGCGGAGAGGAGGGAAACTGAACTGAGTGTCCATTTATCAGAGCTGAACGGAGCCTTCAGCCACGTTTGCCACACCGGCTCTGATGCTCTCTATACAGCAGCCAACATGTGCAAACCTGCTGCAACAGATACGGATCCATCAGGATAAACAGGCTGCAAGTCACTGAATGATGCATATTAAAGGGATATTCCAGCGTGAAATTAAGTTACGGTCAAACACACCGTAATATCGAGTTAGACACCTCCTCGAGAGATGAATGTTGCAGACCGCTTGCGTCTCTAGTTATACTAACTTTAGTAACGACTGCGAGATCGCAAAACAAAGCGCAACACGCTCAACCAAAACGCCACTCTATAGCCACAAATAATGCTCAGAACAGCACTTAACTTCATCAACAGTACATATAGGGTCCCAGCCATAGTACTAGCCACCAAACATCTTTTTAACTTTGCCTGATTTCTTTAGCAAAGAGACTAAACACAACTCACCTACTCTCTTCCAGCAGCCGTTTGTTTGTAGCGAGACCTCGGGCCAGTCCATTATGGACTGCTCTGGGGTGACGCAGCTCAAGGAAGAACATTTATGATCATTACTTTATCATTTCCTTGAAATAATAATCATCATATTAATTATTTTGCACTGCAGACACGGTAGTTCTTTTGCCTTAGCGTCTCGGTCTGATTGCATTTCCATGAAGAAATGATCACAAATGTTCTTCCTTGAGCTGCGTCACCCCGCTGTAGTCCGTAATGGACTGGCCCGAGGTCTCGCTACGAACAAGCGGCTGCTGGAAGAGAGACGGTGAGTTGTGTTTAGTCTCATTGCTAAAGAAATTAGGCAAAGTTAAAAAGATGTTGGGTGGCTGGGACCCTATATGTACTGTTGATGAAGTTAGGTGCTGTTCTGAGCATTATTTGTGACTATAGAGTGGAGTTTTGATTGAGCGCGTGGCTCTCTGTATTGCTCTCCTGCAGTCGTTACTAAAGTTGGTATAACTAGAGAAGCAAGCAGTTGGTAAAGTTCATCTCTCGAGGGAGTGTCTAACTCGGTATTATGGCGTGTTTGACCCTACCTTAATTTTATGTTGGAATATCCCTTTAATAAACACAAACAGAAGGAGCAAAAAGTGCATGCTACGAAAAGCTGAACACAGAAACATTAGCACTAAATACAAAATTATAAATTCTGCACTGTCAGAAACACGAAAAACAAGACAACTACAAACATTCTTGTTCCTGGAGTTTATTTGATGAGTCACTGAATAAAATACAAAGAAATGGTTTGCAGTAAAA